GGGGTTCTGGTGGGGCACCGTCTCCGGCCTTCCAGATGCGCTGGACTACAGTGCCCATCTGTCCTGCCTCCCACGACTTTGCTGCCTGGGGGATGCCAAGGTCCATGCAGAGGGAACTTGCAACGCATCTGAAAAACTAGCCGTGTGCTCATAGATGCCAGCGGAGGCGCAAACAGGTAATGAAATTCACCTGATTCTATAAGCAGACTCGTCAGTGGTGCCGGTTCCACTTACGCAAGACCAACAGCCCACCTGTCCCATCGTCTGCCCTCCAAGGCTGCCACGAAGAGGAAGGCCAGGACCTCTTCTGGCTGATGCCAGAGCATAGGGCACGGAATAATCAAGCCAAGTTGCAACAACCCAGATTCAGGCTGGGCATCAGGAAAGGTTTCCTCACTGCCAGAGCAATAGGGCAGTGGAACCGGCTGCCCAGAGAGGTGGGGGGCTCTCCCCCACTGGAGGCATTCAAGGAGAAACAGGGCAGCCCTCTGAGTGGGATACTGTGACTTGGTGTCCCGCAACAGCAGGGGGTGGACTGGATGGCCTCCATGGACCCTTCCACCTCTACTCTCCTAGGATTTCACTCTCTTAGCAGCAGCAGCAGCTCTGGGGCTCCTCCTCAACCTCCTCTTGCTACCGCCTCCTTACCTGACAAACAGAAAGCTAGCAAATACATACAGCTCTTCCTTCCCCTTTTGTCTGGCCCAGAATGAGAGACAGATGAACAAGCAGGTTGCAGTGGCAAAAAGGAGCAACAGGCCCAGGACCCTTTTCCCCCTGGAACTTTGCTGGGGTCCGTCCCCCCCCCCCCCCCCATCCAGCTCAGGCTCTAAATCTGCAATTTCAAATTGATGAGGCCTGACTTACAAACAAGCAGTGCTGACCCATCTTCTGACCTCCTTAAGAAATCATTTGCTCCACAAATAAAACTTGATTTTAAATGTATCAGATAGGCAACACGATCATATTTTTATGTCCCAAGAACAAAATATATTTCTGATACTTTCAATTTCTTTTGCTTACCTGCAAATGATAAAAGAAAGGATGAAAACATGCTTACATGATAATTCTTTTAAAATTGCCTAGGTGTGCAATGCAGAACTTTGTTGTGTAGACATCAGGGATACTGAAGTCAAGAAAACTGTCATTAAATGTCAAATATATAAAGTGTCGGGGTTTATAGTACAGACCTGTAATCAATAATACAAGCCAGGACACATTTATCTGGAGGAAAAGTACTGTGCCAGCAACTGTTTTGGAATGGTCCTCCTGCCTGCATTGTTTTCACACAAATCTTGAATGACTATCTTAATTTAAAAGAGAGAGAGAGAATAGATCAAGCATTCTGAATGCAAAACAGCATGTTTGGAAATTATACCGTATATACTACATATATAGTCAGCTCTTTATAGATGGAATTGCTAAATATTTCTAAAAGAAATATGTTTTTACTTGGATTGGAAGTCTCCAATCTCATGCACTGAGAGTAAGTTCTAGACATATTTGAGCTGCGGGCATTGCATTGCTCATTTTTCTGTTAATTATCCAATGTTTCAGTTTACTGCATGAAGAGCCACTGTTGTTTCTTTGACAACAGTCCCTGGTGCACCTGGAAATCCTTTTAGTGCCTAATTAAGTACATCTGCATACCACCTCTGGCATTCCACTGTACAATTGTTAGCTGATGCCCCCCATCTCACGCCAGTTTTGATCAACACCCAATCCAAAGGGAAAAGTTATGAAGAACATGGAGGCTTGAATTCTACGTCCGGGATTTTCATAGAACTTAGTTGTTCCCTATGATAGCTTTGGAATTATTCCTTTTTGCAGCCGTACTGAGTTCTGCAAGATGTGGCTTTTATCACCACATTGCAACTGCCTCGTTCACAGAATTTTTTGGAAGCTTATATGCATCCAGAATTTAATTCTATGTGTCACATCTGTATATTGTCCAATAGCCAAACTTCTCTGGGTGGGCCACAAAGATTAAATGGATTTTTAAAATCCAAGGCTTGATAAAACCTTATCAGGTGCTGCCAAGAGCCTGAGAGGAAATCTTTAACCTGGTTCCAAAAAGATAACAATGGTGGCACCTGGCAATTGTATAATTGGTGTGAGGGGGGACAACCAAGACTGTCCTCTCCATTATCGCCATCTTCCACACCTTCCTTGGAGAAGGACCTTAGAAGAGGACTATAACACATGGAGCAGCTGGAGCGAGCAGGTGCGCTCCCTCAGATGTGGTGGTCCCAGGCTGCGTAGGGCTCTACCAGCTCAGAACCCGGCCCAGAAATATACAGCCAGAATAAATGGGCTGGAACTGACATTACAGGGTCTTGTCCCTATCAGCCTGCTTGCCTTTCTGCGTGCGCTGCATCTTCTGTCACTGGAGCAGTTTCTGAATCATCCTCAGAGAACATCATCTTCTAGTTTAACCATCCCAAGTCTTCCCACTGCTTTTATCTCCCCCCCCCCCGCAAAAAAACCATTAAGGAAGAAAGGAGCAACTCTAATGGGTAGTGGGGTACAGCCCCCCTGTCCAGAAGCACTCATAGACTCGACATTGACTGACAGAGGCCCTTCAGGCTTTGAAGCTGGGACCACTTCCATGCAAAGCCTATGCTCTACCACCAAGCAGCTTCTCCCCTGGACCACATCCAGGTAACGTAGCTACTACAATACAGAGCCTTTTCATGGTTCTCAAGCCTTCCCTCCATGACTTTTACCTGGGAAGTTGGAGAAATCCATGTATTATTAAAATTATATCCCTCTAACAGCCCGACAGGGGCATTCTAAGCAACTTTATGAGGGGACCAAAGTCACCCTGTCGGCTCCATGGGGACTAGAACCCAGATTGTCCAAGCCCCAGTCCCATGCTCTTAATGAGAAAAACACACTGGCTCTCTAATTAGTGCAAACAGAATGAACACTGGAGTGGGGGGTTGATTCTGTTTATGAACAGATGGCAAAACTACTCACCTAAAGCACAAACCGATTTGGAAAAGGCTGGCTGCCGCACTTCAAGAAACTTTCCTTGGCACATTCTGTCTTGTGGCTTTCGTGAAGAACAACACATCCCTTCTGCACTCCTAACACTCAGGCAGCCTGAACAGCGTTGCATCCCAGCTGCACACAGCTGAATCCTTTTGGCACCCAATCAGCCACGAAAAACCTGTACAAAGGTCTCCTTTGTGCTAACAACCCAGGTGAAGCCTGGTTTTAATTTCAGCTGTTTGTCACACAGGCTGGAAAATTGGTTAGCATCACAAACTTATTCAGGAACAGGGGGTTGAGTTTTTCCCTATGAATTCTCATTATAGCCAAGGAGATAGAATAAACACTAGAACTTGTAGTTAGCATTGTGTGTGTCTTTGGAATTTATTTGCCCTTTTTACCAGGTATCTACAATCCAAACCAATTTTTAAAGCAAAAATATCCCCAGGTCAGTCATACTTGGGAGTCCATCTAGTTCACTGCAGCAGGCCATGGAATCCAGTATTTTGTGTCCACTCTATAACAGAGTTGCATTGTTCTCAGCAATCTAATTGGATCAGCAAATTTCTCTTTTATTCTACATTTGAAGATATAAATATCTTAAAAACCTGACCTTGGTTAAGTCAGAAGGAATATTTCATTTAGTTTCAAAAGTTCACCAGTTTGTGCAAAAGTTACATATGAATGTATCATCTGAGCCTGATCTACTAAGCAACAAAGAATTGACCAAATTAAATCCTTTGATTCTCTTGTTTAATTTGATTGGTTAATTGCAAGTTATGGCTTAATTTTCTGTACAGTTTAACACAAAGTTACAGATAAAAAACAGGATGGTTGTTCCTTGGCTTTGGTATATACTTTTTTTCCAAAGAATCCTGTTAAGTTTTTATCGATTAAATGTGACAAATTTTAAATTACAAATTACTTACAAGACTCTAGCCAGTTCTTTTCCACCAAGGACAAAGTATTAGAAAGTCAGGGGAACAGGAAAGAGAAGACTTACAGCTAAAAAGTGTAATGGCTACTTATGGTAATGCCCTAAGTCTCACTGAACTTAATCCTGGGGAGACATGCTTTAAGATCTGTTGATCCTTTCAGAAAATAATTTAAATCAAGTACATCGGCCTGAGCATATAAAAGACATGAAGATAAAATCAACCAATTCCATTGTGACTTGGGACAACACAGTCAAAGTGATTCCAGTAGAAGTGCGCCAAACAACCCAGACTTATTGGATCACTCGGCTGTGGAACATGGTCATGATGCGTGGCCAACTCTGGTGGACTACCTGTGCCTGCACAATCCTTGCCCTTCCGGGCTTGTTGCCTCTAAGAGGGACGGGTGTCCAGCTGGATCCAGGAGGTTCTAAACTTCCTGGAAAGAGAGATGGGGTGGTACTGGCCTTTTTGAAGTGGTAATACGTATCGGGCCCCTCCTGGAAAGGCAGCCATTCGGAGCCTGGATGATCCCCTTTCCAGGCACAGCGTCCACAGGGTAGATTGCCACTCAAACCCCAAAGACTCTTGGTTGAAACTAATCATCTGCATCTGTTTCAGGCAGAAGTTTTTGACGTAATATTTTTCTTGCTGGCAAACAGACTTTAAGATAATTTTACATCCAGAATTTCTATTTTCTAGGGGTAGGACAGTTATCCTACAAAAAGGTTGGAGGAGCTATAGGTTTTACACAACATTTCTCATTATTAATAAAAGATATAGCTATCTCTAAGCCATTTTAATATGGAATGCTTTTGAGATTCACTGTCTTGCCCAGTGAAACTTTTATTAAGTGTGACTATAGACATGTTTAGATAAACTGTTTAGTACCCAAATATTAGCTCTCTTTAAAGACTAATAGATCCACAAATAAATGTTTCCCTGCCACGGCTGAGAAGACACGAGGCAATGCCCTGCTGAACCTTTCCAAGTAGCCATATAATTCAAACCAAACCGGTTCCTATGGCATCATTCTGTTAGATGTCACCAATATAATCAGAACCCTGAAGATACCATTTAAAAACTTTTATTATGTGATAAAAAAGAAATAAAGAAGAAAAGAACCAAGAAATCATAATTCACTGAGGAAAGGCAATGTGTTTCATCGGAACAAGGGACTGCTCCAGCAAAAAGCATCCCTGGATCTGTCTCACTGTCAACATGGCCTGCCTCAATTTATTACGATGGCTCCTCCCCCATCTTCAAGATGCTAGATTTATTTTTCTTTTTCCTTTTGCTCTTTTTCTTTCTTTTCACGCTCTGCTTTGGCTTCTTCCTCTTCATGCTTCTTTATCAACTCTTCCACTTCTTTTTGCTTTAATACTCTTATTACTGTCTTTCCATTTTCCCTTGTCAGAGTTGCAATCTCAACTGAAACATGAAGAAATTACATGTTATTACTGCCCTAAGACATTGTGAAGGGCGGGGTATAGAAGCTATGAAGGAACGAACAAAATGTTATTGTAACCAACCTTGTATCATGGGAGCTAATCTAGAATCACAGATGAACGAAAAGGGGCATGCACTTCCTACAAGAAGTATTAACCTTGCATGTATTAAGTATGGAAAAGAACATCTTACATGGCTGACATGGCAAAGATTCAAACTATGTTCTCCAAGTTAGTGACAGGCTGAACTAGAGACAGCAATGATCAGCACTGGTAGGGATGCCTCTCCACTACCAGCAGAAAAGGATGAAAAATATTATGGTCCCTAACAGATCGCCAAGTGCCGTTTGCAGAGCTAAGAACAAGTGCGAACTGCTAGCAACCCAGAGTTATGATGTGAAAACTTCAGGAATCAATGAGGTGATTCATTGTGCACAGTCCAGAGCAAATCAAAAAGAAATGTACCAACTGGGCCTCAAGGAGCCTGTAAACGAGGGCGATTCTTTCTCCTCATGGGGAAATGCCTACCCTCTGATGGCTAACGCTATACACAATTGAAGGGTTCAGTCTTTCGCCGTGCCCAGGTTATTGTTGCAAATCAGGTCACCAATATGTGGACACAGAAAAAGTATCGTGGGAGGTAGAATATTCTTAAAAGGAGCCCTAGCAACACTCTGCCAAGATGTTAAGACAACACCTTTGGCTCAGGGAAGCCCACAACCAGCAATGACGTCACCCTGAAATCTTTATATGCAGCATACAGTTTACCTTTCTCTGCTGAGAGTTTGCTAACATCCATGGTTTTGTTCAGGACTTTGATAGCGAGGGCAAGCGCAGATTTCAAGGTCATCTCTCCTTCTTTGTAGTCCTGCTTTAACATCGACACCGCTGCCTGTTCAAGAATATGAGAGCTTTGTCTGTCTGAGACGGAGGCAGCTGCGTCTCTGCACACAGACGCCCCTGTTCCACTTGCTACTATATTATTTCTCAAAGTACAGAAAAAGGGTTTTAAGCCAGGAGAAACTTACAGCGCTATTGTTTCCAATGCACGTAGCTTTCCATCCTCCATAGTTTCCGCTAGGATCGCTCTGATACAGCTGGAATCCATAATGCTTATCCCAGCCGATGTACAGCAATGAAACACCAAAAGGACGTTTTCCTGTTAAATACAAGGTTACGGATTATTCAAATTAGGTAGCACAATTTGCCAAGAGCCCTGCTTTAAGAAGGGGAAGACGACTGCAAAATCCTTTGCTGTGAATTTGGATTTAATAGGCTACATTGTACTGCTACTTAAAGATAAGCTCCAAATTAATCCCCTTCCTTCTGGTTTTTTTCCAGGATGTCTGGAAGATTAAAAATTTGACTGGATATTCATCTCTGGTGCCCATGCAATATAGCCCTAGTTCTGGGAAGGAATCAATGGCTCAAGGTTGATTACTTCCAATGCATCTGCAATTTCTTGCTATGCTACTTATACAGAGCATTTGAAGGTTAATCTTTCCATCTCATTCTAAAGTCAGTCTTCAGTGAATGCAAATATCTGAGTGCATTCCAAAAACTGGCTACAATGGGCAGATCCAGGCAAGCTTGACAACATTTAAGGACAGATTTCTTAAATAAAAAGCAGAGCTTGAAATACACCTGGGGTCATCCTCTGTGCGCTCCAGTGTAGGACACGGAAAGACAACCTGTACAGCTGCTTGGAATGAGTCCTTTTCATCAGGTAAAAGAAGCGCTGGGCCAAGTCAAGTCAGCCCACTACACATTTTCTTGAAGTTCCTTTGCCAATTCAAGTAAAAATGTTACCTCCAAACTGTGTGTAAGCTTGCTTGATATCGCACAGGGCTGTCACCAACTGTTCACAAGGAATTGGCTCCTGGTACTGTAGCAGATACCTGGAACATAAAAAATGCCGCAGTGTTTAGTGAAGTCAGTTTTTGAATAACCCTTAGGATGGGCTGGGGGTAAGTGCCTAAAAAGAAAGGCTCCCTAAAACAAAGAACTCTGTATTTGTTTGGAAAGAAACTGCACGAAGTAGACTGGGAGTTTGCACTCTAACTTTTACACTGTGGCTACACAGGGAGAAAAAGGAGAAGGCAGGGCCCGGAGTAGCCAAGTAGCAGAAAGCTGCACGAACGCAGTAAACAATGAAAGGTGGGTCCCATGTAGCAGATTGAGTCCCAGACCCGTAAGGATGGAGGACTAAACAGTGAATTTTTCCTGTACCTGACACTTTTATGCTCCCTTCCTACCTTGTTACACACAGCCAGGCAATTTTTTTCTCTTGACATATAGATTGCTTTTATAGTCATTAATGTATTTTTCACAACTGAATTGTAGTAATATTAAGCAAGTTCAGTTTTTATTTATACGTTACAAATAAACTTTTATGTTTTGATGCGGCTTCCCAGAGGAACAAAAAATCTGCTTTGCCTGGTTCGTTGATCAACTTTTTAATTGTTTTAGTCCAGTGATCAAGGAGGATACATGATTTTGCTGCCTTAGCGAGCGACTAGAGGGGACAGGCTGCCCAGCTCAGCCCTTCACATTTAGGCATGAACAAATGAATTTTGAGTATCCTCGAGAAATTTTATTCTGTTTACAGACTTCCGAAGTAGTGGTCCATCTACCTTTCTTTTAATGCTTGCTCAGCTACCCGCACGATCAAATAACTCTTCTTGAAATGTTAGGCAGTGGGCAAGACCCAGACCAAGTCAAAGGCTCATCTTGTGGGCTTCATGGCAGGGAGGGATACTGGAGTCCTCGGATGGCTGTTCAGAATTAAGTCCTATTAAGACCTCATACCTTTGTGCGATCAGCCGCAGTTCGTTCGTCAGCACATTGGCGTCTGAAGTTATGCCGGCCACACTGCAAGCCATATCCCTGGAAGATAACCAGTGCACTGTGTTAGACCCCACGATTTAACAGTCTGTTGTCAAGCAGAGGCGCCTTCCAAAAGGGCAGGGTTAAAATCATGTGCGGGCAAAGCACCTGGACAACTGCTTCCCGGAGAACAAACATCGCTAACAGTATATACGGTTGCTAAATTCAGTACTGGACGCGGCATGGAGGACGGAAGTATGGGTGGGGAAGCTTCAGGCGCCGGAACACAGGGGCAAAGGCAGAAGGGGCAAATTAATCCTGGATGGGAACGCTGAGTGACCTGTACGAGGTGGAATGGCGTTGCCTTCTGCAGATAGGAAAGCCTGACAAGAAAGTCTGTTAACTCTGGCGTATTTCTCCAACTAGGACCACTCCTGGAAATGTAACTGGAAGCCACCAATGCATGTGTTAAAAACAGTTTTGCTGTATCTGCTTTCTGGACCGAAAGTGCTTCCTGTTGCCACTTTCTTTCCAGCTTTGGCTAAGTGCTCTCTTTGCTGAATTTAAGGATATAAAATATCCAGTGTACCAGCTCAAAGAAATCAAAGTAACCCGAGGAGGAGATGTAGGAAATTAAAGAATAGCAAGGTCGAACATACATTGTCTGCTACAAAAAAGGGAATGCCTATATTCCCTACGAAAAGGTAAAACTGCATATCCTAGAGTTCAGCTCTATGAAGCTAGTCCTGAAAAAGCTTTGAAAACTTTGTAAACAGACACTGAAAGGAGGGGACCAGGGATCTCAACATCTCAAGCTCAACTCAAAACTTCTAATCTTATCAAGCTTGAATGATCTTCATGAAAGCAGTTTAAATGGCAGCACTACTCAGACATGTAAGAAAAGTTATCAGTTATAACAGTACTGGACTTACTCATTGAGTTTATATATTTTCTCTGAAAAAAAGACTTCATCCAGAAGTTTGTGGATGTTGCGCCTTTCTGCTGCCAGCAATACTCCATCATTTGCCAGAATCCCCAGGCAGGTCCCAGCATGCCCAATGGCTTCCATAGCATACTCAACCTGATACAGGCGACCTAAGGGGAAAGAGAAGTAGCAAGGGAGTAATTTAAACCTTCGGCCGCGAAGTCACACACAAGCAATGCATTCTGTCACTGGCGTTCTGGGAGTTAGGTGGTCCAGAAGAACAGAAGCAGGACGCCTATTATCCAAGTTCAGAGAGAGGATTACAATCAAGCTGGAAATGAAGACTATCACTTTTAGAAGTCATGAAGGACTGCACTGTTCAGGCAATCAAGATCAAATGTAGGCTGGTTCTCACACAGCCCTATGAATATAGTCCCACAGAGTGCAATATGATTTGCTAGTCTCGTGCAGGCACAGGACTGTAGTCCCTCAGAGGAATCGCTCTCAATACGCAGTTCGACACACTCAAATCATTGCACGTAACGTAACAGTTACAAATGCTTATGATAGCGTTTTTTCTCCTTTTTGCCACGCAGTTACCTTCTGGAGAGAAGATTGTAGTTCGGGAATCATATCTTCGTGACTGCAAAGAAGATTAAAAAAAAAAAAAATCAAATGGAGCATTGCATAAACATTTCTCAACAAGTGACATTAAGGAATATGCTCAGAGGCACCATTTTCCCCCTTTCAACCGCATCCCAAGTTAGAGCTCATTTAATGTGTCCCAGAAAAAGCAACAGGAACCACGAAGACAACCGAGTCCAGCTTTAGAGCCACCTGTTCCGTTTCCACACATCTCAGAAACGAGCCCTTCTGCTGAACGGTCTTCATGCTGGAGAGCAGCAGCGGCAAAAGCAGCAGTCGCTCCCGGCAAGCCAAGCTGTTGGCTCTTGTCTTCTAAGCCAGCCTCCCCCGACCCGGTGGCCTTCAGAGGCTTCTGGCCCACAACTCCCAGAATTCTCATCCAGTAGGGCCAATGACTGGGGATTCTGGGTGTTGCAGTCCAAACATGTCCGCAAGGCACAGGGTAGTCTAAACACACAAAATAAGCCCCCATTTATCGTCTTCAAAATATGCCACCTTTCAGATACACTGAAGAATGAGCAAAATTTCATTCTGGGTATTTCTGTGCACCCAGCAGCACACGCTTCTTAGCCCCACTATTTCATTAGCCTTTTCCCACAATCCTTACGCTATGCTTGCATCCATTTCTCACACTATTCTTTCACGGCCTAACGCCCATGGAACTTGGATGGAAACTCACCATGGTGCTTCTAGGCTGAACAGTCCTGTAAAAGAAAGCACGTGTTTTTAGATGGCATTTATGCTAATGTATCATCACAGAAAGGACTGCCAGCAATTCTTTTTTACTGGCTGTCCCCTGTGAATTTAAAAGCAACCTTTCAAACAATAATTTAGCAATTGAAACTTGGCTCCTCGCTCTTCCATGCCAAAAAGTTTCAGCTGCAACATCTCTTTCCGTAAACTGTTCTGACGCATTACACAGATATGAATAATATAGAGATACTTTACATAAATAAAAGAGATCCCACTGAAAAACACAGATGCAGGGCCAGTAAGATGTCATATACCAATAATATCCTACACTTTCCAAAAGACAATAGAAGAATCAAGGTTGTTGCTTTATAGTGGCACAGTCTGACACTTAAATTTGATATTGTGATTGACATGGTAACATGGACAACTATAAAGTTTGCAGCTGCTTAAAGACTAACAAGTTTATTACAATATAAACATTTCTGGAGTAGAGTCGGCTTCATCAGATGGGTGAAGTGTTATCCTCAGTCAGCAGGTATTTCATAGGGTGGACAAAGCTGTACTAAAGGTTCAGTTTAACTGCCAACCACACCTCCGTCTGTGGAAATGCCGCCCCTAATCACAGGTGAATGAAAACGACCAGTGGCTATGAGAAATGCACCTTAGGCAGTCTGGCAGTGCTTAGCTCTGAACCATCAAAATAACCGCTGGGACCAAACCCTGACTGCCACTAAGCTATGGCCACAACAAAAGCTAATGTTTAATTAAGTAGACCAATGTATAGTGTAATTATGATTGTAAGATGTCATAATAAGACATCCATCAGCATAGCTGCCGAGATGTGTTGCTAATCGAGTCTCTGGAGGGGCTGTCATTAAAGACCCTTATTAGAGCCTCTTAGAGTATCACAACTTCCCCTTTCGATAGCCCTGCACTTGCTTACAACTTTCACTCTCACCTCTTGCTCACACAGCCAGTTATTTCTTTGCCCTAGCGATAGCGAAAGCAAAACTAGGAAGCACAATCTGCACACGCAGTCTTAGTCATCCCCCCCCCACCTTGTGCTACAGTCACTGTGATTCAAGACAGGTGGCAGCATCTCTGCTTGGCCAACATTTAAATGCACATTAATGGGTCAAGGAAGGGCTCGGGCGCATGCCAGCAATAAGGAGTAGAGAACCTGTGCGCATGCCGTTTCTCCAAATTAAAGCCAAGAATGAGGTTAGCATCACCTGCCTGTGCTTTAGGAGGACTTCCTTTAGGAACATTTTCAACTCATCCCTTGAAAGCTCAGAGACAAATCTCACCAAGTCCTGGGGTAAATGTGGACTGAAGACAGCCATCTTATGCACAACAGAGAAATAGTGAATGAAGTCACAGCTTACAGAAACCTGTATTAGGGCTGGAATCCTATGCACATTTGCTAGAGGAAAAAGCCCAAGTAAACACGCAAAAAGTTGTACAAATGGGATTTCCTCCATTTCCACCAAGCTCGGGTGTCTGGCACGATAAATTTCAGCACAACAAGGTAATTAATTTCCATTGATTTCTTTCTACCCAGCAGGTACAGGCAGAACTAATAATGACAGTAGATGCAATCTTATGAAGGCCGATTCTGAAAAGTCACACCAACAAGCACCCCTGAAAATTTCCAGAATGGGATGGCTATTAAGGCTACCTCTGGGGCAGCCATGTGAATCTACAGGCACAAGAACAGCCAAGAGTTTTGTGGCACCTTCAACACAGAGGATGCCATTAATGTAGTTGTGAATTTCGGGCATTACAGGTGAGAAAAGCGCACAGGTTAGGATTGTCTCTGTGCTCTGCAGGGAAGGGGAGTACAGCCTTTGGACCCCCGCTGGGGCAGAAAAAAACCATACCTGCTGTGTTGATGGAGGAAGGGCCTCTGCAATAACAGCCCCAATTCCAACCACAGTGGGTTAATTATTTTCATGACATACACAAATACATAGAAAAAAGTAGAAAAGAAAAAACTAATATACACAAATCAGACTAAAGTGAACAAAATAGCAAACAAAGTTGCCAAGGGAAATAAACAAATACAGCCTATGTACTGCAGTCCCAAAACTGACTCTTCAGATCTTCCCACACTCTGAGTTTGCAAAATAAATAAATAAATAAATAAAATCATTCTATACATCAACAGATTTTCTAATCAGTTCAAATTCTACTGCTTTCCCTTTTTCCCAAACTCCTCTGAACTTCCAGTACCAACTAGTGTTCTGCTGAAGTTGAAGCCTGGACTCCAACCTATCCTAGGGCTCTGGAGACACTGCCAGAAGGCCAACCTACCACCTTCTGTGTACAGCAGCTTTTCACAAATGAGAGCGTACCTACTTCATCAGACAAAATAAACAATGCCAGATCATCATCATCATCATCATTTCTGCTTGGACTGGTTCCTATGCTTACTTCGCATAATATAAGCTTTAACACAATTGCCACAGACTGTTTCTTGCCTTTCATTTTTTATGTGGCCTCCACTGTTTACATTAATTCTCTTTACATCAATAACTATCAACTGAGGATAACACATTCTGCTTTGGATGACACTGACTCTACTCCACAAAAGCTTACGCTATAATAGATTATGTTAGTCTTTAAGGTGCCACAACTTTTGACCCATCTTTGATGTATGAAGCATAATTCTTAGCATGCCTATATATGCAAACACCCCTGTATGATCTGATAGAAAGATAAATACCCAGGCACAGAGACATTGGAAACTGCTCAGAAATAAACATGTGAACGCTTTGGGGGATGATGCAAGTGCAGAGATATACTGAAAGACTATGGCAAAGGAACACGAAACTGAAGTCAGTCCCTCCTTCTCCTATGCACAAGGACAGAACCTGTCAGGTTGGTTTTTAAAAAGGCGGGGGGGGGGTACACAAGGTGCTTTTGGTTTGTTCACAACAACCCCGCTACTCCCTAAGCAATAATCGGGAGCCAATGTGATGGTTAAAGTAGTGGACCGGCACTTGGGAGATATGGGTTCGGGTCCCACTCGGTCGAGATGCCCCTGGGCCAGCCTGTGCCTCTCAGCCTAGCCTACCTCGCAAGGCTGTTGTGAGGATACCACGGAGAGGAGAACTTTGCGAGCTTCTTGCCAAAGGAAAGAATAAGGGGCATAACCATAATGCAGTGTGAATAGAAATGCAACGGAATCATAAAACAACCCCAAACGCTACGCGCAGCCGGGTGGCAGATGCGGCTGCTCCCATCACTCCGCCGCCCAGCTGAGGAGGACCACGCTCGACCAGCTGAATTCCCGCCTGCCACAGCCCGTCTGGAGGAGGAGAGGGGCACAAGCAGCCTGCCCTACTCGCCCCCGCCCCGGGATCCGGGCTTCCCACAGCGCGCATGCAAAGTCATCCCCGGAAAGCGGAGCGGGAGAGGAGCCGCGGGCGGCGGGAGGGGGAAAGCCCGGGCCGCGGCGGCCCTCCCGCCCCTCACGGCACCCTCGGGGGCGGCGGGGCCCCCTGCGCGCGGCCACGGCCCGCGGAGCGCCCGCAGCCCCCGCAGCCCCGGGCCCGCGCCCCGCACGCTCACCGCGATCCTGCCTCCGCCGGCTCCCAAAATGGCCGCCGCCGCGCGCCTGCGCACTCGCCTTCCCCGGGCAAGGGGGCTGGAATTTACGTTCACACGACCATGGAGAGGCCGTGCTAGACCGGCCATTCAGTCTCCTTAGACCAGATTTCCGGTTTATTTGTGGGAGGAGTGAAAGGGGCTGTTGTTGCTAGGAGACAAGCGAGGGCCTGTTAGGTCAGAGCTGCTTTCCCCAACCAGGCGCCCTCTGGAAGTTTTGAGCTACAGCTCCCAGCCGGGCTGGGTGGGGATGCTGGGAGTTGTAGTCGAACACATTTGGACGGTGCTAGGTTGGGGAAGGCTAGGTAATAACGTCGTGTGTGCTTGCTCCTTCACCACAAAACAAGCTTGAAACACACGGGAGCCCAAGCTCTCTTGAATTCGACTTTTTGTGTGATTTTGTTTATATTCGGGTGCTGAAAGGGGCAAAAAGTAGCACTGCAATTGCAAATACCCTCCTTTTTTAAATATATACACTTCACCTGGCTTCCAACAACCCTGTAAGGTAGTCCCTTGTCCTCCCTCTAGGGCAGGGACAAGGGGGGATGCTGAAATAGCGCAGTGGCCCCGTTATATTATTATTTTAAGTGTTGCAGGAACAGTTGCAGCACAGAGAATTTCATCCCCTCCCCATTTCACTCCAACCCCCTTGTGAGCATTCTGCTGTCATTCAGTATATTCAGTTCCCACTGGGCCATTCTGGAGTCTTCCCTCCTTGATTTTTCCTTTTAAAATTTCCCCAGAGATTTTTTGTTTTGCAAATGTTGGGATTCCCTCAAGCCTATGGAATCTGGTGCATGCATTGTGCTGTCCTGGCCTTATAAAGGGTCCATACTCGAAGAATTGAGATTGCTATTAGTACGCAATATACAATCACACATTGTTATGTCTTGTCAAGTCATCTCCGTCTTACGATGGGACACAGCTAAGCACAGCAAGCTCACTTTTGCCGTTTTTGCTTTCAATACACATGCAATTCATATAGATACACAAATAGAATACATCCACAGATGCACATTTTGCAGAATTTATTCAGGCTTGCATTTCCTGCTCACAACACTTTGAAATGTACATTTTGAACATAAAGACCCGTAAGGGCATCATCCGAGGTTAACCAGGGTCATTTCACATGTATGTTTTCGCAGTCTCGAACCAGATCTTCTCGACAGCTTCCTGGCCTGTCTCAAAGAGCATCATCAAGTGCTCCCACCCAGTTTTGGCTGTGATCATTAAGTACTCCTCATTCTCGGGATGCAGAAGAGTCGTGTGAGCGGCCATCACGAGGGACTGAGCGAATCTCCCACAGACGAGGAGGAACAGGGCTGCCCGCTCCTCCGTGGTCAAGGGGACGACGCTTTCGAACCCTGCGAGGACATGGCCCCCGACATGGAGGGGATCTTTGCTTTCTATCATCATATACATGGTCGTGATGGCCACTTCAAAAACGTAGCAGCCATGGCTCATGTCACTGAAGTCCAAGATCCCAGAAACCCTATAGTGTGGACTTGTGGATACCAGTCCCGCTTCTCTCACAAGAAGAATATTGTGGTCGTTGAGGTCTCCATGATTGATGCCTAAACGGAAGACAGAGGAAAGCCAGTATTTTCCTGGCTGGCTGAGGGCCCTCGCTCTTGGGGGATGCTGCTGGGGTGACCCACATGTAACCAAAGCGGCAAGAGGTGGGGGAAAGGGCCACACGGCATAGCATGGCTACACCTCTGTGGCACCCAGATGCTTTCACGGGGGACTCAGCCCAAAAAGAGAACACACGTCAGTCGATGCAGTGGTTAAGAGGGTGGGACTGGGACTCAGGAGAGCCGGGTTCGAGTCCCGCTCAGCCATGGACCCCATGGGCCAGTCACAGACTCTCCGCCCAGCCTACCTTACAGGGGTGTCGTAGTGGGGATAAGACTGAGAGCAGGAGGAGGAAAGAGATATAAGCTGCTCTGAGTTCCTTCAAAGGAAAAAAGGCAGGATGTAAATGTAATAAATAAATCAGACTGTCGGCATGCCTCTGCTTTTCGAGACCTCCTCTGGAATCACGGCACAACCTGCACTTTGTGCTTGTATCACAGGTTTACTCTGAAATTGGTCGCATGTTGCCCAGTGTGGGGACTCGCTCCCCTATCTATTGCACAGGTGTTGTTCTTACCTGTTTATCCCGTGCTGCATCGCTCCACCTCAGAGGGATCCACGCGGTCCACCCACACCCGCCCCACTGATCCTCGCAACACCACAAAGCGGTCTGGGCTGAGCATGCATGGCTTGTGCTAAAGTCACCTGTGTTTCATTGCCACTCGTTCTCCCTCTCCCTCTCCCCCCTCACACAGTGACTGGCACACTTCTCCCATCGACATACTCTGAGCAAAAGAAAAACCAAACATTTAAGTACGGAGTTGCGGTGCATTAAGTCGTTCATGGAGAGAGGACGAGGGAGAGATACTTACAGGGCCGGAAGGAGCGTAGCTTTGGCACTATTTCGACACTGAACCGTTGGATGACCTGCTCCACCACTTCCAGGCGCCTGCTCTGGCCCACCGCAGAAATGTACCGTTTCAGAAGAGGAACGTTAGCCAAATTCCAGATGAATTCACCTCGATGCAGAGCTTTTACCAAGGGATGTCGGAATTTCTTCAGGGTGGGTGGGAAGAACAACAACACCACCAACCTCCAGTTAGTGTCTTTCTAGTACGCAGCACACCATCCTATAAACATGGTGTGGACAACCGTGCCTTGTGGCAGCAACTATTTTGTGAATGGACAACCCCCAGCAGCCATTTTGTGACAGCGCCCAAGACATTCTCTCCAAATTCCAAGGGTGCCCATTGAGCCAAAGAGCGTGTGAAGCCCTGGTCTACCTAGACGCTCACCTCTGCCAGGGTTTTATCCAGCCGGGCAGCCAGCTGCCCAATCTCATACAGAACGGAAGGATCGATTGGGAGCGTGGCCACGGTTTGGCCTGGCAAGAAGGACAGGAGTCTTACCATGTACGCTCGAGGGGCAGAATCAGCATCTGGCAAAAGAGAGAGCCTTAAGTCATTAACCAGTAGGCGCTTCAGTCAGAGCATGGAAAAGGGATTTGGATTCACACACACGTGTATTTCAATGCCTGGCAGCAAGCAAATTTCAGGGTCTACTCTGGTTTCTTTCTTTAAACAGGACCCCAAGAGCCATTAACGGGAGCATGCTACAAAAGGAAGTCCACTTTGACTAAATAATGGCAAGACCAGACATGCATTTTGGGGTCTTAAATCTTTCAGAAGGGGGAAAAAAGGCCCACTTCTGGTCTTTATCCAAGCCGTTCTGATCACCACACTGCAGAGCTGGAAAGGCACAGGAAGAAGCATGGCTTTATTGGCCAATATTGATGCTGGTTATACTTTCAGCCGTCTCACCTATGGATTCCAGGAACATGATTTCACCGTCTTTCGTGAAATGGGGGGCAGCCACCGGAAAGCCCTCGTCCCTCAGAAACATCATAATCCTCGTTTGCACCTCAATGAGCTCGGGATTCCTGCTGTCTTCACAATTGATAATTTTGAGGACGAATTCCTCAGCGACCTCTCCTTTCTCTTCCAATTTACTAACACGAACATAGAAATTCTCATCATCATAGCTGGGAAGCGGTTTGATTTCAGAGACCTTTAATCCAAATATCCTTTCAACCAATTCAATAGCTTGTTTTTCACTGAATGCTGGCTTACTCAGGTTGAGCAGCTGTTCCTTACTTCCAGAAGACATTGTAATCTAAAAAGGAATAGGAATAATTTTGTTGCAAAAGGTCAAAGAAAATGGAAGCTCTGAATTCACACCATTATACATATGAATATAAAGCCCTGGTGAAAATACAGAACCATTCGAACAATAGCTTTGTTCCATATGTCAAGAGAGTATCAGTTGTACTTCCTGTTGCATGTGAGGGGCAAAATTATAATCACAATTCTGCCTTTGACTTCAGTGGAGTAAATTCCCCCTGGAAACCTTATTGAAAGCATGGCTTATTTATTTATTTATTTAAAACATTTCTATGCGGCCCCCATTGCAACAAAGCCTCGGGGTGGCTCACAGCATAATTAATAACTAAAACATATATATAACAATACAATTAGAGATTAGAGAATGAACAAATAGCAAATATTCGAAAAACAAATACAAACACAAACACAGGCTTGGGCTCTTGCAGGAGCCAAACTTCATCTCCGACATACCACCAGTTTTCAAAAGCTTGAAGAAAAGCTGCACAGCTTGCATTCAACTTGCTAAAAGTACGAAGCAATGCAAGAGGAAATATTTTGTTTAAAAGCTGTATTCCTTTATGCTAATTCTGATCATAGGTCCTTCTGCTGAAAGTCTTACAACATTCTATCTTCTTTCCAAAGCCTTGGAAATAACCCTTGGACTCTGTTACTAATAACTAATAACCCTTGGACTCTATTAAATAAAGTCCGACGCTCTGACCTTTGCACATTTATTTGGCTTAAAAAAACAAAAAACGAGGACCTACACGTTAGAGCAGAGGTGGTGCAAAAGGTTTTACGCGATGGAGAGTTCAAGCAGTGCAACGAAGCTGTGCAGTGCAAGCTGCCTTCGGTTCCTTTGCCAGAGGGAAAAAGTGGAATAATACTTTGCAGAATACCAACCGCTGCAAAGGCAAGCGCGGGCCTGAATCGACCCCTGAGACTTGGCTGCTTTTCCTGACATGTAACAGCAGCCCTGGCAACCAGGTGGCCACGAAGAAGCACTTGGAAATTACGGTGCATCCAGCACTTGATATGCCCCAACCCTGCCCTGGTCTGGAGACGAGATCCCGCAACTCTATATATTTAAAGCCTGTAGATGCAGATAGAAAAATGCGCGTGCATACCAGCCCGAAAGATGATACACCTGTAGATGGAATTCTCTTACCGAGGCCGTCAGGAAAACGACATTTCCAGAGTGTTTCGTTTGCGGCAAGCGGGCTGGTGCATCGGGAATGATGCAACCGCAGAAGGCCCGATTGCACAAGAGGAAGTATTTTATAGCTCCGGCATTAAAAAAAACAAAATCGAAATAATCGAATATTCTATACGTGTGTGGCGTGTCACCTTCCAAAAGAGGGGGGGGGGGGTTCGTGCAAATGTTATGGAAAAGTTGATGGAGGGTTCTCAGTTGCAAGATCTAAATTAAACAAAGCCATCCGTGCAGCTACTCGCGAGCAAGCACAGCAGCTCCCCGGGCGGAGGGCGAAGCGACCATTAAGCGGCGCACACGGAAGTTCAGGGACATTCCCGCCTATCAGAGGAGGAAATGCCGGCGTTTATTTATATATTTCCTCTAATTTGCACGAGGAAACTTGTAAGCAAACTTCCGGTTGCTAGCAAGACCGCTATGCCCATTTGGAGAGGGCGGTTTTTAATAGTCACTGTGATTTTTCCCCATCCTGGGACCCCGTCCCAGCAGCGATGGCATTTTAATGCACAAGAAGGGCGCGAAGGTTCACCAAAATAAATTAGCAAAAATATAAAAGCATAAATAAGATCGAAGACACGGACAAGATTTCGACACTCTCACCTTCTGGGCGACCTGGCCAGCTGCAGTGTAATGTTGAATTCAAAAGTTTGGACACTACCAAGCGACTTTTTACTAATCAAAATCATGACTGTATAATTTGGGGATTTTTTTTTTATTTGTCTCATTGGACCAAGAGGTGTCCTTGCATTTTTCGTCGTAACTGTGATGCACAACACGGGGAAAAACTAGCAAACATGTTAATTAGTCATGAGAAGCAAATACTATTCTATATAAAGCTTAGGTGTGTAGAGGTTAGCAAGCATCCTAAATTGAGCACCTGCGGTGGAAAAATAACCTTGTTTGGATAAGAGCTGAAACAAATACAATGTCTTGATAAGATCTAATTCAGCAATTTTATGCTGCAGCTTCCTTTGAAGTTTCTTAAAAGAATGACAACTTCCAAGCCAGTGGCATTGCCCTTGCAAGATTCCAGCGATAATGCTAATTAAGATCATTTATATTCTAGTTTCAGCCTAATTCTTCCAGAGCCACCAACAGAGAAATTACAATAAACATTAAGTAAACATGTGGTCTGTTGGGCTGCAGTAGAAAATAACTACACTTTAAAATTACCTAGGTCAATCAGTATTTTGGAGTGAAAGCAAAGCTAGAATCCTTCTCAAAATACAGGTGCCCTTTTTCAGAGTGACAACTAGGGTGCTGCAGAGGTATCTTCTGGGAATTCAAAACATTAACATCTTCTACCTGGGCAAGGAGTCCATCGATGAGATGAAGAGAGAATAGGGGGGGAAACATGCACACACCTGAAATACTTTTATTCTAAAATGCATTAGGATTACAGGATGTTTGCTCAACAATGTAACTGCTTCTGCTGAAGAATGGTTTGCGAACATGAAATGACCACTCTGGTGCAAATATTTGTGCTTGTTTGTTGCTAGATTTTGTAACCGTCAATTAGGGTGTTACGTTGAACCTCTGCCATGCAAGTCCAGCATTTACTGGTTCATCACCAGGCTGACTGAAGTGAAAGATTCTCTCTAGCTAAAAAGACCAGAACAGACTCTTCTGCCTGTAATTATTTTGTTGTTATTGGTACTTGAACTGCTGCTCAGTTGAACGCCCACGCTTGCTTGTGTTTTGTTTAACTCTTAAGAAGCATCAAAGATGCAGAAAGTGGGAATCCCAGACTTTTTAGGCAAACACAAACTCAAAATACCTCAGACAAAAGTAGAATAAGGAATGTAAAATTACTTCTTTAATGAAGGGGATCAAAATTAGCAGATCAGTAAACTGAATTTGAACTAGAAGATGGCCTAACTAGTTTTTAAAGTCTTGAAGATGGGTTGAATGAGTTCAAAGCTATTTCAAGGGTGCTGTTGTTTGTATTTTCAGGTGCAGCAGGGCAACTCTGATGTCACTGCTGTTATGTTATTCCCTTGGCCACCACTGCAAACCTAATTCTAAGGATATTCCAGGATATGATATCAATTCTTCATCTGATTTGGGGAAACAGTGGAAATTGAGAGATTGATAGGAATATGTCAGTCGTCCAGATGTTGACTGTACATGTACAGGCCGCAAATGACAGAACGTGACGTAGCTGCATCTTGACGATCAAACTGATCTGTCTGAAATTGTAAACTGGATCGTGGGGATACACCACCATCTGAAAAAACAATTCATGAAAACTTAGATGAGTTTGCTCAACACTGGTATGTGTCCACTTTTTACACTTAAACACTTTTTACACTTAATAAATATCAGAAGAATGCTAGACTGTTCAGTTTGCAATTGCTACCTGGCCCCCGTTGCCAGCCGCTATGCCGGCACTTACTAATCAAATATTGGCATGCTTCTAAAACCACAGAAAGAAAGAGTTGCAATGGAGTCAGTCATGGTACAACTTTCTTTATTAAAAATAATTTACATCAGTTTAGCATTTTATGCACAATTGTCAGCAAATTGAACTTTGTCTTAAGATTTCTATACAATACTTATCAGTGAACTTAAAACCATTTGATACTGTTATGCTGGCTTAAAAGAGCAGACATTCATTTGCAGTTGCTTACATGTGATTAATAAAATGCATTTATAATTTTGCAGGTGCGTAATTTATGAACAGTCCCTCCCGTGCCCAATTTGCTAATAGAATCTTTTTGAAGGGATGAAATTCAAAGAGTCTCTTCCAAATCCAAACAGAAGAGAAGAACCTGAAGACAAAATATAGTTCCAGTTTCTATGGTTTTGCCCTGTTCCTGGCTGAACAACACCATTTAACTTGTGGATTCACCCCCAAGCCTTTCTGAATAAAGTACATCGTGCCATTGCTAAGAGATGGAACAAAGGTTTTAGTAGTTGGGTTTTCTGTCAAACCAAGAGGACCATGCAGAGAACGACCTCACCATGTTAGAAAAAGAGCAAACACTGCCCCCTACTCTCCTTTTGCAGCTTCTGTATGATATGCAAAGAATGCTCGCTTCTGCCTTTATCAGGCAGGTGTGTGGAATTCCCCTCAGTGTGTCTATGAGTGTGATCTAGAGTGAACACCCACCTACGTCTGAGACAGGCAGTTCAAGTTCAGCCACTTTTGCACTAAAGTAAATCTTATTGAATTCATGGGAGATTACTTCCAACTTAAAAAGCAGAAACTTCTCATGTTTGGAAGAGGAAACCAGATGACAGCAGCTTTCACCCACCCCTGGCAGCATCCAAATTTGAGCTCCGTTTATGTGAACAACTTCCTGCCAATGGCCACAGGCCAGAATCATAAAGCCTGCTCAAACTTTCACAACCATGAAATACAGCAACAGTCCATGCATTTTTCAGAAAATGACTGCAACTCTCCATCAACCTAATTCAGAGTACAGAAGGATAGCATGAAATGCGGTTGCTTTTAGAAATACATAGACTCACGTGCCGATATGAGGGCATCAATGAAAGCTTTTTCGATGGCATTCACATTCATAATTCTGTGCAATTTCTGGGCGTGCTCTTCAGCTGCATGCAAGCAATGTAGAAGCTTGCACTTGAGTTGCAAATATTTAAAGATCTAGGTTCCTTCAAAGCAAGGCTGGCAAATGCGGTTCTCAGTTTAGTATGAGGAAACACCGAGTATGAGGCACCCTGGCTGCAAGCCTTTGGGAGAAAATGCTAAGACCATCAGCTCGTCCCACGAACAAAGACCATCCCAGGCTGGAAAAGCTAATTTGGAGAGTGTACACGGGGCGCTATCAGATTGGACACCAGCACTAGCATCGATTACACTGTGGCAGTGTGAAGCCCCTCACACTAGAACACTACAATTGACATTACGGCTGCTGTCAGACTGAAAACTGCTCAAGGCAGCCTTGGTATCAACTGCCATTTGCTTTTGTCAGAACAAAACTGCACCTCCAAGCACTCTTGCTCACACCTCAGTGATGTGGAAGCCTTTGCTAGTGTGTCAACACTGAAATCTCTGAAAGGGGTTAGTCCTGAAAAAATGCAGACAGCACCGCAGGAATGGTATAGGAAATGCCCAATTCACAGGAAGACTCGAAGAAATGCCACAGGACAAGTCCTTAAAAGAATTTTCGGCACTACTCATCTGAAAAGTTAAGCTGAGTTCCAAAGAGTCCAGAAAGAAATGCGGGTTTTTTGTGTTGCCAAACAAAATTGTACATTTGTGTCCTTTACATTTACATGTCATTTGACCTCCCCATCAGAATCTAATAACTTTCCAAATTAGTCAGAACTCAGTAGATATTTTATGTGGTACAATATTCATGAATATATTGTACATTCTACTGCATGATTTTTAAAAGCAGCTTTATATACAGTAAACTGAAATTAAAATTTAATTACGAAGAACATCTTTTCTGCAGCAGAAATCACCACAGTGTAAAACCAACAATGTGTACAGCTGGTGGAGGAGGTAATGCTTAATTACAGATTGCTTCTCACTATTAAAATAATTAACCATAGGTCACATTGCAAATAAAGCCATTTCCACGGAACCTGGGGTAAAAAAACTAAGCTGACATGACTCAGTGAAGACCCACCTGCCTTCTTTGATGCCAAGAGGCAGCATCTACTCTTACACGTCAAGGCAAATGTTCCCTCCAGCAGTGCTGACACCGCCCAAGCGACTGCAGCAGAGAATGGCACGGGCATGTCTGGCGGTGTGGGCTAGAATGCAGGGGCCTCTAGGCGTGGCCACTGGACCGGGTGTGAGCACAGGGCCACAGGGCCTCAGCAATCCAAGGGGTTATTTACAACCTTCCTCGGGCCAAATCGTTCCATCTATTTTGGGTGGTTTATCAAAAGGACAGAGTACTCAGAAGGGGACAAGCAGGAACCTGTTGCTGCAGCTCAGCGTTTCAGTGAAGGGCGGCAGAAGCTCCTGCTCTAGTATCTGTGAAGAGACAAGCTTTGCAAGCCTAGAAAGCAGGGGCATGCGAGGCTTGTGGCCTTTCCCAGCCTCAACTGGCGAAGGGGAACACCTTTAGCTGCCCAAGACGAATTAGGGGACAGACTGCCTCTTGCACGGCAAGTTCTCCCAGTGCAGGTCCGTGCTAGTCACACGTCAAAAGCTCATTAGTACCTTTGTATGGTGCAACAAGCTAGGCTGCAATTTTATCTGTTTGCCACTACAAACGCTCCGGATTCTTCATCTTGGCATTCTTCACAGAAAATGTTCTAGATCATATACCGATTCTACGTTGGGCTCCCTTCAACCTTCTAATCTATGGCCAAATCCAGCGATCTAAGACTGGCTTTTGATTTGGAAAGTGGGATGCCTGAATAAAAAGGAAAACTATCCGACCTTAACATTCCAGACCATGTGCTGTCTGCAAACTAACACATAGCAATAGGAAGTTAAAACTTGCCAAACCCAAGGGAGACAATAACTGCAGAAATTCTTGCTTAAATTTTTCACCACAATTCAGTTTCAGGTTTCACATCATTTATTTACAAAATAGTCTAATATCCCCCCTCCTCCCTCCCCCATACTTACAGTTCTCTTTCACGACACACACGTCAATTTTTTAGCAATGTCAATAGCACCATTTGAATATTACTTTAAAATCCGGAAGGATCTTGCTGCATCACTACAACAACTCGCAATCTTTTACATCCATGGACGAAGTATCTGAGCTCAGCAGGACTGTAGGCAGTTCCATCGAGGGAGTGAGGTCTGTGCCCAGTCCTCAGCAAGTGAACAGCGCTCTATGAAAGCCTTCGGACCATGTAGTTCAGAACGCCACCGTGTCTGTACAATGTCATTTCCACATCGTTGTCAAATGACGCAAGCACGTGGAATACTTTACCTGTATTTGTCTTAAAGGGAAGAGAGAACAAAGCAACGTTATCTTCCAATGCCCCTAAACATCAGATACTTTATTTTCATCCAGGGTAAACGTATTCTATGGTGATAGTCTATTGTGGAGCCCAGATCTTCGGAATTTCAGCTCTGCCTTTAAAGCAAGCAAGGGCCTAGAGGTTGTGGAACTGAAGTGCTTCATAAAAATACAGGCAAAACTTTTTAAAAGCTTGGGAGGTTGTACACAGGGATTGCCTCTGGGCAGCCGTCTATGACTTTAGTGCTTCTCTGAGCTCTGATTTACCTCATGTCCGCCAACTCTTTCCTCACAAGCTATGAAACTAAAGGGTACCGTAATGTGTACTTTTACCCCCAAGCATCCCCGAGCAAAACACTCCACCCTGTGATAAGTCAGCTTATGTGTCAGTATGTTCTGGAGGGATTTAATATTCACTATTTTCTCGGTTGCTACATTGGTCTGGGGGGTTGCATATTAATTCTACACGGCATTTTGATTTTCAGGGTAAAGGGGTGGATTTGGGGGGAAAGCGCAGGGAATTCAGGAGACACAGACTGGCAATTCAGGGAGATGGGACCTGGCCCTCAGGCTTGACGTTCCGCACCCAGACCCTAATTATATTTTTCTGCCATTCAACATGACCTTGGTACACCACTCTCCTTTATCTGAAGAGCTTTTGATGAGCCTACTGAGCTACTTAGCATGGTACAAAAACTTTTGCATTGCATTAAGAGCCCCTTCACCCTGTACTAGGGCTGAATTCCCCCTCAGAAGCACATTTGCAAACTCAGCCGTAAAACAAAGTATAACATTTGGTGAAGCAGCGGCATGCCATGACAATAGCCAGTTTCACCGTAGGGGAGAAAGAAAGCATTCTTTGATCATCTATTGTTACAGACACCCAAATAAACAAGTCAGTCGGAGATACCTTTACATTTAGGGTGATTCCAGGGGACAACTCTTGAGGAAATGAGACAGAAAACTGCTCTTTGCCCGTCAGGCCCAAAGCAGGTGCATTTTCCCCTGGGAGAAACTGCAGAGGGGCAATGCCCATTCCAATCAAATGGCCTTTGTGGATCTTCTCGTAGCTTTCAGCAATAACTGCTTTCACGCCCTGTGAAAACAGCCACATTCAACTTCTAATGCAATCTAATCCTCCAATATTTCTCCAAGTTATGGGATGTGCGGCTTATCTGGAACCTGACCTAGAACGCTAGATGGGAAGGATCTAGGCAGGAGGATTAAAAATGTACGCGGCCTTTGCAGAGAATCAGGAGCAGAACGCAGGTGGAACGAGATCTGACACTGAAATAATGGCACTTGAGCAGGAATTATTTTAGCCTCATTTAACGGGATTTTCTGATCCATAATCACCTGTGTCAAACAGTTGACTTAAGATCATTATAATCTCTTAACCATGGTCCCAGTTTGTGGATTCAGTAGTCAAAAGCCGTAATCTTCTGCTCTTCAAGATTCAGTGAAAAACTAGGTCATGCATGTTCCAGAGAAACAGGATGGCATAATTTATCAAAGTATTTTGAGGCTGTCTTTCAGGACAGGAGCCCCCCCCCCCCCCCAAGACAGTGTGCTAGATTTAAGTTCTACAAAACCAAAGATCAGGCGGCCTGTGATTCTGAGGGTATTTGTTACTTATAGGTTAAGATGACAGACACGTACCAGTAAAAACGGTCCTTTCGCGGCCCAGTCTCTTGAGCTCCCCAGTCCGTATTTCTTGCCTGCTAAAATAATCAAAGGGATATTTTCTTTCCGATATAACTCAGCTGCATCAAAAACATCCAGCTGCAGTTGAGAGAGGAAAGAGAGAGATGGGAGAAGGGTTATGGGGCATTTCCTACAGGCAACTCCCCAACACTGGCCTTATTTGCACATTACGACCTCACCGTTTGTCCTGTAGGGAAGTGAATGGTTTTAGGAGCTGGTTTCCCAATGAATTTATTTAAAAGCTTGATGTTTGCAAAGGTTCCTCTTGTCATCACAGCATCATTTCCCCTTCGAGCGCCGTAAGAGTTGAATTCACGGGGTGTGAGGCTACGGGGAAACGTAAGAGATTATTAAAATAAACAGGCGATGTGGCAGTGGATTTTCTCCATGAACAGCATCTAAAAGTGTTCTCCTGCGCCATTTAATCCTGTCATGTTCGAAAGCCTACTGGTCTCAGTTCTTCATAGCGGGTGCCAGTTATAAATAGTAGTCAATGATGCCATTCGCTTCTGATTGTACATTAATTCTGCAGCCGATGTTCTGTAAATTACATGATTATCTCTGAATATGATAATGTACCAAGAGGTACACTATCCACAGGGCCTAGTAAAAGCTGGAGATTATGCACCAAATTCTGATCAAAATCCTGAAAGCAATTTAGCTAATCCTGCTTAGTAACCTAGTTTAGCTATTGCACACACGGTTCATCTGTTTAAACAGCCACTGCCAGAATAAAGCCATTTCTGAAGATCAGATGCTCAGATCCTCAGGTTTCTCGTTACCTTTCCTCTGAACATTCTTACCCCTTGCTTGTCAAGTATCTGGCGGCGGCACTGCCCCTGGCAATACTTCCTGCAGGCGAGATGTGATCTGTTGTGACTGAATCCCCCAAATATAGTAAGACGTGGGCATTTTCGATACCCTGAAGGGGAAGTGGGTCTTTGGCCTGATAAAAGAAAGGGAAGAAATTGAATACACCTCTTTCCTGGTGAGTTAGCTGAAGACATACCAGGATTCGTATCAAAGATGTCTGCAGTAAAATTAAGCAAGATGGCTAGATCGGTCCGGCTGACACGAGGGCCTGCTTCCCACATTAAGTCAGTCATTGGGCCCGTCGGCATTTCTGAGGCACAGGGAAGCAGACGGTAAATGGGATCCAAGAGATCCCAGTGAATCACAGTCAATGCCAGGAGACTCACAAGCTTGTCAAAAAACGAAGGGCATCGGATGTATGTAGACTTCAAATCCCATGTGAATAAAACTGATTCGGGTGCTTCCAGGGAGTTCCATCGCTTATTTCCTTTCTGCAAAAAAGACAGACAGACGTTCTCAGGGGTCATATTTCAGTGGTGGGTGGGGTACAAAAGCAGTGGGGTTAAAAATGCAAACAGTATCAGCACAGACTTCTTCCAGCCAAGAACTAAGCCTTGAGAGAGGGGTTTCAGCCGTTCAGAACGGGGTAAAACCCACATCAAGGTGAAGCCATCAGCGTTAGAGCAAAGGGGGTGGGGGTGGGGCCAGGACGACTGGCACTGCCATCTCAGGAACCCTGGAAGGTTGGACTGGGGCCCTGCGGGGAGAAGATTTGGGTCTCGGGACTTTGAAGGCAGCTTGCTTTGGATGCAAAAGGGCCCCAGTTCTATCCCTGGGGGGGAAACGGATACACCTGAAAGATACTTGTTGGAAACCCTTTGCTGGACTAGATGGACCAAGTCTAGCACAGTATAAAACATTCCCTTTGCATTCTGCCCTTGTAGTTGAAGCTAGCAAGGATGTTTGAGACAGGAGAGTACAGCACATCTTTTGCTACGAACATGGCGCCCAACAGAACACCGCATCGCGGAGAAGACGCTCGGGCCACTTTTTAAAAATTTGGACAACAACGAGCTACCTCCATTTTTTCCTTCAGCTCCTTAAACATGGACGATATTACAAACTCCTCTTCCGCTTGCTGAACTTCCTCCCGAGTGGGCCAAACATCACGCAAGAAGATACTTTCGCCATCGGGACTGGTTCCTATGGAAAAATGTTGCATCCTATGATCAGGGGCAGGTGGCAAAAGCGGCTCGTCACATTCTTCCCGAGAACAGGCCAAACATCCCCAGGCGCTCGTTGCCGCGTGATTATCATACCCATGATGATAATTTATTTGTACTCTGGAAAGCAGAAGTGGGATCACGCACACTAATCCCCCAGCTCTCATGCAAGTCATTTTAATTTTCTTTTTCTTTAGTCGAAGAGGAAGCTGCCTGAATAGTTTACAATGGGTGACTTGTCTTTCACGCTAGAAAATGTAGGTAGTTGAGACTAGAGAGATTAGAGTACAGATGCCAGTAGATGCTTTAAGCACCGTTAGAAAATGGAAAGGATGCTTCTCAACTGCTCTCTGAGCAGTGCAGGGAAGGGGGAACACTGACCACGATGAAACAAGCTGAAATCAGAGAGACTGTTACCTAATGGCTCAGTCTGGAAATCAATATTCACAGTTCCTGCTATAGCATAAGCAACAACTAGAGGTGGAGAGGCAAGGTAATTGGCACGGATACAGCTGCAGAGACGGCCTTCGAAGTTTTTGTTTCCAGACAAAACTCCACAAGCAACCAAGTCACCCTGAAAAGCAGAACACAGCCAATTAATCAAGAGAGTACTTTTACGGGCAAGGATGCCTGTTCTCTTCTCGTATTTCAGCCTGGTCCTCAACACTTGGCTACAGAATTTAAACAGAAGTCAAACAGTCTATCAGCCAGCTCATGACTTAATGGAACCTCAATACTGCATATACTTTACCAAGTAAATTCCTAAGTCATCAGAATCCTGTGGCAGGCTTCATGACGGGTGGAGAAAGAAGGGGCCGCAATGTGGAAAGGACGACTGCATTGTACATGGTACGCACACGGAACACCGAAGCACACACTAGTTAGAACAGAACCATTTCTAATTGTGGCCTGCAAACCCCACAGTATTTCAGGATGCTGAGGACAGCATCGGTGTGGTCGCACGGAACTCCTCTTTCTTGAAAAGCCAGCAGGATCAAAGCTCGCTATATTTCAGGTCTGAAAACGTACCTCCACAATTGCATTCTGAATGGCTTCCGGCAAAGGAGCGGTATTCCCGACACACGTGGAACATCCATAGCCAATGACCTCAAATCTAGAGCAGAAAACCAGGGTTTAGTGGTTCATTGGTGGGTCCTGCTTCTTCACCCACCTCTCTCAAGGCAATTCAGTATCTGAAGCTGTCTTGAATCATAAGGGACCATCCCAAAAGAACTACTGCAAGGCTTGGGCTTCAAGTCTCCACCCAACATACCGAGAGACCCCTCTCCTGCCTTTGGAAGGGGACATGGGGCACGCATGGGAAGACCCTTCGCTGACTGAATGCTGAAGAGCTGCAGCCAGTCAGAGCAGGCAATACTGGGCTTCATGTGGTATAAAGGCAGCTACCCAGGGCAAGCAATGTCTCGGCTAGATGTCACTGAATGAGCACGCACATTAAAACAAAGGAACAACAAATAATGTAACTTGTGGGCTTTAAAAAAATACATGCGAGTTCTGATACTCCACTCAGAAATAAAGTTTTGCTACAGATCCTTCAGTTTCAGATTTGGAACTACTCAAACATACTCTGGCTAAAAAGCCAAGGGGCTTATACTTTAAAAAAATAGAACAAATCACATGCCAAGCAGTCTCTAAGCTCCATGCTACTGGTTCATGTGGCGCTTGCTTTTTCCTTCACCACAGCCCCCATGATGGCTTCACCATGGCCCTTTGTGCTCGTGATGGTCAGTGAAAATCGCACAGCCTCTTAACCCTCTACACGGAAGAGCGAGGAAGAGCGTACCCAAGTTTACTGAGGTACGGCAACACCCCACTGGAACTGAGATAGTGCGTGGCCATTCCGCTCCCAGGTGATAAGCTCGTCCTCATGTAAGGTTTAACAGTCAGACCAGCTTCAAGGGCCTTTTTGGCCAACAAACCTAACAAAGAAAGATGGAAGGAAAGAGTTAAAGATGCAGATAAAGAGCAGCACACTCAAGGCACCAACTCAACATTCCGGGAGTGGAGCGGGGTGCTTGAGGAAAGTGCCTCCAGGTTTGAGCACCCGCTTTCTTTAAAAAGAGAACTCTAAATATTGTATAAACGCCAAAACGGGAACAGTCCAATGAGCCCTCCTGTTCCGTTCCTTTCAATGGTTTTAGGCAGGAATCTTCAAAAGCTCCTTCGAGGATGATGGCTGGGCAGCCCAGTGTGTTTTTATCTTTTGTTTGGTAACAAACGTGTTCAATATAAGTTCTAATAAGGCAGGAAAAATAAAGGTAGGAAAAAGGCAGGATATAAATCCATGAACGAAGGAATGAATGCTGTTTCATCATTCTCCTAACACAGGCTGTTCAGTATAAGTTCTAATAAGGCAGGAAAAATAAAGGTAGGAAAAAGGCAGGATATAAATCCATAAATAAATAAATGCAGCATATAAATAAAAAAATAAATACATGCTGTTTTATTGTTCTCCTAACACAGGCTGCCCTAACGTGGTACCCTCCATTGACCATGCTGGCAGGGGGATGATGGGTGCTGTAGCCAAAACACTCCTGGAGGGCACCGGATTGGGGTGTTTTGCTCAAGATCCTCGATCCCATGAGCCAACGGGCTGGCAATTTACCATCTTCAGAAAGAGAGCACGGGGCCTTGCCACGAAGGCCGCCTGATGCTCCTGGGCCAATCCGGGACAAGATGCGGTTTCCGCAGCATCGCTGCAACTTCGACATCAGCAAACCCCGCCGATGCCGAACCATGGATGTGTGAGAAAGCTGCTGTCCCGCAAAACGGGTGGCAGGCGAAAGATGCCCATGACGGATTTGAAAGCCGCCCCCCCCCCGAGGCAGCCCTGCTTCGGGCACCCAAAGGGGACCAGATTCCAAGGAAAAGGCGGCGCCACACCAGCGACTGGCCCCTTTCCAAGCAAGGGGTGCAGCTGGGATTAGAGCGGCAAAAATGCTGCGTGGCTTCGACAGTGGAAAGCGTTCCTAGTGCTGGGAGACTGGCAGAGCCTGGCACCACACGCTTCCTGTTACGGCAAGAGGTAAAGATGGGCACCTGGCGAAGCGTACCTGCTGCTAACATCACCGAGGGGTTGCAATTGTTTGTACAGCTGATCACGGCCGCAATGACGACCGACCCATGAGCCAGCCTGTACTCGTTCCCTTCATACTCAACAGGAACCACGTCGTTTTGCTTTTCGGGGGCGATCTGGAAGCCTTTAAAGCCGACCTAGGCAAGCAAAGTATTATTGTGAAGTCAGTCTCGCCACAAATCCGCAACTGCTTTTAAGGAAGAAGGGAGACATAGGAATAATGTGCTGATGGGCAGCCTGGCTCACCAGGGAGCCGAACTCCAGTGGCAGCAGCTCCACTCAATCAGGGAAAGAAGCACCACCGATTTCAGTTCATTCTGGGCTGCCAGACCTGAATGGGATACTCCAGTGGGCATTCATCTCCCCGCAGTCCAGATGGATGATGGGAGTTTGTGTGGGCCAGGTCAAACACCCACATGGTAGAACTGAACCGCCCCAAGTGAAACGGGCTTTGGCCAAACGCATTTCCTATACTCGTACTTGCATGTCCCAGTGGGAGCATGAGGGACGGTCACTGAGACAGTTTGCTTCTCTCTGAATTTCAAATGCTACAACCAATTGGAAAGCACTTAATTTCAACAAGACTCTTGCGACAGGAAGAAGAGATATTTTACTTCATAAATGTAGAAACCCGAGAAGTAACTTTCCAACTCGGTTGTACGTACCTTTTCATTTAGGCATGCCTGGAAATCGTTTTTCATGTTTGTCACGGCAACTCTGTCTTGTGCCCTCTTGGGACCACTCACATAGGGCATTATAGAATCCAGGTTTATGTGTATAATCTGATGGCGAAAATCTCGTGTTAATAAGCTTTGCACAGTTTATATCACTGCACTGAAGCCTAGCTTTCACATTTTGCAAAGAACCTAACTAGCAAAAGAAGGAAGACCAATCTTTGACATCAGATATGATTGTGTGTGTGTGTGTGTGTGTGTGTGTGTGTGTGTGGTTTTTGAAGGTCACCCTACTTAAGAACTTACATGTTGCAAAGGTCATTTTTTGAAAGGCACTAATACAATATGCCAATAAAACTCCTAACACAAATATTAGCTAGTGTTTGAAATAAAAACATAAAATGCCACAATTGTACAGAATAAGCCAGGATTGCTTGCATATACGCATTTCACTGTGAACAAGAAGGAAGCTGGCAAGCTGATCTGCTTGCATATTCTGCCTTCTTTTACACAAGTGTGCAAAACCAAACAGAAATGGGACGCTTTGCATGGCAGCCAAACATAGGCTTCCTGCTTTATTGTGTAACCCGCCTTGTTTTGCCACAACAAACTCTGACTTGCGTGCCTGGCAACAAACCAGAAGCCGACATTTCAACCTCATGCAATGTTGTCACTTGGTTTGGTTTACCCACTTATATAAATGGGGAGGGGACAAACAGTTGGTTGCTATGTGCCAGCATGTGATATATTTGCGATAATTTAGTCTAATCACTTATAGCAATGAGAGATTATCATCCCATCTAAGCACCCCCACAGCCTGCCCGCTTCCTCCCAGCAAGGGCTAGAATCTCAGCAATTACCAAACTGTCACTTGGCTAATCAGCTATCTACCTAGAGGCTGAGGTGTGAAGGAATGAATCCTATTGCAATGCTTTTCAACCAAGACTGGCTACAAACTTGGTCAACAGTAAAAATGCACAACATTAATAGAATTAATTTCAATTAATTAAAATGCTGCATTAATTGTAATAAATCTGTGTCAGAGAATGTATAGCAAAGGCATCTGGTCCTTCAGATCTCACACTTCAGGATTTGGCCCTGAGGATGAGACTTAGTCAACGAGTTAAGGGGAAAATGCTAGCCCACAGAGGCTGCCCGATCTCTTGATCTCCTGAAAGAGCGGAGTGCTGAGCCCCCCGTGACCTCTCCTCAAGATACTGATCCAAGCCACTGCAGCCTCACCAATGTCACACTGAACACATAATGGGCTTCACCTGTCAGACTTCGATAGCTCTGGGACAGGGCAAAGGATGTTTACAAGTGTGAGAAAAATGACAGGAGCAAGCTGGTCGGGACACAGAATTGGACTCTCAACTTAGGAGATATAAAAACTACCTTGGAGTGGGAGGCAAAGGCTTAAGAAAAGGGTATGTGATTTAGAGAGACAGACATACAGGCATTTTGAAAGAGGCTAAGTTATTTGGATATACCTGGGAATATTCTGGTTCTTCAGTGGAGCTCTGATAATTTCTAAATAGTTTCACAGTTTTAAGATATGCTTCCATGGACTTAAGCTTGACCTCATCAAAGCCTATGAGAAACATTTGAAGATTTAGGAGGGAACACCAGCTAGGTAAAGCAAAACTATTTGCTGGCAACAGCAACATTGCAACAGCGCCTGCACAACAGAAAGCATGAGATATACAAACTACCTTTTTCTAATTCAGTTTGTTGCAAAGGATGGACTGCCCCTGATCAGTAGTTTCAATTCCTCTCCATATATCAGCCAGAAAAAGTAACCTGAAGAATCATTACAGCATCTCAAAGTACTTAAGATAGAAGGGAGTCCAATTAAATAATTCCTAAGGTATGCACTGTGGAGAGACATAATGCTAATATAGCTGAACCTACAACACAACATATGGGAAAATGTTGGCCCTATAACAAGTTATTGTGAAATATAATCCTGCTCTAACCAATAGATTCTTATGTGCAATTCTAAAAAACTCTGCTGGTATCCAACTCACCTGTATGTTTTAAATGCCTTAGCGTCACATTATCTATAGGGAAAAAGCTCAGAATAGCACCATATTCTGGACACATATTTGCTATGGTGGTTCGGTCACCTATGGAGAGCTGGGAAACTCCAGGCCCAAAGAACTCCACAAATTTTCCAGAAAATCCTGCTTGACGCAGTTGCTATTGGGAGGAGGAAAAAAAATTGAAATATTGCATGTAGAACAATGAAAAATTCTTCAGTCATCATTTTCAGAAGGCCAACAATCAATTCTACGAAGGGAAATGTGCCTGCAGGCAGGGGACTACCCACAGGCTCCACTCATCAGCAAGGAGCAAAGGCGGAACAACACACAAACTAAGGGACAGTCAAATATTTGGGGAGACATGCTAAAATGTATGCCAAATTGTACAAGCACCCTCCCGTGCTCCTGAAGGCTTTGCTCCCTCAATGGACTACCTCCGCGACTCCCCCGTCACTCCCAACATTAGCCTGATCTTGCAGTCCTCTGGTGCCCACTATAAAAATGTACCACACCTACATCTAATATTGCAAATCAATGTGGCATTTCTATCGTTTCGGTTAAGGAAAAATTTCCGTTTGATTCAGCTGCACGATTCGTAAGCTTAGCCAGCACCGCCCCGAGTGAAACTGGGGGCAAATTAAGGGAGAGAGGTGCCATGTGGGCTCAGCACAATTCAGCTGCTCGGGAGGTCGCCCAGGCGCGCCTGCACCGCATCCCAGTTAGCTGGGAACGTGTGTGAGGAGAACCTTGGAGGGCTGCCAGAAAGCTGGTTTGTGGGAAATGGTCTCGTCTCTCCAGGAAAGCAGCAGCGCGTTTCAAAATGTCAGGCTGTGAAGCGTTGCCCACCCACTGTTAATGACCTCGCAAAGGAGAAACCCCCAGATGGCTGGCTTGGCGGCCAAGAGTCCTAATTTACCTTAGTGATGCTCAGGACCACATCTATCGAGGTGGCAAGAGGGTCGGCGGAGCCCGTTAGTTCACACCCGACCACTTCGGGCAAGGTGAGCGTGATGGGCAATCCCAGCATGACGGCTTCTGTCTCAATCCCACCCACACCTGCAAGGAGAAATTACACCACTTGAGCTCCTGAAATGTCGAAGGGTGCACTGAAGTCTCTCTCAAAAAACTGCTTTTCGTCTGAAGGTCACGCAATGGAGAACTCTGCATAAGCCTCAGTTTCACCTGCTTTACGGCAGGAAGGCAGATGGACCAAGCTGACTGATACTGATCTTTAGTCTGTTGTCGACTAAAACAGGAGAAGATTTTTATCTGTTTACGCTGGTCACTCAAGTGTGTGGCTGCTGGGATTCAACAGGTGATCGGCTCCACCACTTCAGCTACTTTGCACTTGGCTCCAGCTGGTCAACCATGGGAGTTCTAGCAATCAAACCAAGTCCGTCTTGTAAGTCTGCCTTCTCTTGTTCTATGAGCCATTATTTTTTGGGAATTTAAAGCACTCCACCAGAAGAAACAGATAATGGTTTTGCACAGATGAAGCAAGGGGAAAGAAGTGAACAGACTTTCCATTAAACTTACCCCATCCCAAGATTCCCAAGCCATTCACCATTGTCGTATGGGAATCTGTACCAATGACACTGTCTGGATACAGGAAACCTTTAACATCAAATACCACTCTTGACAAGTATTCTAGGTTTACTTGGTGTGCCATCCCTGTTCCAGGTGGAATTACCGAGACATTTCGAAAAACTCTGGACCCCCACTAGTTTATTAAGAGAGAGAGAGAGAGAGAGAGAGAGAGAAATAAAACATGTTTCATGCTCTTTATGTTAACTGTGAATGCCAGTCAGTGGATCAGAGATAGGTTTTTTGGTAAACAAACACATCTCTTTTCTGTTTGATGAAATTTTGGAAAACAGTCTTAGCGTCAAGAGAAAGTAACATTAATATTATGGTTCACAAAATGTTTTTTCCTCTTCACAGTACAAATGTAAAATCTCTACAGGAGATAAAAACTATTCAACAATTGGTCTTCCACCACTCCTTTGAAGAATTGACATAACCTTAGTCAGGCCTTGAGTTTGACAAAAGATTTGTTATGTTCACTACCAAGAGTCTCCTTTTCTCTTCCAAATTACATATTCTGAAAGCTATGGAGATGCTTCAAGTTTATTTCTCAATGGTCCTTCCAGGTCTCCAATAGGACCTTGACTGTCTTTCTATAAAGTGTTGTTGGGTTAGACTGTCTTCAAATCAACGTACCTTGAAAAACTGGAGTCTCTCTCTGTTCCGACCAAATTCCACTTCCTGGTTTTTTAACACTGTTTCTGGCCTAAGGAGAGGAGGAAAAGAATTCATATAAATATCCGTGTTTATTTCACTAATTCTTCACTTATGGTTGCAAAATGAAGGTTGAAACTATTTATTTATTAGGTTTATTAGCCCTAGGGTTCAGGATGGATGAGGCCTGTTTCCTCCCAATGCAGGAAATAAAGACTCCCGACTCAGTCATATTCCCTCTTTAAAGACAATCAACAAGTCAGGGACTAACCTCCACCAAATTAAATGTGACTTAGCCCCAGGGAAGTGTATATACCGGGGTGAGCAATTTGTAGCACTCCAGATGTCTTAGTTTCCAAATCCCGTGATCCCTCACCACTGGCTAACCTGGTAGGGCTGATAGGAGCCACACATCAAAACATCTCAGAGGCCATAAGCTGCCCAATACCCAATAGAATTTTGCAGCCTTAGAAGAGAAGAGCACAAAGGGAAGGTGTGTCTTTGAGCAATCATTCTCAGAGATAGCTAACCTCAAGCAAGAAGGTGTAGGAGCCATGCTATAAATATTAAAAAAACTGCTTATTTTATATCTAGTTGCTTTATGGTCAATTAGTAAACCAGTAAGGTAAACAGTCAGTATGAATGACTTCTGGAATTCCAGAATTTCCCTTTTTACAAGGCAAACATATATACCTGGAGGTATTCCTACTTTCCAAACAAAAGCCTTCAGATACTATGTTTTTGCTGAATCTAAGTCAGGGACTCTGCATGTGCCTAATAATCAAGACTTTGTTGGAAATTTTTAAGTAAATAGACGAGAAGACAGCTCTCGGCAGGATTCAGCTTTCATTCGTTATAAAATGAAGCCCACTGCTACCAAATGCCAGTGAAGGGTGTGCATGTTTTTCTGGTACAGAAAAGAAAATTCTTTCAGTTTCTTGGTATTCTAAAAGTCACGTTCACCTTATTGCCGGGCTCACCATGGGGAACGTGAACATCACGCTATTGTCCCAGAATGAGAGGAAGCACCAGCGTTGACCCCAACACTGAAGCTGCAGAGGTGAGCAGCAAATGCAGGAGAACTGTGGTGGAGAGCCAGGGTGGTGCAGTGGTTAGAGCACGGGACTGGGCCTCAGGCGATCGGGGTTCAAGTCCCCACTCGGCCATGGAGCCAACTGGGGGACTTTGGGCCAGTCACAGACACTCAGCCCAGCCTACCTCGCAGGGGTGTTGTTGTGGGGATAAGATGGAGGAGGAGAATGGTATAAGCTGCCTTGAGCCCTTTGAGGAAAAAGGCAGGATATAAATTGAAAAATAAATAAAAAATAAATTAATAAAACTGATTTGGCAATCCTGACCACCTTCCCAGCTCCAAAGCGGCTGTATGGCCGAGGTGCTCAAAGACCCTCGGCCACATGGGGTCGAACACCACCATCGAACATCATCATCCCCCCGGCCTTTTCTGCTCCAGAACGGGAACGCGCCCTGGAAAGGAAAAGCTAGAAAGAAACGTGCTGACGGCAGCACACATACCACCCACTGCCTGCCCTTGGGAATTGTGTGTGTGTGGGGGGGTGATATTTGATAGGCAGGAAGTCTGAACTACAGAAGTCTGAACTATGGCTTGGCCAGCAAACTGAATGAATAGTCCTAATGGAGACACTTCCTGCTGCATCAGACCAAGGGTCGATTTAGACCTGGCCCTGTTTCCAGTTGTGAACAGGCAGGTGCTTCTGAGAAGCCACAATACCTTGCAGCAACGGTATTCGGAGGTGCATTACCTGTGAACATGGAAGTGCCACTATCTACGTTAATGTATTTCTACCGCATTTACATTCTGGCCTCCCCTAAAATATACCCAAAGTGGTTAAAACAATAAAGTCCATAAAAAACATAGTATGAAACTATTGAACAAGCCAGTAAGATCCCATAAAATCTCAAAAAACAGAAGCCAATGAAAATACCATAGGATTAAAACAACAGGTAGTATCGCACCAAAGCAGAGAACACAAACCAACTCTATAGGTCAAATCTCTGTTTAAACAAAAATATTTTGCATGCTGGCAGAAGGCTGTCAACAAGAGGGCAAGAGCATTCCTTTGGCAGGGAAGCCCAAAATCTCAGCACAGGCTATCACAGCTAATAGTACTAATGGGCTCCCTCTAAAGCCATCATCACATCTCGTGGCAACAAATTCCATAACATGGGGGGGGGGGGAACCTTCCATGGGTCCTGACTCTATTATCAATTTCACTGCATGACTACCAGTTTTAGTGCTAGGAGAGAGGGAGAAATGCTCATTTAACTACATAATGCAAAATATTATAAACCTCTAATCAAGCCCCATTGGCAGTCATCTGTTTTTGCTAAGTTCAGCCTTTCATTCTCTGTATGAATAGTTTGAGACAAGAACGCATACACTCCCTGGAAGCAGAAAGTGCTCCATGCTGAAAGCAAACAGTTCACATGTATTGCAAGAGACCCTTAGAATAAAAACAATTAGAATTGCTGAGTGTTTATGGTGGAAAGAGAAGCAAGACGTGAACTCTTACAAAGAGCCAGCCACCAAATACTTAGGGGCAGGACTGCCAATAAATGAACTAGAACTGGGGCAAATATGAAATATTACCTGATGATCAGATCCAAGTAAAATTTAACACATGTAATGTCAAAGAATCACTGGACTCTCCATCTGCAGAACAAAAGCAACTCCCAACAGCCAAAAGGGGACTTGATAAAACAAACTTACTCAGGCAGTGGCTGAAGATGAAAAGGACACAGCAGGGGGGTGTTCTCAATCTGCACGGAAAGCTGACCCGAGTTGCGCTTTGATTCTCCATCACATGGCCCTTTGCAGCTGGACTGGCCTCTGCAGGGCAGCTTCCGAGGACCCTTCACGGGAGAAAGCTTTGAGGGCAACCTCGGTGGATCCCCACCTCCCGGATTGGGAGTGTTCTGCATTGCACTTTTTAAAAAGGAAGATAAGAGCAAGGTTTCGATTAAGTTCCTTAAAATCCTTGTATGATATTTGATGTTCATGCAATGTAAAAGAGATCCTTTTAAGAAACCAAACCTGATATGGTGAGACTATATTCTACCTACAAAAAGGCAAGGGGTGCTCACTGTATTATTACTCTGGTGTCCTGGTCCAGCTGAGGCCACCTCAGTTCAGGTTCAAGGTTAATCGGGAAAAATCAACACCACTTATTTGAAAGGTAAGATACAATTTGTTGAATACAGTGATAAACTGTTGTTGCAGACAATAAACAGTCAGGCAAGAATAAGCTGACAACATGACTACTGTTCAGCACCGACTGGGGGTGATCGCATTTCTTCCTCGTGTAAGATGCTGAACCTGGTTACACGCCGGCTTCTCCATGATGCAATTTCAAATAGACCCAGGCTGTCTACACAGGAACCCACATTCGATGACCAGTACCAGCCCCCAACAAACACAACAGAGAGTAAAAGTAAACCAGCTTTATAACAAATACCATTTACTGAAGTCAATCTGTAGAGAATGGTCCACAGTGAGATCTGTTGGGCAGGCAGGATGGACTCTTGCAGGATCTCCTCCAAGATTTTTCACAGCTTCCCTCATAGCAGCAAAATCCACCATTGCAGGAATCCCACTGACAAGTAAGAGCAATGTAAAAATATTTAACTGAGTGTGGCCAAACGGAAGAAACATTCCTTAAAGTCAATACTATAGGTTCCCTATCCTATTGACATGGTGTTAGAAGATTCCATCTAATAGTTCAGCAATGAATAAAGAATGTGTATTTTATTCAAACAAATATTCACACAAAGAATGGTCTAATTGAGACTATCCTCCAAAGACAATGAAAGTAAGGACAGATGAAGAGAAGGCCCCTGTTGCTACTGGAATGCCTGAATAAAACGTGCTTTTTCCAATCCCCATGGAAAGGGCAGTTCAATTTTGACAATTTGGGCAGATTCAAAGGGATATCCCTGCCACCACTGTCCATGCTGCTAAGACCCATTTGCCAACCAAGCATGCAAATGGTTAAAAGTGACACTAATTCTATGCCAACAGCTTTTTGCATCACACAGAATTCATTGCTGAAACAAAGAACGGATTAAAAGACTCAATTAACACTTTCTTTTTTCTTGGCTTTAAAGTATGTGCTTTAATTTCAGTGGTTGTAAGCCATCTAGATTTAGAGTCAAAGTAATCTAAAGGCAGGATACAAATCTGGTTACTGGAAATAATATCAATAGAAAATGTATTCAGTGCACGGGAGAATGACTGACCTTCAGTGGCAAAGCCAATGATCTGAATCCAGATAGTTCTAGATTCAATGCATTTATTTATTATTACATTTATTCCCTGTTCTTTCCCCTCTGTTAAGAAACCTAAGGTGGCTACATGGGTCTCTTCCACTCCATTTTATTCTCTGAACAACTCTGTGAGGCGAGTTAGATTGAGAGTGACTGGACTGAAGAAACCTAGTGAATTTCCTAACTAAGTGGGAACCAAAACCTGGATTCTTTCAGTCCCGCTCTGACACTCTAACCATTATAACTCACACTGCCTCATGAACCTTGCAGTCTCCAGGCAAGGCTTTTTTTGGGGGGTGAGGCTGAGACTTTAAAGAGCTCCTGCCAGTTGGTGTCAGCAATTCTGCACTGCAGGGGTCCAGCAAACTGACTCAGTCCAACACAGCTCCCTTCATTTCTATTTAAATCAGAGCCCAGGCTGAACTGGCAGATGCAGTATGTTGTTAGCTGCAGGCATTCAGCAGCTACTATCCAATGTTTAGGCACCCTTAAGACCACAGAAATCAGCAGCATTTAAATTCAATGGCAGTGCTCAGGTCTGGGCAGAAGCCATAGCGAAGTGACAGTGCCTAAGCTTAGCATCCAAAACCAGGGAGACACGCTGCTGCCAGCCAGAGTGGACAAGACCAGGCTAGATGGGCCAAAGGTTTGACGCTGCATAATATATGGCACATGCAAAAATACGGCACGGTTCAAGAAGAGATGCAAATGTAACTGGAGCATATGGAAGCATCCCGAGAAGGGAAGCAGCCCTACAATACCCCATTATCTCAACCGCTTTTCCCAAACAGACGTGCCCCGGGTACTGGAGCCATTGCCAGTATAAACCCTCACAAATAGTTGAACTTGACTATCCAAACACCGTGGACACCCTGCCCTGAACATTTCGATCCAGTCCACACTGCCTGAGGGTCGAGCTAAAACATCTGACAAAGAAAAGGAGTCTCACGTAAAATCTTGGAGGACGACCCTGGCAGGGCAGAAGGGCACTTCAATGACGTTCTGTTTCGCTTTCCAGTCCAAAATGTTCATGGCATCTTCTTCCTTCACTAGAAAGCCATCACAGTTGCGGACGGCTGATTCCAACAGGACCCGTATGGAGTAAGGCAGGGTATCTGCAGGAAGGGGGAACAAGCTAGTTACATGGGAATATTCTGGCACTGGTCCTGCTGTGCACGGGCTCCTTTCTAAATCGGGGGGGGGGGGTGCAGGATCTCAGGCCCAGGGCCAAATCTGGTCCTCTAGGATTTTCCAGAAGGACACACCCTCTTCCTGCCCAACCACCAATCACTCAATGATTTCCCAGCTTCTGTGCGGCATTTCTCCCACTCTAAGAGCTTGGAATGCTTCCTCCAAGGCTTACTTACTGGCAGCTAGAGTGCAAAACTATGATACGGCGGCATGTTTGCCCTACGGTATGAAACCTTAATAGCAGAATTGTCCAGTTACTCCAGCTTAAGCTTGTACACACAGACGGTGCAAGTCAGGGTCGTAGTGCACGGGCAGCCCCAGGCTCAGACCCTGGACCAGGCAGCAGGGTGATGAGAAAGATCTTTCTGCCATGGTCCATCGCAATACCGGTCTAGGGGGACAAGGGGCTCGCCCTGGTATAAGGCAGCTTTCTGTGCTTTCACTGGGTAGGAGAATCTTCTACATACTCTGTAAAAAGGCAATACAAAGAGTTGGGCTGCTTTTACATTTAGCACAATTTCGAAACAGGACCCGAATGAATCAAAACATTTATAACATGCTGGGATTTTTCCAGGTACAGGCACAGGCCAGGAGGTAAAAGCCTGTATTTCGCTTTCTTGGGTTTTCAGAACTGACGTGTGCACTCCCTTCAAAATCTTAGTGGGAACTTTATAAAAATGGCTCCACAGATCAGAACAACTGCCCTTAGTGGAATAAATTCAAAATGAAAATAGGATACACATCTGCACCAATGATCCCATGTAAATAAGACAGAAACTAATAGTGGTTTTACTTTATTGTTCCTTGACAATATGCACAGATCTAGTACACACCTGGCAGGTGTCAATTTGATTAGCAGTTTAAACCAAGCTCCCATTATTTTAGACTGTTGAGAACTCAGTGGAATTCCAGAAGGTTCTAGTCGGTCTCTGTCAGAGTTATTTGCTAGCCTTTTGGTTTAATGAACTTAACAAGAGTTCAGTATCCTCATGTGACAGGTCAATAATTACTATATAGCATTGACTAACTTCCATTAAGAATTCTGCTCCATATACAACAAGTCATGCATTCGAACTGGGCCTTCTTGATGTTTTGCTTTCTGGCAAGAACACTACCTGATACGTTCAAAAGGGAGATGTGTGTACAATGGTTTGCTTGAAAATTAATGCGGCTAAGCAAGGGACATTTTATTATTATTAAAGCTATGTGTGCCCAGAGATGATTGCCTCAAATCTATGATGTTAAATCAAGTATGAGGCAACAAAAACATTTCATATAAACACTAATATTTATACTAATGTATATACTAATATACTAATAAAACCAAGGAGGTCTTGTTATCTAAAATATGTTTTAGTACAAAGAAACATCAAAATAACTATAATATACATATATTTAAAGTATGGGAAAGAGTTTTTTATTATTGTACATTATTTATTATACTGATCATTGTATGAAAATGTTAGATTTCTATTTAAACTGTTAAGAGTCCTTTTCTGCGTTCAGTGTTTGTAAAGACTGGCTTCCCTTTACTAGACTTAAGATGAATACATCACAGACAGAAATTATTTGCTATTATGACTAAGACAAACTAACATAATTTGTCTAGAGAACGTTAATCATCTATGATTGTCTATTATTGCTTTGTTCACAAATGTGGATAAATACTTCCTGCATTTTTCATTTTAATGTCTCAGATGACTGATTCAGCCAATGTATTTATTTGCACTCCCTAGTACAGTGCTTCATTTTAATGTGCTTTTGCATTGCTATGACCCCCCTCTTGGGTAATTAACCCCCCCTTGGGTTGGCAACTTGAGAAAAATGTCAACATAAAAATAGCACAGAATTATAACAAAACAATGGCATACTGCATGTCAAACAAAATATCTATAATTGCTTAAATTAAAAATTAAAGGCACAATTATTTCTTTTATTCAAGAAGACAGCAAGTGAACTCCTTGAGTATAACTTGTATGATGCAGCAGTCACTTTATTGACAGGAAATCAATAGTACAATTTAAACTTCCTTTTATTAGCTATAGCTTGTTCATTTAAGTGGCCTTGCTATCAACTGAACTACATTTTTTTAAAAATGGTCCAAATTTAGAGAATTTTAACTTGAAATATGCATTTGTACTTCATTTGCCTTCTTGTTGAGATACCACCGTGATCATTGTGGAATAATTTGCACCTATAAAAGTTAAGAATGCAATCTAAACGGTAAAGTGGAGGTTCTGATACTTTTAAAATGATTATGTAGCACACACAGGAATCACTGCCTTAAAACAAACTGGCGGTTATTCTATTTAACAATAATTCCAGCAGGTTATAATAAAATATTGCAATGAAATAGGAGAGTATTAGCTAGCAAGTTTAACAGGTTCACATACTCGTTTTTCAGCTTTGAAGAGCACAAACTATTGCTGTAGGGTTCAAAAACTTCATTTAAATTATGTAAAAATTGTGTTTTACAAGACAGGCAGTGTAATTTCTTCCTCATTAGGTGATTCATTCAAAGGCTAACCAAAGAGAAAGCTATTTACAAATCCTCTATACAGCATGCAGTATCTTCCCTTGAATAAATTGTAATTATCTTCAAGTTTTTCAGTTTGACAGATATCCAACTATACTTTGTCTCTGACTGAATCACTGAGCTGTTTTCACTATTTATATACCAAACCAGTGCCAGAATGGGAAAATGCCGTGGAATTCTACATACACTGTCTTGAATTCTCTGAGAGAGGATAAGGTGGGGATACTTATTTGAGAGATCAGAGCTAAGAGAAATCAGATATTGCTACATTGTGGACAATGATTACCAACTTAGAATGGATACAGGTAATCCTAGTGATGTCGAGTAAAAAATTTTCTAAATGAGTTTGAGGTACTTTCCCCCCCCCATAGAAAGTTCATTAACAGAAGTGAAGGTGGGCCAATTGCAAAAAGAATATTAAGCAAGTCGGGGAATCACAGTGCTTTTAAAAGGGGTTGCAAAAGAGGAGGAAGATAATGTCTCCCCTTTCTGGAGTAGCCACAGATTTAAGAAATGTTGGTAATGATACGGAGAACTGTCAGTTCAATAACATTGCTAAATGGGAGCTCTCGTCTCATCCCCACACATATACTTTGGGGGCTTTTGCTGCTTTCCCCCCTTTGCATGTGCTTTTCAATGGACAACATGCCGATCAGACCTTGGCAACTGTGTGCAAAACCGCCTACCCTCTTGGACAGCTGAAGCATGCCACAAAATTGATTAGGCGCAACTTCTAGACAGCTGCAAATGAGCACAAAAGGGCTACCTGGCCATCGGTGGAGGGATGGAAGGAGGTACAGCAACGGATGCCCTTCTCCGGGAACCCTCTGTGAATGATATTAGGAGGGTGAGCACCCGGAGGAGGGCTTTCTCTGCGGTGGCGCCCCATCTATGGAATGCGCTCCCCAGAGAGGTCCGCCTGGCGCCGCCGTCATTTGTTTTTTGGCGCCAGGCTAAGACCTTTTTATTTAAAACTTATTTTAACTGCTAAATTATTGAATTAATTAGGATTTTAAAATTTTTAGCCGAGAATGCACCGGGGGTTTTTAAATGTTTTTTTCTTTTAAATTGTTATATTATTATTATTTATGTATGTTTTTATGTATTCTTTGTGAGCTGCCCCGAGGCTTTGTTGCGATGGGGCGGCATAGAAATGTGTCAAATAAATAAATAAATACAGACGGACAGACAGACAGACAGACAGACAGGCAAGATTGCAAAGTGTGGCAGAGGCGCTTTGGCTTACAGCTCCTACTGCCAGTGATGAAAACTTAGAGGCCCTGTGACCTTTTAGAATGGAGGAAACAATGCATAAATGATAAAGAAATGACACACAAACAATGATAGGTTGATAGTTTGGAAACCACCAAACTATCCATGTTTGGGGGGAAAGGGTGGAGCTACAGAAAAGTGCCATGACCTCCTGCGGTTCCCCAGAAGGCCTGGTTTGGCCCTGTAAGGCATGGGACTTTCCACCTGTGACCAGAGGCTTGCACTTTATTCCAGAGGCCTGTACTGGGCAATATCCTGATCGAGCTTCTACTTGGATCCTCAGCCTATCCCAGTTCCTTAAAAGCGCACTTAATTTGAATCCTGCTCTCAGACTATGCCTCTCTAAGACAGCTCTTTTGATCCCCATCCCTTTTTGGAGGACAATGCCAACTGAGATGGAGGCATGGCTGTATTCTGTATAAGGTGGCCTTACACGTTCACAATCTGCTTTTCAGATGCGAAACACTACAAGAACTGTTTGTGTTCTTGTTTAATAAGATAACAAGTGCAGACCAACAGCAGCCAGGCTGAACAAACTGATAAACTAAGGCTGCAGTTCTAGGCATGGCTTACTTGGCAGTACATTCCATTGAACTCAGCAAGTCTTCTTAGTAAATGTACGCAGGACTGCTTTGTACAGTAATCGAGCAGAGCTGTGGAAATACACATCAGCTCTGAAACAGAAATGAGCTGCATTGCACCTTTGTTTAAACTAAACAAGAGATCTATTAGAAGGCTAGTAGGGAAAGAAATTAAAATTATTTCCATAAATATCATGTATTTAACATTTTCCACGACTTTTGCATGAATCAAGAGGGTGAAACAACAGTTTAGGCATGAACTTTTTTTAATGGAACCTACATTAACACTGCCAAAGTTAAGGGCACAGTCCTGTGCAAAATTAAACAGAAAAAGGCCTACAATTCCTAGCATGGCCTGAGGGTTAAAGGGTTTTTTCTGTCTACATGTGTATGGAATTGCACCCTTAATGATGGGGTTAATCAACATGGAAGCTACGTCTTGTCTTATACCTGGAATTTTAGGAATCAGCAATACGGTAATGTGCACAATCCTAGGCATATTTACTTGGAATTAAGTCTCCCTAATAAGTGTCTTTAAGATTAGTCTAATTCAGCTAAATTGTTCTGGGCATTGCAGAAAATGATGGTCAAAGTAAAGGATTTAGAATCTACGTCGTTCTATTTTTAATTAAGTTCTGCTAAAATGAATCGGGGCTGTTTGGGAGTCATGCATGATTAACTTTGTGCGTTCCAATAGCAGCCCAATGGAAAATAGAAAATGTATACAACCCTCCCTGATCTTTCCTCCCTGAGTCACAGTTGCAAGACAATTAACTAGCTTCAAGCTGTACCTTAAGTTGCACGGTAACAGAGCTGTGAGGCCCTTTAGAGTGATTCCCTTGATATATGGGAATTTCAGCTGACAATTCAGTATTAGTTTACATCTTAAATGTAAACATCCCTGAAACAGTAAGTTTATTCTGGGAATACTAAGAAGAAAAGTCTATAGCATGAATTAAGTGGCTAACTTTACACATTAGGAGTAATTCTCAGCATGCGGGATACATTAAATCAAGTTGTCGGTTTTGAACCTTTCTGAAGAAAACCAGACACTCATACTAACATAGAGATGAAAAGGTATTTACATCTCACTTCATAAAATATTACAGAGGCCACACAATTGATCAACAACGCCATATTGGTAAATTATAAAAGTGAAAGCATTCCTGTTACCGTATTTGGCGCCTAGTTTAGCAACATTGTAGAACTTCTTGTCTGTCCTGTCATCCAGAGTTTCAATTAAATGCTTGAAAGGGCAATCTGAAAGACAAGCGATGGAGAAGATCAACATAAAATAACAGAGAAGTACAGATTTAAAAGAGTGGGAAGTGGGAGGAAGCTATGGTCTTTCAAGAGGAAGGCATGTATGATACAAAGTTAAGGCGCTTATCTTAGGCAGACCTACTCCCAGGTAAGTTCCATCGATCACAGCTTGGAATATACTTCAATACATGCATATATAAGGCTGCGATCCTCTGCAGGGAAAGTACTTCCTTGAAAACATGTGTATGCTCCCCCCCAATGTTACAGGGTGCAGTTGAAACTGGGCCTGAGGAACCGGAATGATCTAGACTGACCTTGTAACTAAGAGCACTTTGTAAACATGTAACAAAATAGGATGCAAAGTACAAGGGTAAACCTATATGAGGAAACAGGAAAACGACTTAGCCGGCATTTGCATCTGCAAGCCAGTGACTGAAATAATGCAGCTTTTAGCACTAAGTATTGATGTTGCATTTCCCCACCAAGAATTGTCACTAGATGTTGTTTACTTGTGCTCTCCATGGCATGAGCTAGTAAACCATGGCTTAGCGTTTACACACAACCCAGGATATATGAGCAACAAGCCAGGAGTGACTGTTGGGCTACAAAGCCAGGTTTGTTTGGGAGCCACAAAGAAGGAGCTCAGGTTCAAATTTATGTTAACCTAAACATTTCTAGGTTATTTACTGACTTCGTCAAAATGCAAAGTAGAAGCAAAGAGGCTGTAAGCTGCTTGTTTGATGTAAGCACCCAGCTTGTACAACCCAGGAATCCTGGCTGGTCACTGACCTGTTTTTCATGTAACAGCCCATCGATTTAAAACGAAAGGGTGATTATGGTGCACAAGCAAGAAAGAGTGGACGCACTATCTGTACACAACTGCTGCTGTTGCTCTGGCTCAGCAACTCACAATCAGCTTCTGATGAGTGTGACATCTAAACCCAGACCGCAAAGCATCTGATCCCAGGGGTTAATTCATAGTTTGTTTTGGGTTACAGCTGCAGTGCTTAGCCGCTACACAACCAGTGATTTGGGTATGGACATCACTCACAGCAGGAGCCAATCTTGGGTTGTGGAATAAAGTCAAAGAGGCAAGTGCACTGCACACAATACAATCTCCACCAACCATGAACTGCTGTGTGCTCACAGCCCCATTGTGTGTGCAAATGGCCACGCAGGCTGACACCCAAAATACACACGCTTAGATTTTCAGCTTTAAACACAGTTAAAAGCTTTCATGTTGCTTACAGTGCATCAGCACAGTACAGAAATTATACACTTAGTAGCCTCCGCAGGTAACCATGATTGTACCATATTAAATTCTAAGGGACATAAGAAACAATTCTAAATACAAGCTAGAGTAGCTTAGCTCAATTTACTGCCACTGGTCTTTAGTTATTGTGTAATAGATTAAATTTATTCACTCTCCTCCAATCCTCTCTTAACCCTCCATTCTGGTTATACAAGAGCTATGTTTGAAAGCAACAACATCTGCAGGAATAAAACTACACCACCACATTTCCCCCCTACTCTAAAAAAGGAACACAGTACATGAATGGGTCAAGATTCAAAAACACCTTTAGACTACAATCCTTCACACAATGTATCTGGGAGTAAAATCTCACTGAACATAGTGAGGCTGATTTCCAAAGAAGAATACATAAATTGAGATGTTAAGCATTTTGATTTATTTTCAGAACAGGACTGTGCTGGACTGTAACCCTGCCATTTTATTGCTCCTTCATTATGTTTAATATTTGTATTATTTTAGCAACAAACAATACAATATGAAAACATATCTGACACCAAGCATGAAATAACCTATTAGCAATTACCTGGCTATACTAATACAGATATATTAAACTGTAGGATTGCACATGGATTGAGAAGCATAAATAACAAAACAGGCAAAACATGCTACTGAGCACTTGGTTAAGAGTTAGCAAAGCCAGAGGTCATGACTAAGTAATTTTTTTACTGTATAAGTTAAATACTTTGATTACCCTTTAAGAAGAGTTTACACACCTTGTAATGGACTATATAGCATTAATTTTCTTTACAAGCATAACTATGCAACTATGCAAATTTATATATCTATAAATATTGTCTCTATTAACATGTTCCAATTTGTTAATACCTCAAAGTTCCTGTTGTTCAAAAATATAAGGATGAAAAGGTGGGCAACATAGCTGGCTGAACATTTTGTTAAACATGCAATATCTGAGGCAGCATAAACCAAAGATATTTGTTTTCAGTGAAGGCATGAACAACAAGGAGTTCACAATAAAAAGGGGTGCTTTTAGAGGATGGTTGGATGTGTCCATATCTACAAACAATTCACAGTTAAATGAACATTTCCCAAGCATTCACAACTTAATTTTTAAAATATAATTTTAATTATCCTACATAATATGCTGATATACATAAAATGGGAGAAATAGTTTTGGCCATTTTGTAGAAGGGGCTCATGGTGGACTTAGGCCATTTGCTCATGGAATCTTTTAATTTGACAAAGAAAACTCAACTGCAAACTAGATCTTAAGACTGCTTGTATTTCCTATGCTACAGAACATGCATGTCTCCTTTCAGCAGACTAACAGTTTTGCTAAGAAACAGGACAGCATATGAATGTGTAAAAGGAGCATAAACAACTGCACAGTCAAACCACACACACAGACATAAACATCCTGACACTTGTCAAACCACAAAATCCTCAGCCACTTGCATAGGAAAGAGCACAGAATGTGGCTAACAAACGGACACTGGACCATCACACAAGTGGAGGAAAAGCATGAAAACTGAGACATGGGCCAGAGAAAACAAAGTGCTGTTTTGGTTTAAAAGAACGGCACAGAAAAACTATACAACTAATGAAAAGCACCACTTTCTAGTGTTCACTTGGGAAAGCAGGTGCTGCAGCCTTGGATCAAGGCTGCACCGCTTCAGACTGCAGGGGTTGAGGTGGAAGCAGCTTATACCCCTCCTCCATACACTTTTTATATTTCTGTACATGCAATTTTCTGGCGAAGTCCACTGAAACTCTAGCTTTCTAGGTGCAGAGAACAAATGAGCCTTAGCACACAAGTCTTCTATATACAGATCTTCTATGAGATCTGCGGGAGAGGCCCTTCTCCGGGAACCCTCCGTGAAGGAAATTAGGAGGGTAGGTACTCGGAGGAGGGCCTTCTCTGCGGTGGCGCCCAATCTATGGAATGCACTCCCCAGAGAGGCCCGCCTGGCACCATCATTATTTGTTTTTCAGCGCCAGGCCAAGACCTTTTTATTCAAACGTCATTTTAATTGCTGATATTATTTCCTTATTTTATTCTTTGGCCAGGGTGACTTATTTTATATTGTTAATTCGTTTCATATTTTTAATGTATTATATTTCAATTGATTTTGTGAGCCGCCCCGAGGCTTTGGCGAATGGGGCGGCATAGAAATTTTCTAAATAAATAAATACAGGGATTGAAAAAACAACAGCATAGAGGAGCATTCAATTACACGAAACGTAACTGACAGAGGCTTAATTCCCACTCCGTTCCAGGAGAACTGGATCAATACTGTCTAACTTTTTAGAGGGTGGGATAATGAACAACCCCTACCCCGCTTTCCAGAAGAAGAACATGTGCAGAGATGGGCAGCTTCCAAAAGAAACACTCCACATGTACAGAAATCGAGAGTGTCAAAGGACTTCGGTTCTCCCCTGTCGTGCCAGTTCTCTGCATGCACAGGGATAACAACACACCAGGCACGGAAGAGCCTTCACTCCTGCGAGCCGCTCCACCCTTGTGTACACGCGAAGCATACACGCCATCACAACTCGAAGCGGCAGAGCCCGGCCAGCACCGGCCTCTCCCCGGCCCCGGCCCCATGCAACTCGCTGCACCTGCTGGGAGCAGGGCCAGCACCCCGGGCAGAGCGCCCCCGAGGCCTCTCTCTCCCCACCGCCCCCCACCCCGCCATTCCCTCGTCAATGAGGACTAGGGTCATGCTTTTGTTTCCCAGAGAAGGGTTAGGAGGAGGGGGGGTGGAGAGAATGAAAGAAGATGGCTGACAAACAGCACTGCCCTTTCAAGGAAAGGGGTCTGTGGGATGGATGGGGTGTGTGTGGGGGGGGGGAGGGCAGGTATTTTCGGGCACAAAGGGACAGTTATGGAGCGGGGGGAGGGGCGGCGGGGGAGGGGAGCCCTGGGGCGGGGGGGACGAGGGGCGGCGGGGGGGGACGAGGGGCGCGCGCGAGACCGGCGACCGGCCCCCTCCCCCGCTCCCCGCCTCCTCCACTGACCTCGCCCGGCCGCCTCCATGTTAAATCCCTCAGAAGGAGGATGTGGGGCGCGCGCGCGTGCGGCGCGAGGGTCGCCCGCTTGATTGGTGGGGAAACTATGCGGGAGGGGGCGGAGCCCTCCCCTCAAGCACCGCGAGAGCGGCGGGGCGGCCGAGCCGGAGCAGGCCCCGCCCCCGCGCCGGCCTCCCGCGCTCTCACGAGAGCTAGGGCGCCGCAAGAAAGGAAAGCGGACGGAAGGCTCGCGAGACCTCGCGCGCCCTCTCCGAGCGTCTCCGGGGCGGGGGAGGCGAGGCGACGGCGCCCCCGCCGCTCTCGCGAGACCGGGCGGCGCGTCTCGGGCGCTCTCGCGAGAGTTGGCGTGAGAGGGTCCGCCCAGGGAGGAGCGACGTGGGGCGTCGGGAGGCGGAAGGGGCGCAGCCCGCGAGGCTTCGTGCCAGGGCAGGGCAGGGCCGGCAGCCGCGCCGCCCCGCTCAGGGGGCTGTCTTGCCGGGCAAACATGCGGCGGGGCGGGGCGTGCCAGGGACCGAAACGATCCTGGGCTCGGCTGCAGATCAAAGGGGAGGAGGGAAAGGCGCTATTTGCATAGAATTTGCATGTGCTTTGAAGTCTGTCTTTAAAGACGGTGTTGCCTAAGGATGCTCCTATGCTTAAAAGGGGTGCAAGGTCGAGGAGGAGGGAAGCAGGCGTTGGGGTTCAGGAAAACTCGGGCAGAAGGCGCAGCGGGGAGATGGCCTCCCGAAGATTTGGGGCGCCATCTAATAACACTGTCGCTGCAGCGCCTTGACCGCACTTTGGAGTTGGGAAACGGCTCCATTGAGTTGTTTTCAAGAAAACATTACTGGGAAAATGGGAATGAGTCCAGTTGTCCTCTGCAGCAGTTAAATCCTGAGTAAATATGCCTAAAAGAACCAGATTACTAATTCTATGTCTCTTTGTCTCATTGGAGTTACTAACAACTAAACATTGCGTGCAGTTGGGCCACCCATCCTATGAACTTGTGAGTCAGTCTTACTAGATATAATTCCTAGTAAATGTGACTAGAATCAGGCTGTAAGACTCAGCCTGGAAATTCTTAATGTGCTTATTTGGCATAATAGCGGCATAGCATACACTGGGATAAGTTGAGATTTACCACAGTGACACAGTCCAGCTAACGGGGACCTGAATTTGTTTCCCACAATCAAACTCAGTACCCACAAGTATTTCATTAAATTATTTTTCCCTGTAAACATTTTAATGCTACTATTCATTTAATTTGATTCCAAGTCTGTAAAACAACATTTGACATGGATGCCAAACGCCAGGCCCTGGCGTTCCTTCGTGCATCCTTTTCTGCAAGTCCCAGCAGTTTGCTGGTTTCACAGCATTTGTGCAGTTTTCGTATTTTCAGTGGCTGAAATGCTCCTCTCAAAGTTTAAGGTATACTGAGAATAAAGGCTTTTGGCTAAACAGTACTATTTTTGGCCCTGCTTGTTATGCCTTTGATCTCATCCCATTTGTTACATTTGTTTGTTTTATACCCTACTCTTACCATATACAGTTACAATATGGTCCACCCCAGTGCTTTATTTGTAAGAAAAAAGGTGCCTGAACTCATGAAATTATTTACCTTTCACATGTAATCAATCACTGTACACACCCACACACGTCAGTTGTGTAATGAAACTTAACGGTCGCCGCCTGCAGTGGGCACTCGGCACACGACCACACAACTAATCACAAGCCGAGCAGCGCCATCACAACCAGCGCGGACAAAGTACGCATGCATCGGATTCGACACACAAGCAGCCCGCATGCACCGTTTTAATGATTTTGCCATCAACCTGCTAACGCTTGACAGGGCGATTCAAATCCACATGGACCAAACATCAAATTTTCAAAAGTTACTTTTGAAACTTGGAAAATCTGTCAAAAAAAGGTGCCGGAACTCTATTCCGGTGCATTCTATGACAAAAAAAGCACTGGTCCACCCCAAGAACCTCTTTGAAGCGGAATTCAGCTTTTGGGCAGGATGGAGTTGCACATCTGGGGTGCACAGTTTTGAGCCCTGGACTAGGGTTGGGGAGACCTGGATTCAAATTCCCACTGGATGCCCTTCGGCCAATTGCTAGGCCACCTCAAAGAATGACTGTTGAATAAAACAGGGACGGGAGGGAGACAAGCTACACCATCTTGAGTTGCATGGGGGAAAGGTGCAGTATCAGTTTCACAGAGAAGAAGTGTGGAAAGTTGCTATTAGGTCCGCAGGCCTCAAACCCCTTAAGCCCTTTGATACACACGCGCGGATGAGCTGTTCTCCGTGGGCTCGTCTTCACATTCCGAGGAGGATTAATTTCGGGCCCCGCAAGGAAAGGCCGGGCCGCCCTTGGCCGCCAGCGTTCCCGGGCTCTTTGCCTTCGGCCAAGGCCGGAACCAATGTGAGCGCCTCTGCACGCGGAGGAGCCATTTCCCTGCCGCACCCGAAGTGTTTTTTTTTGGGGGGGGGGCGCTTGGATCTTAAGCAGACATGGCGGGGTCCGGAGCACTTGTAAACCCGCCGGTACTGAAGCACCGGCGCACTACCCTCGAGCGGGTGGACAAGTTTATTTCCGACACGTACTTCCTTGACTGCAACCTGCGGGGCAGGTGGGCTTGGGTGGTCCGTCACGAAAACCTTCCCCCGCTCCTCTTTTCCCTTCTGCGGACGGCCGATTTGATGCGGCCGTGTTAGGCTGAAACCATAAGGGCGAAGAACCTCGAGGCGGCCTTGGTTCTTATTATGAGACTGCAAAAGCTCCTGTGTTGTTGCGAAGGGCTGAAGCGGCCCTTGTAGCTTGTGCGGTTTTAGCTTTCTGCCATGAAAAGCGTACATGTTAGTGTGGCATAGTGGTTAGAGCATTGAACTAGGAATGGGGAGACCCGGGTTCTAGTCCTCAGCCATGGCCCTGTGTACCCAGTTGGCCACCTGAGTTACTTACCTCTTGATGCATGTCATATAGGGCAAGAGAATACCTTTGTGAGTCAAATCTCCTTATTAACCTTTTTGTAGCTTACAGTGTCTGCCAAGATACGTAGGTGTACATGCCCTGCGAAAACAAACACACAAATGAAAATTATAATTCATGAAAATAGCTAAAACTGTCATGAAAATGCCCGTTGGCTTGGTGGTGGCATATAAATCACGAAAACAAAAGTGAGACACCAAAATCATTACATTTAATTGGTCCTGTAGATATCATTTCAAAAAGTACTTCAAAAAGCTGATGTCATTTTTGCATATTGTTAATTTCAGGTTGTTTGGTGATACATGCCCATTGACATCTCTGTCCTGCTTTGAAACTCCTCAACGAATTCCATATAATGAAGCTATCAGACAAGAATTCAGGCCTGTAAAAGTTGGGGACTCTTTTGGAAGCACGTAAGTACTCCCTTGTGGAACAAGGAAGGGGACATAGGATACTGAAACTGACCTTGGTTATGTTAACAGAGAAATAAAATGTTCATCTTTTTTCTAGATTATAATAAGCAAATGGGTACCTTATTCTTGGAGTAAGCAAAGCAATTTTTCTCTGGAATGAAGCAGAAAATGCCTGTCAGGGAGTATGTTTCCCTGTGCTTGATGTCTACTATTTGACAAATAGATTTAATTTAGAAATGAATAATGAATAAAAATAAGGACCAGAAAACCAAATTTACACAGTAAAACAAAACGCTCACACTAAGCTGCTCATGTAGGTTATTTGATGTGTCCTTCCATTCATGGTTAAAGTGTTGAGCAACCATCCCATTGAAATTGTTCCATGGAAATTTAAAATAATCTTGGTAATTTTTCAAAACAGTCCAGAAATGTAAATCTTTCTTCAGGTGGCATACCTGCTGGTTTAAAGTAGAACTCAAAATCCCGAGAGAATGGGCAGGAAAGGAAGTACACCTTCTTTGGGAAAGTGAAGGAGAAGGAATGGTTTGGAGGGATGCTCAACCTGTTCAGGTAAGCGGCAATCATGAAAACATTATCAGCATGGATGAGCCAAAATCCCCCTCAACACTTCTCTCTTTGGGTCAGCATAGGGCAGGGGATGCACCATGACCCCCCGCCCCCCAAGGTCCCTGTGTGAGCAATGCAGCAATTCCTCCCACTGGGCTGAGAATGAAAGCGAATGCCTCTTGCCATAGATTTTATATGGCTCCTGTCTCCCATTATGGCAGAACCTGTCAGGATGTGCTCAAGTTTTCTCCCATTTCCTGGCAGTGAAGGTAATTCGGAAGGGTAAACAGCTATTTCCCATTTGACAGGGTTTGACTCAAGAAGGTGAGAAGACCAGCTATATTCTGACAGAAAATCTAAAAGAAACAGACCCACACAGGTGAGTAAGGAAGGTCTCCAATCCAACTGGACATTTCTTTGTTTTCTAGAAAGGTAAAAAGGACAGATTATCTAGATGTGAGCTGATTTTTGTATACTCTGTTAGCATCTAAAAAACAGACTCATCAAATCTTGATTTTAAAGCAGTGACTTGCAGAGTCATCTGATGCAATGGGGGGCAGTTCATTGCAGATGGCTAGCAACTAGGAGAGTAAGATGTCTGAGGGAATTGGTTTCTATAGGATCGAAACCTCTTTGGCTGTGCTTGCCCCACTGCTTTGGAGCTCAGATACAACATACAAAGTTCTGCCTGCCAAAATGGCCGAGTGTCCATCTAAAGAGGAGCAGCAGCTAGGCATGACATTCCTCAACGTAGGTGCAGCCACCAGGAAGGCCCTGTTCCCAGCCCTTGTAGTAATCAATAAAAGGATGCGCCGGTTGCTTTCGTTTACTTCTGCAGCTTGTCTCTGTATGTGGAGGTCGCCTGTAATGGTCTCTTTGGAGCTGGGAAGGGCAGCATGATTGCACCGCCTGATCCAGACAAGAGGTTCTCCCTGCGCAAGGCAGAGCTGGTGGTCTTCAACAGGGAAGTCCATGAGCTGCTGGTGGACTTTGAGATCCTTCGCGACATGGCCACGGTGAAGTTCATTGCTCGTGTTTCTAGCATTTCAGTGTCAGCTATGCATTGGTTAAGATTTTTGCTATTGTCTAACGCAGTAAGTTGAGCCTCTTTCAGAAGAGGCAGCTCTCGGGTAGAGTTGGCCATTCCAGTGGTGTGGGAGGCCAAAGCAAAAGGGGCAGTCCCCGGCAGTTTTTAACTTAAAGCTCTCTGCTACTAACTGGGCCTTAGGAGAAGCATTTAACTTTTTAGAGTGGGGATAACCATGGAAATGCTGGGAAACCAGGGGTAGGTGACAATGTCACCCATAGAACCCCAAGGTTCAGAGTGGGACCACAGGAGGGCCAGCTTGACCTTTGCATCTCAGGTCCTGCATCCCCACTTTAATGTATCCAGGTTTCTAGCTAATGCTGGAAAGCGACAAGCGTGGGATTCAGTGCTGCCAACAAATCCATAGGGTGCAGAATTGCTTGGCTTGGTTGCATGTTTGCTTGCAGTTCTGACTAGCTCTGCCTGGTAGCCTGTCCAACAGATGGTATGAACTGCATGATAATTCACGAACAGCATCTGAATGTAGCAGACCCTTAATCAACGATCCTCCTCGTGGGTTGTTCATATTCAGGAATCAGTTTTCCAAAACTGAAAAGTGTTCCTCGATTCCGGCTGATTCGGGGTACGGGTTTTACTAGCGTAGGCTTTATGCGTTTATTTTCCCACAGCATCTGGGAGAGGAAAACCAGCGGAGCTTCCAGGCACTCTACATAGCCAACCAGATGGTGAACTTGTGCGATGTCACCAACCCGTCGACTTTTCCTGAAGCGCATCAGCTTGCCTGTTCTTTCTTCAGTCAGAAGAACGGAGAGAGCCAGCATCTCATTCATGCGATGGGGCACTGCCACATTGACTCAGGTCGAGAACCATATTCTGCCTCCTGGCCTATGGAAAGCCAAGAATTGTGATAGCATTGTGACTTTGCAGGCACCACAAAATCAAAACAAATGCCACAGTGAATAGCTGCTTGTTGGGGGTCTAAGGAAGTTGACTTCTGCAGGTGTCCAGGCCTCTCCGATCAGATACACCCAAAGGCCGTTAGCTCTGTACTTTTTCAAATATCTGTGCTGAAGAAGGAACTGCTGAGTTCTCGGCTTCTCACAGCATAGTATTATAGAGCAGAGACAAGTACGGAAAGTTGATCCTGAGAAAAGCCCTAAAAATAGAGAACTTCAGGGAGGCAGTGACTGTGGGACTGTAGTAATACAGGAAGTAGATTTGTGTCTTCCAAAATAGCCAGGTGCCAGTGAAAAGCGCGGAATTTGTTGGGCTGGGCAACACAGTCGTAACGACGCATGTCTGCAATTGTCATCTTAGCCTGGCTGTGGCCCTACGAGGAGACGATCCGTAAATGCGCGCGCAGCTGGGTAACTGTCATACGCCTGATGGAGAAGAATCCAGAGTTCACCTTTGTCTGCTCACAGGTATTGACACGTATATGCACACCTTTGTTTCTGTTGATTTTACATGTGGGTTGTTTTTTATCGCAGAAGTCTTCTGAAGGTGTTTCTTAAAGGTAAGCCTTCTAAAAGCAATCGTTTTATGGCCTGGAGAAATGGAAAGCTGCTGGCACCACGGTTCAGACGAGATCAGTAGCCTCGCTGGTTGGCTGAAGAGTAGTTGAGAGGGGAGCCGTTCCACTAGCCCTGAAGGAAGACCACACCGGGGGGCTGCTCCTTTCTCAGCTGTCCCTACCAATAGCCATTCCGGTGGCTGCCCAGAGGAACAGGGGAAGCAGTGCCGATGTACCAGACTACCAAAATCCTTAATTTTTCTATCTCTTCTCTCTCCATCCTTTTTCCCTTGTCTGCCATGTCTGTTCATGGAGACTGACTGTCGTACTGAGTTATTAATTAGATGTAAGGTATCCTGGGAGCTGTGAAGAACAGGATGGAAAGTGCTTCAAATAAATAAATATTAAGAACTGATCCCTATAAATGAGGTCGAATATTAATTCAAACTTCTGGAGTCACACTTCATTCAGAGCTGGATTTTCGGGCTTATTTTTCATTTGTAAGCCCCCAGGGTGGATAAAATTAGTCAATTTTAATGCTCCTCCTTCTACAGGCTCAGCAGTTTGAATGGGTGAAGAACTGGTATCCGGGCCTGTATACTATGATTCAGAACTTTGCAAAAGAAGGGCGTTTCATTCCTGTTGGAGGCACCTGGGTAGAAATGGTAAGGATGCCTCGTTCTTTTTTTCTTGGTAGCTGTGCAGCACAGGCTTCTAAGGCCAGGGAACGTGAAATCTGGTCTTCTTTCCAACATACTTTCCACTGTACTGTTTTGTAAATGATAAACAGGATTTCATTGTATTCTCTGGTCTGTACAACTTAAATTCCCTTTGGATCCTGAAAGGCAAGAATGGGAAAATCAAGTTAATTCTTGGCTGTGGAGGGAACCTTTTTGGGATGGGTCAAGTGTGAAGATAATTGCCAGATCTGGAAGGGAAACGAAGAGTTAGAGACTTAATAAATGTATAGGATTATTTGTGTCTGCATATGCTTAATATAAAATGCTCCTAAGTAGTTCCAAGGTAGATACTAAATATCACATTTAAATGCACTATTAAAACCCATTTTTTAAATGTGATTCTGGGAACATGTGATTCTTCCCCAGGATGGGAACCTTCCAAGTGGGGAATCCATGGTTCGGCAGTTCCTGCAGGGACAGCGATTCTTCCAGCAGGAGTTTGGGAAGCTCTGTCTAGAGGTACATGTATATCTTAGTGTCACTTCCCCTCACAGTCCTAAGCACAATCTGAGCTGGATCCTTCCCCATGCCTGTTTGTTTATTGGCAGCCAGAAACCCCAATCAGAGCAATGCTCTATCACTGCACAGCTTGTGTAGGGGAGCTGCAACAGCTATTGAAAAATCTAACCCGTTTTTGCAGCTTCTGAATGGAACTGCAGAAGTTAGGGGGTTACTCCTGGCACTCTTGGCATTGTGCTATGTGGGCTGTTGTATTCTGCAAAACAGCCCAGCTCTACATAGCTGGAACTATTCCTGAAAGATGGACCTCTCAGTGGCTCTTTGCTATGCGTAACCCAAACAGAGCTTTCCTATTTAGAGTGACTTCTGCAGCAGAATGTTGCAGGGTGCGGTTGCTCCTTCTCAGGCCGCCGGCACTGAACAGAACACTCCATTCCATTCCTCCCCCCACCAGTTTTCCTTTCCATTCGCACCAGCAGCAGATGTTCCGAGCCCCCCTGTGCAGCCCCGACACCCCCTCAGCCCCACGTGGCCCTCTTGGGCACCGCTCTTTCAGTCCAAGGGCCCAGAGTCGTCGCTGGAGGCCATGTCCCAGTGGCAGGTGGGACTGAAAACAAAAACGAGCAGCGGTCAAAATACCCGGATACCGTAAAGATCTCTCTGCCAATACCAAAGTCTTAGGAAAAGCATTTTATGATGGGGGAAGAGAAGCGCCACTGCTAGGAAGCCACCAACGGACCAGGGCAAATGGGTCTGGGGGGGAGTGTGTGACCCCGAGCAACCCTGGAGGGCCAGCTTGGGACCCCACGGGTCTGACCACCTTACCTGGACATTCTGCACCCCATTATATAGAAATCCGCCTTCAGAGAACACCTTTGTGTGCGCAAGTGTGTGCACACTGCACAACTGAGGGAGGTATATGGCTTTTGCATCCTCCTTTGGTCAGTGCCGGATCAAGGCCGCTGGGCCAGGTGGTTCCTTGAGTGGACACTGTGGGGATTTGGCTGCATCTGGCTTCTGTTTCCTTTTTGGACAGTTCTGGCTGCCAGACACGTTCGGCTACTCGGCACAGCTTCCCCAAGTGATGCACGGATGCGGGATCCGCCGTTTCCTAACTCAGAAGTTGAGCTGGAACCTCGTGAATTCTTTCCCGGTGAGCCCCTTTTTTCTAAGTGAAAAAACAGTCTATATCATGCAAACTGAGCAATCACCAGCTGTACTTGCCTCGCTCCAAAGGGTGCCCAGGTGTGCTTGAAGTGTGGCTGATGGCTTCCCCGATCCTGCCAAACATATAAGCTTATTAGCATTTTAAAAACTTCATTTTCAGATGTTTTCAGTACAAGGAGCATGGGCCAAACTTAGCCCTAAAGTTTCATTTATTTCATTTCTAGACCGCCTGTGGCCAAAGCTCTCTAGGTGGTTTACAGTGGTTATAACAACAGCTTTTAATAAGATTAATAATTAGAAGACAGTCATTCTTCAGTTCAGTTGCAATGCATGGACTATAGAATTGCAAAGCCTTCAGCTAAAATTTTTCTAGTAGGTTAGCAAACTTTTCCAATGATCTGGAGGGACTGGGGCATATGATGGAATGTGGTAACATTCAGAATAATAATGTGCATAATGTGATGTTCGAAAACTTTCATATGGTAGGTAAGCCTGTCCATCAGCTTTTTCTTCGCTGATGCCTGGGCAGTGTTGAAGGGCAGGGAAAGAATTCGGAATCCATTTCTCCCTTTGTTGATGTTTTCTACTGGCCTGACATTCTGAATTTGGGGGAAGTGTAACAACACAGACCTGTGTTTGGAAGAGTTTGTTAGCTAATAGCATTTTGGCTGTGCGAGTCCGGGCCTTGGACATCTGCACTAGTGAGCTGATTCAGATGTAGTGTTAAACCATAGCATAACTTTACAACAGTGAGTGTCGATGTGCGCACTCTCTTCTCCTCTGGTGTGGCCACAGGGACTCGTCTAGAAGCCTCCATGGCTCTGTTTTTAGAGTTCTGGAAGCTTTGATGTCCGGTGCTGCATGGACTTCATGGAACTTCATTAAGTACCACTAGGATTGGGCTGTTCATTGGCTACCTTTTTTTCTCCTTACAGCACAACACCTTTTTCTGGGAAGGCATTGATGGGTCTCAGGTTTTGGCCCACTTCCCCCCTGCAGATTCCTACGGCCTGGCTGGTTGTGTGGAAGAGGTGAGTGAAGTCGATTTCTGTGGTCCTGCTTTCTTCCCCAAAGGAAGAAGTGAAAGTCGCTGAAGTCATGGTGGAATATGGGGTCCGGTAAAGCTTCTGTCAGTTTTGAGGGCAGGTAACTGCAACACCAGACCTAAGAGAATATTGCAGTCTTGCTTTGTGTACTTTTTATACCTCTGGGGAAGTAGTCTGCTAAAATTCACTGCCCTAATAAACCAGTTAGATACTTGTACCTGAAAAGGTATTTTTTAAGAAGGGTGTCTGAGGAACTAAGGCAAATAATAACCATGAGATTTCATGCTTGATCTTATGTATAAAGATCAGTAAAGCTAGCAAGCCACCAGGCCTAGATGGTAGCCGCCCTAGATTTCTTTAAAAAACTTAAATGCAAAATCGGTGAATTTCTAACAAAAACATGTAACATGTCCTTCAGATGCCTCTGTACCAGAGGACCCTGTTGTGGCAAATGTAACAGTTGCTACGTCTCTTCTAGATGCTAAAAACCGTGAAGAATAATAAGGACAAGGGCCGTGTGAACCACAGTGCTGCTCTCTTTGGCTTTGGAGACGGAGGAGGTGGACCGACGCAGAAGATGCTGGACAGGCTGAGGAGGATGAAGGACACCGATGGCTTGCCCAGGTCAGTCTCTCTTTGCGTCAGCCCCTCCAGAAACAGCGCAGTGATGCAAGTGTGTCGCAGATTTCTGCTGGACCCAAGGAGAGTGGCTTCCCTGAATGGAGCAAAGCAGGACCCAGAGTCCGAGCTGGGAGAAGGCAAGCACGGAACGTAGGAAGCTCCCTTAGGTCAGACCGTCGCCTCGCCTACTGCAGCCTTTCCTGAACATGGTACTCTGCAGACTTCTTGAACTACAGTTCCAGGATCCCTGCCCATTGGGCCATGCTGGCTGGGACTGATGGGCACCCAACACACGAGGAAGCTGCCAGGTTGGGGAAGCCCGATCGTCACTGGCCGGCAGCATCACTTCTTTTCTGAGCGCAGCCTGGAGAGGCCTGGGATGGCAATGGGGAGCTTCTGCTTCGTGCCGCTGGGCTTGGGCGCAGGCTGTCTGAGCTTCCATCTAGTAGCTGAAACAGCAGGTGGCGCCCTGGAGAGCAGAGCCCTTGGGCAGAGATGCTGTGGGGCAAGGCAGCTGTACTGAGCAGGGCCCTGTCCGAAGCTGAAGCTCTCAGAGGTTCACAGCGTTTTAAGTCGCCCAACCAGATTCCAGCGAGGCCTGGCACGGCGTAGCTTCCGAGATCGGGCAGGATCAGGCACTCCAGGCGCCTGTGACTGAGGCTAATGGGGAGTTCGGCCATTCCCATTAGCAGCAGCGCCTGTCTTCTTGCAGGGTTCAGATGTCTACCCCTGACCAGCTTTTCTCTGCTCTGGAGACGGAAAAGGCTCAGCTCTGCACCTGGGTTGGAGAACTGTTTCTGGAGCTGCACAATGGCACATACACCACCCACGCACAGGTCAGAAGGCACAGAACCTGTCTCTGTCGGCGGCGGTTAGGGTAAGGTCAGCGCTCACAGCTGCAGCGCCCGGTCTGGCTTTGAGTGAGCAGGCCCGTGTGTTCCCCAGTTCCTGCCTCCTGCCTCCTAAAACAAGACACAGAGGCAGGGAATGGTCTGCATAAATGTCCCATGCATTACTCCATCTCCCCTCATGAGGCCATATTCCATGAGCTGTACCTCTAGAGCGTTCGGTGCCGGGCAGGATAAAACTGGTGGAGGAGACGCATTTGGGATAAGAGAAGAATGGTTCTAGTCTCGTATCTTTCCTTGGGAGAGGTGCAGATTCAACGTGGTGCACTTTTTGCGATGTCTTGCCACTTGAAGTCGAAGGATTGCCTTTCCCGTGTGTAGCCCTTATGCACCGTGGGCGGCATGTGCCGCTCTTTCCCAGGTAACCTTGGCAAGATGCTTGGCAGGAAAGTGCCAGAAGCAGGTTCTTTCTGGTGGTGGCCCAAACTGGACAGATGTTGCTAACATGTGACTTTTCTTTTGGCAGGGAGTGGAGCAATTATACTGCTGCTTATTTTGAAAAGCTTTACTAATATTTTTTTGATTAAGTGTCTTAGCACCAGGCACTGTATAGTAGTTAAGACTACAGTTCAAGGCCAGATTTATTTCTTGAGAATTGCGCATTGGACTTCCTTGTAAGATTTACAGTCTTTTTTAATGGACTGGGTTTTACTGCTTGTTATGTTCCTTTTGTCCATTAGTCGCCGCTCCTACATTTCTTTAACGCCCACGTGTGTTCTGTTTTGGGGATCAGATTAAAAAGGGGAATCGAGAGTGCGAGCGCCTTCTCCGTGACATCGAGGTTCTGAGTAGCTTTGCCTTGTCGAAGGAAAGTTCTTTCCAGTACCCTTCTGCTAAACTGCAGCACCTCTGGAGGTAAGAGTGTATCAATAAGAAGTGTTTTGCAGCTGATGGGAATGTGTGGCTGGAAGAATATTAACATGGGTGACCAAATCCAAATGGAAGAATGCGAGCTGGAGGCTAGGACTGTAGGCCAGAAGAAAGAAACAAGCCACCATATGGGCTTATCCACAGATCTCTAAACCATTTGTCCTCCTGGTACACTGCTAAATATATCTTAACAACAGAGACCAGAAACTTCTCAGCTTTCAAATTAGCACTGAAGATGTTTCAGGAAATAAGTCAGCGTCTGGATTTTCCCCAGCCCTGTCTTAAGAATAAATTCCGGAGGAAGCCAATATGCCTGATTCTCTTGCGGCTTCACTGGAAGGGAAGTGGGCAGAGTGTGAGCTCGAGCCATGCTTCTTTTTGCTCCCTGCTCTGGCTGCAGGCTGCTGCTCCTGAACCAATTCCACGATGTCTTGCCAGGGAGCTGTATCCAACTGGTAGCCGAGGATGCCATGAGAAACTATTCAGGTGAGCAGGAGGGAAAAGGCATGGCAAGGACAGCCCGCAGGGCTGGCTTCTGAAGTCGGTATAGCTGGGCACCTGCGGAAGACCGCACCTCAGCAGGGCCCGCAGAGCTGTGTGGCACTGTGCCGCTTCTCTGGGCCTGAGGAGGAAGGACGGTCGCTCAGCGCGAGCGCACGTTTTGCGTGCCGCAATATCCCGCGTTCAGTCCTCGGCGCCTCCAGGTGGGGCTGGAAGATCTTGGAGAGTCACTGCCGACGGGGGAAGGAAACTCTCCCCCACCGGGGACCCTCGATGCTACAGAGTTCATGGCAGTGGGTGGGCTTCCGTGGTACGTGGCTCTGATGGTCCACTCGAACAGGGAAGCAGAAATGTCTGATCCCTTCCTCGTGGCTGGGCTACACAAGGAGAATGGGGAAGGCACGCAATTGGCTGGAAAGCTAGCTTTGCTCCTGCTGTGATACAGCATCATGTTCAATGATGTCCAAACACAATCTGTGCATACAGAATTTAAAAGATCAAGCAGATTTTTCTTTTCCTTCCAACTTGTTTCTTCTTCTCCGGCCAAATTCAGAACCACATATGATTGACTAGGATTTCTTTTGACTCAGGGTGACTGTGCCAATTAAAATGTCCTGCTTCGTGTCTCCTCTTCTTTTGCTTTCCCAGTTTCATGTGCCATTTGTGCAAATAGCGATACTTTGGTTGTGCAAGGTTCCTTTTTTAACAGTGAATACTGCCTCTGCTCACAGTGGATGAGCAAGCCCCCATAACGGAAATACTTTCCCTTTTCCCCCAGAAATCCGCAGCGCTGGAGCTCAGCTCCTGAAAGACGCCGTGCAGACCTTGTTTGGAGGCCTGTTGGTGAGCGGTCAAGAGAGCGACGGGCGCCTCCTGGTTGTCAACACATTGCCATGGGAACGAACCGAAGTCATCTCCCGCATGGGCCCAGGAGGGTCCGAGGCATTAGGTGCTAGCGATGCTCCGATTTCAATTTCATGGCGAATCATTCTCTAGACAAGCTCGCCCCACCCTGACGCTGAGGCCATGGGCCCTTGACAAGTGCCCGGCCATGTTTACTGTGGACGCTAACCCTGATCCCGCTTGCTTGTGCCGCCCACATTTGCGGATCGGTCCCCCCGCTGTGCCCCCAGTTCCCAGGCATGCGCAAACCACAGCGTGGCAATCCAGTAATGCGCAGAGGGTCTCACTCGGGGGCCTCTGGGGGTTACTGGGCCCCTGCCTGCACATATGTCTGCCTTTGGGCTGATTCTAGGAAAAATAACGAGCCATTTCCTTTGGTGCCGCTTCATGTCAGCCTTGGTGACCGTTCCCAGCATGGGCTGCTGCGCCGTTCAGGACTCCTTGCCTCCGCCACATGCCGTGACTGTATCCAGGGAGGTGAGTTGGGCTGCATTTTCAGAAGCTGGATTTAGCCATCACGTCAGCAGTCAGGGCTTAGGCTAGCCAATCAGCAGTCAGCCTAGCCAATCAGACTCGCTGTCTCGGTGTGCCTAGGAGGGGACCCCTAAGTGTTGGCAAGGCAACCCCTTTGGTTACCACACAGGGTCTGAGGAAGTCCGTTTCATCCGTAAAACTTCCTTCCCAGGCGGATGGTTCCGTGACCATGAGGAATGGTGTTGTCCGAGTCCGTCTGGATCCCTTGGGGCGCGTGACATCACTCCGCTTGACCCATTCGGAGAGGTACTTTCAAAACCACACGGTACTTGATTGTCCTGCAGTCCAAAAGGCAGTTCCTCGGACTCACGCGGGTTGAACTGGAAGCGAACCTGGGAGGTTCCCTTGCCTGATCCCCTGATGGGTGGAGATGAAGGGGACCAATACAAAACCCGGCCAGATATCTCTTCTCAACACCGTGTGAGGCTCCACCATCAAATGGCTTTTACTATCAAGGCCTTCCTCCTACAGTTAACTTGACATCTGCTTCTGCCCAATTTCTAGCCATCGGCCGGAAATCGAAGTGACGCAGTTCTGTCGATCATTCTGTTTTGTTGCAGAGAGGTGGTCCCCGAAGGTTTCTGTGCTAACCAGTTTGTGGTATTTGATGATGTTCCACTGTACTGGGATGCATGGGATGTGATGGACTATCACCTGGAGACCAGGTACATGACTGTGGCCTTATTTTCTGGTCCACGTGCTGCAGAAATCTTTGTGCCTCTTGGGATTCTGGCAACCGACCAGTAAAAGGATAAGGGAGACCCCCTCTTTGCCGAAAGCCACTCCTTCAGTCATGTATTCATTCTCTTTCTCTCTCACACACACTCTTTCTAAAATTTAGCAGCTGGAAATGCAGATCAGGTGCTGCTGCCCATCCTAATACTCGTAACCCGTGCCAGGATTTGGTCTGAATCACTCAGGCTCTTTCACCCAAGATAAAAGACAGACAACATGGCAGAGACTGTTCCGTTAGCATGAGTCGGGGGGAGGGGGCGGGTTGAGAAGAAGCAGGTACGCTCCTTCACTCCAGACATACAAAACCTCAAAGGTATCCCACAAAAGTGGCAGGATGAAATGCCAGGAAGCCTTTTAATCCCATGCGCAAAAGCTTTTCAGAATGAAATCAAAGGGAGGCTTTTAATAGAACACCCAGGTGATCAATGTAGTGTCGTGACAAACGGGAGGGACAATAGCTCAGCCGTTCAGCACCTGCCTGGGCAAGCAGAAGGCTCGGCTTCGATCCCTTCGCCTCCCACCGGGACCAGAAAGCAGCTGAGGGCAGGATCAGTGCCCGAGACCTTGGAGAGTTGCTCTTGGTTCGACAACACTCAACTAGACACACCCCGGATGCCGTTTGGCAGGGATGGGAGAGGCATGGGACACAGAGAGGAAGCAAAATGAAGCCCAATCTGCCAGCTGAAACCTCCTGTTTTTTCTAGATGTTCAGCTCAAACAGCAGTTTCTGGGCTTTTGTCCTCGGCCACCTGGATGATGGCTTTGTTCCTGCGCAAAACAAACCCATCTCTCCCGTCCCTGTCCTTCCTTTCCCCTGCAGCCTCCATTTCTGGACCAAATCCGTTGCTGCAATCGCCTGTCTTTCTTTCAGAAAGCCCATCGCAGAGCCGATCAAACCCCCGGAGATCGTCCTGCCAGGGGGGTTACGGGGCAGTGTGAGGTTTTCCCTGCGCATCGGCAAGAGGAGCGTGCTCACCCAAGAGATTGTCCTGGACGCAGCACCGAGCTCTTGCGTTCGCTTCCAGACGCAGGTCCGGCCGCGCGCCCCTCACCTCGGCGTGGGCCGTAGCGCCTCCGGTGCTCACGCCCTGCAGCACGTTTGCCTCTCGATTGCAGGTTGACTGGAATGAAGCCCACAAGTTCCTCAAAGTGGAATTTCCCCTAAAGGTCCGGAGCCCAAACGCCATGTACGAGATCCAGTTTGGCCACTTGCAGAGGCCAACGCATTCCAACACCTCCTGGGACTGGGCAAAGTTCGAGGTGAGGTGCCAGACGGCATTGCCGCATTTTGTAGTCCCGGGGGGCGGGGGGGCGGGGGCGGAATCCCGGACCCACTGATGGCTGCTGCTCCATGAATTTGATCAGTCCCCTTTCAAAGCCGTCCAAACTGGTGGCTGTCAAGGGGAATGATCCGAGTTCTTTGTGAGAAAAAAGGCAGGGTACAAACCTAATTAATAAATACGTCCATTTTTACACTACCGAACCCAAGAAAGTTTGAAGGAAAACCAGGAGATGATTTCCGCCTGAAAGGACTCCGAGCTCAGCTCTGGCCCTGAACCCTGGAGTGAGCATGTGCTGAGGCACCTCAGCTCGTTTCCTCAAGCTTATGCAGGAGTGCAGAGCCTCTGGGGTTCCCATTACGGGAAGCCCCTTCCCCTCCACCCATCCTTGGCATCCGTCTGCCCAGCTCATTCTAAAAGATCGAAATGCCTCCCCAAAGACTTAGCTACTGGTAGTGAGAACTCCTAACACATGCTGGTATTTTGGGCCTCCCCGCTTGGCCTTTTCCAAAACGGAATGTGGCCCCTGGGCTGAAAGAGATTCTGTGCCCCCTCCCTCCACTCTTTCGCTGGCCCTGGCTTCTGGACCGTGGGGACTCTGGCCAGAAAAACACTGCTGCCCAAGCCCCAGGCCCGTGCGTGCCCAATCAGACGCGGTTTGCCCACCTTCTCTGCTGAGCTGTTCCCTTCCCCCAGGTGTGGAGCCACAAGTGGATGGACCTGTCCGAGCACGGATTTGGGGTTGCACTGCTGAACGACTGCAAATACGGCTGCTCGGTCCGTGGCAACACGATGCGCCTTTCCCTGTAAGTTTTGGGGGGCGACAGGTATTGGCCAGGCAGGAAGAGAACCAGCCCGGCGATTCCCGGAGCAGCTGTTTGATACAAGAATGCTTTTCATAGCTGGAGGCATGTCTGGAGGGGACAAGGGAAGGCTTTCTCGGCGGCCGCTCTCAGCCGCTGACGAGGATGGCTCGGTTGGCCCCATCCCCGTTGCCCTTCTGCTGGCCGGGAAAGACATTTCATTCCAGTGGACCTTGTGCTGGTCTGTGGCTGAAAGGCTTTCTTCACTGTCTGTCTTTCTCGTGGTCGTGGGGCTTTTTTTGCCACGTTTCCGATGTTTTCACTTGATCGCTAGCTGCCTTGAGCACTGCTCTTCCGTAGAAAAGTGGGATTTAATCACTTAAATGAATACAAAGACGTGTTTCTCCTCTGCCCATGAAGGTTGCGAGCGCCAAAGTCACCTGATGCCACTGCAGACATGGGGCGCCACCAGTTCACTTACGTGCTGATGCCTCACCTGGGTAAGCAAGCCTAAAGTTCTCACCTGGCTTTCGCAGGCGCAAGTGGGAAGTCCCAAGCTGCCTCCAAGCGGGGCTGGGAAGTGGGGGTGGCGGAGGCCCCCTTCCTTACCCCACAGGGCCATCTTTCCAGCGCTGGTTCCCACTTCGCAAACGTGTGTTCGCTGCCTCCACTAAATGGCGCTTTTTTGAACAGGGTCCTTCCAGGAGGCCGGGGTCATCCGTCACGCGTACAACCTGAACTTCCCCCTTCACACAGTGCTGGGCAGCTCGGCCCCGGGCCCAGCCTGGAGCGCATTCTCTGTGGAGGCCCCAGCGGTGGTTCTGGAGACGGTGAAACAGGTAAGCGGCCCGAGGGAGGGGGAGAGGAGCACCAGGCGAGCTTTTAGGGCTTGAGCTGGGCTTCTCCAAAAGTCTTTGGTGGGGTTGGCGAGAGAGCTCAGTCGGCTTCTTGAGGCTGTTTCTGCCCCCCTGAAGCAAACTTTCCAGGCCCCAAGGACTGTGAGGAAAGAGGGAAGCAGCGCAAACACTGCAGGGGCTCCGTTCTAGAGTCCGCACAGCTGTGCCTTTAGAGAACCGGCAACCTCGGCAGGGAAACTGGCTAGCTTTTCTGTTCTTGATTTCTCCGCGCTACCGTGGAAGGCTGAGCAGTGGTCCTCCTGTCCCATTCCCCCACGAAGTTTGCAAACGCTTGTCCAAGGATGCCGTCTGATTTTTTTTTTAAAGCCTTCTCAAGGAAGCGGGCTTCCCCAGCAACAGATGAGACTGTAACTCCCATTATCCCCAGCCAGCGTGGCCAATAGTCAGGCATGCTGACTTGCAGTCCAGTCGTCTGGAGAGCACCGGGTTGGGGAAGGGTGTTCCAAGGCAAGATTCTCCTTTGTGTCCTTCTGCATCTGAAGCGTGTCCCAGGGAGAGTGACTGCACAAAACTGGGAAGACCTTTGCTCTGAGCGTGGGTTGTCTGTCTGTCTGTCTGTCTGTCTCCAGGCTGAGGAGAGGCCAGGTGCACTGATAGTCCGCCTCTACGAGTCACACGGCAGTACTGTGGTCACCTGGCTCCAAACACACCTCCCAGTCCAAGAGGCCGTGATGTGAGTAGAGAACATGCTGGGGGCAGGGGAGAAACATAACATTACAGCAACTGGATGGCTTGAAAAAGCTCCGTTTCAAAACAACGGCACCCCCTTTTCCAGGTGTGACCTCCTGGAGCGACCTGACCCAAACAGTCACCTGCCGCTGGAGGAACGTGGCTTGAAGCTTTCCTTTACGCCATTCCAGGTGCGATCTGTCATGCTGATCTTGAAACAGCCTGGCAGAACAGAAGAGCCAGAGAGCAAATGAGTACAGATTCAGCATCTCCATGGAACCTGTTCTGTGCCTGCCATGACACAAGAGCCCGACTTTTTAGCACAGGTACAGGGTGGACATTAAGTCCAGGCTGAGATAATTAGAAGGCTGGGACCACAGGCAGAGCCTGGTGCTGCGGCTGGAACGAAATACGTACCACATACTGGGATAACCTTGATCAGCTTTCCTCAACCTGGTGCCCGCTGGGTATGTTGGGCAACAGCTCCCATCATCCCAAGCCGCCATGACCACATTGGTTTGGAATGATGGGAGCCGCAGGGCAGCGTGTCTGGCAAGGCCCATGTTGAAGGAGGGCGACTTAAATAATCAAGTGCAAATAATACCAAAGTTATTAGACATCAAGAATGATAGCAGCTTAATTTAGGTGGGGAAGAAAAATCCTGTGTCCCTTTTCTAAAATAATTGGGAGTCAGGTTTGGTTGCTAATCTACTGCAATCCATCCAAGGGTTTGTAGATTCTGCTTTTGAAGAAGGATCTGATGTGAAAAATAAAAAGGAATGGAAGCAATACTAAATGAAGAGGAGTGATATGTAGCAGTATTTCTAAGTTTTCTTGCCAACTGTTAGTTCTGAATCAATTGCAGAACATTCTTAAGTAGATCACTTCTTTCAAGAAAACAAATCTTTATTAGCATCAAAAAGCAGATTTCCTTTATAAAAGCACTTTAAAAATGTTCATCCAAGAGAAGAGGTGATCACCAAAGAAAGAGGAACATTTCATTTAAGCAACCATTAAATCATGCCACTTGCGGTCTAGGAGATAGGTAAAATGACCCACTTTCCCTTCGTATTGGGACAAAAGCATCTCTAGACTACTTGGCCATCTTAGCTGAAGCTTGTGTTTGAATGGTTTGTGTGATTCTTCAGCCCCAGAAAGGAATTCCTTCCAGAAAGTACAAGAGAAAAGCTGTAGCCATTTGATTTACATGAGAGCATACAGCTGCCTTTGCATTTCAGGAACAGCACCTCTTTTAAAAATGCAAATATCATAAAGCAGGACTGGGGTTGATTATTATCGGAACTGCAGCAGGTCCAAAGGAGAGACTTCACGCTTTTCTCTCCCGCTGGAGTCCCAAGGAAAATCTGTCTTCCGAAGCGGATGTTCGCACGGTGAGACATGTTTCTCATGGGTGCCAAATCTGGGTTTGGGGAACAGGGAAAGTGTCCAGTAGGAGGAAGGCTTTTTCTGCAGACTGCAGCAGGGGAAGAAGGGGTTAAATCCCCCCACTGCTATGATGCTATATTCATTTTTAAAAGGTGCCTTTACCTTTAAGGTTTTAACTTTAAATCAGATTTGAGCGCATGCACACACACGCCCTTCAGGAGGAGTACCAGGGTCACCTCTTCCAGAAAACCAATTCGATGCAAACATGCAGCTCCACAACCCCCCGCCCCCCAAGTCTTTGCTGAAGCAGATGGTGGGATAACCGATAGCCGGCTTGCTCTTTCCCCTTGCGTACCGCACAACGGTGCAATTCTAAAAAGGCTGAACGGGAGAGGTGTGCTGGGAAGTGATACCACACCTTCAGCTTTTAAGGCTCATGGTAAGAAGGTCTCCCGCCAGCCTCACTCACAGGCAAGGTTCCCACTTGCTGGCTTGAGCAAAAGCTGTGAACCCAGGACCGCACCTCTAGCAGGATTTCAGAAAATAAACGGGTACAGAGTGCCGCAGGGAAGCAATGCCGCTGCTCTTCTGTGGCCCAGAACAGAATTCAGAAGCCCGGAAACAGCCAAGCAACCACAATCCCCCTCGAGTGTCCACGGATCAGCCATCTTGTTTGCAAAAAGCCAGATGCTGTAGGGTAAAGATCCAGAAAGCCGCACGGGCAAGCTGCGTACAAAGAGCTGCTCTGGCTCCCTTCTCCTAGGTCAGCAGCACAGGGACCAGACCATAATACGCGAGGGGGCCATTCTGCATCAGGTCACTGAGCCTTCGCTCGCCTGGATCTTGTGGTAGCAGCAGCTCTGGCTAAAAGGAAAAAGGAAAAACCAGTTAAGCAGCCCGACTAGAAGGCATTTCTAGACGGGAAAGACGAAGATGGAAGATGAAGCCCAAAAACATCTGGAAGGTGTGAGGTCAGGGAGGACTTCTCTGCAAGTCCTATAAACCCAGCAATCCTAAAACCAAAGTACACCTCACCCCTCCTTTTCTGAGCCGATGTGCGCTTTTTCCGGGACTCGGCTGGAGAACCCTTTGGTGGAGACTCCGGCAAGACAGAGATTTTTCTTCTTGCTCTGGTATTCGGTGTCCTGGCCCCAGTTTTCACAGCAGCGTCCTCTGTTTCCTGGACCACTTTGCTCCCCTTCCGCCCTCCGGCCTTCCTCATTCGCACAGCGCCGTCTTGAGGAGCGCTGATCCTGGAATTTCTCCTGGCTGCTGGCTCTGTTACCTGGGCAGAGGCGACATGGTAGCTTGATCAAAGCAAAGGTCGCTGGCCATTACCCCCCCGGCCTGCTCAGCCTAACACCTGGGGGACACAGCTCCCAGCACCCCTGGTCAGCCTGACCGAGACCATGCTGGCCTGGGGAATATGGGAGCTTGTAGTCCAACGCACCAGAGGGCACTGGGTCGGGAAGAGGTCAGTCCAGCTCCACATCCCACTTTCTGCAGCCCATGGACGCTGCCAGCAAACCTGCCAGCGGCGTAGCGGGTCAACTGCTGGCTTCTGTTTGCCTCCAGAAGTGGCTATAAGTTGCAATTCCCCTTGTCCGTAACCACTGGCTGATGGGAGTTGTAGTCCCACACTACTGGGAGGGCCACAAATTACCCATCTTGGCCTAGATGGATCCTGGTTTAGTTTGGTCTTGTATGGCCCCCGCAGAGCCTTTGGGTCCCTGCTGCCTTCCTGAAGGCCATCCATGCGCAGTCCAGCCTCGAGCTCGGTAACACATCTTGCTCGTATATTTTCCCTGTGATCTTAACTCACACCAGTCTCAGCCAGTTAGCACGGAAGATGGGGAAAAGCCCCCCGTGACCAAGGACTGGTCTATAATATTCCTGCCCTCGCGTTGCGCCTTGGGCTTTAGCTCCATAAGCAAGGGAGCTGTGTTTTTCCAGAGATGTCATTTCAGAGGTTTCAGCATGAGATTTTTGGATCAAGAAACTTAATGGGGCGGATGGGCTCAGGAACTTCATAAATGGCAGGTGAAGACAAATAGAGCAGAGAGGACTGACTCCAGGAGTACTGCAAACCGCTTCCCAGAAAGGTATAAATACGGTAGAGTCGAGAACTTCTCTTACCTTTGGACTTGGCGCATCAGGATCCTCCTTTACCTGCACCCGTTTCTTGCGTGATTTTCCCTCTGCAAAACAAGCAGCGAATTAAAAAGGCCAGCTCCAGTGTTGTTAGTATCTTCGCCAAAAGATCACCATCATGCCCTAAATGGTAAAGGGCTGCTCAGGCTGCTGGCTGAGGACGCTTGGCTCCAGCTGGCAGCCGCTGCAGAGGCTCTCTGGCTTCTACGATTTTCCTTAGCTTTCTTCCTTTTTTTCCTTCTCGCTTGTTCCTTGAATCCTGCCTTTGTGAACTCAGACCTATCCTCCTTCCAGAGATCTTTTACCACTGGGTGGATGAAAAACACCTCTGACAAGAAAAAGAGGATGTGCATCTCTCTGGCAGCTCACAATGCCAAGACTGTGAAACCTGTAAACCTGAGACTTGGCCTGTATCCTAAGAGATACCTAAAGGCTAGTCCAGCAGATCGCCCGATTCGAGACCCTCTTATGTCCTTACTGAGGGGGATCCAAGGAAATGTGTCCCCGGCTCCCTCAGAAACATTGCGGAACTGTCAAAAACCCAGAAACAAACCCCAAACCATCACATTTGGACCTCTTTGTGGCTCAGAGAGATACTGGAAAGGAAGCGATGCCAACACTCACTTTTGGGGGCCATTGGTCCAGGATCGCCCTGCGTGGAAGGAAAAACGGCAGAGAAGGGATCAGAGCAACAGCAAGAGACAACTCGAGGACACTTCAGGTTGGCTCCCGACTTGGATGCGAGGGGCTTAGAAGGGGCTGCTGGGCCTCTCTCGGCCCAAGGGCTGAATTTGGTTTGGAAGAACTTGTGCTCAAAGGAGCACAAATGCTCGTGTATTTGGGAGTTCATGCCTTTGAAGAGGCATCGCAACACTTCAGAAATTCCGGTAGAAGAGCCAGGAAACCATTCAACAATAAATGGTTGGGGAAAGGGGCACCAAAGGGGGACAAGGACCCCCGAGGGCTGCATTGGAGCTCTGCCGGACAGATGTCATCTGTGGGCCAGAGATGGGAAACAGGCAATCGGGGGTTTTAATCTGGAATTTTCTGCATGCAAAGCATAGCCCCCCCCCCCCCGAAACTGTTCTTGCCCACTCTCAGCCTCTGGAAAGCTTCTGAGAACTAGAGCTTTAAATACTGAAGTTCTCTAATACTAATAGAGGGATCCTTGGGAGAGTTATAAAAGGATGCTGAGACAGAGCCTCAGTCACGACTAAGCCAAGCCATTAATTTCAGCGGGCCTTCTCTAAGAACAACTAAGGTCCAGTCCAGAATTTGAAGTGCAAAATGGCGAAAGAGGAGCAAACAGTTCTTGAGCAAACAGACTTCCCTGGTACCGGCAGGGGAGAAATCGGTGGGGCATTTTTGCCTTGGAAACACGGGACCCTCGGCGAGAAGTGTGAAAACGGATGACCCGTGGTGTGGACTGTGCTTCTAAACCGAAGGCCAGGACGGCATAAAGCTAATCAAGCTGGCAGTTCTCCATCACCTCTGTTCCTACCTGGAACCAGATGGTTCTGTTGTTGGAGTCACTCAGGGACTTCATGCCCGGAACAGAGTAGCACTGCAGCCACTCCTCAAAGGCCGTGGAATCCTGTGCACTTTCTGGGTCATAACCTTTCCCACCTGCTGGGGAGAACAAGCGTGCACTCTAACCATAATAGCACTGGAAACCCATTCCTGTACACCTGTACATGGATGCACATCCCATGTTCAAGACTGCCTTAAACATTCTGGCTTTTTGGGGGGTGGGGGGAGAGGAGGAGTCCTCTCTAATGATGAGGACTAGAAACTTAGGGCAGTAGAAGAAACCATGGATCCGTCGTGTTTGGGTTAGGGCAACATGTTCAGGACAGACCATGCCAGGCAGGTTCATATTCCGACGTGAAAGTTCCCCTTCCTCACTTGCTTAATGTTAGCTACTGGAAGAGCTCAGCAAACTGTTCTTGTCGATTCGCTGCAGAGCAGCAATGCCAGCAACTGAGAAGTCCTTTTCATCCCCCAAGAACTGCGTTGTGGGATCAAACCACGGTCCTCTCTAGTCCAACAGGATGTCCCAGGAAGCACATGAAGGCCGCGTGTAATTTTCTTCTCATGGTTTTGGATTTTTCCTACGAACCCTGCGACCCCGCGCCCTCCACACACGATCAGAGCCCTCCACTGGGCCGCCGTCTAGGCCCTTACCTAGTTGGACAACCTCCTTCGGGAGCATGTGGCAGAGCTCCAGCAAGTCGGGGTTCGCCCGTTTCGTTGCCACCTTTCTGCTCAGCGTCATGCCGGAGGTCTGCAAGGAAGAGACGTGGGGCTCAGGCGAGAGGGAAGCCCTACAGATCGGCACTCCCACAGAATGCTAAGCTCTCCCACTACTGGCGCCTTCCACAAGCAAACAATTCTGTGCATGTTCAGACAAAATATCCACGCTGGGAGCTCTGGGCCGTCTTTCTGTGGAAGCACGCATAAGATCGCACGCGAAGTGGGCCATGGATCCCGGGCGTTCGTGTGCCAAAAACGTGCCCAAATCCTGCACTGAGAAAAAACCCCAAACCAAGGCTCTGCACCCTTGCCTCACCTGTCCCCGATGCTGCAGGTCCTCCAGGACGGTCCGGGCCTTCTCAAAGGGAGGGATTTTTAACCTGCAAGGAGATGCAGGTGAGGGGAAATGACAGCCAAACATCTGGAAGGATACCATTTCCGTGCCATCGTGTAACGATGCTGGCACACCTGGCAAGATGTACCAGAGGCCTCGTGCGTATTTGCCTTTAACTGGGAACACAGTCACGCCCGCAAAACTCTGCACCCCCTTGTTGCTTCTGCCTGCAGCCCCAAATGCCAAGCTACGCTTTCACAGGTGGGGAGAGGCCCCCAGGACACGAGTGCTGAGCCTGTTTCCATCCAAAGGCTATAATGAATTTTGAAGAAGCTTGTGGGGTACTTTTCAGTGGTGGTGGGATGAAAGGCAAAAGGGATGAGCCCAAGCTGTAGAGAAAACCCCAAGCTTATTTTAGCTTGAAGCTTTTCCTGCCAAGGATTATGGCTTAGGAGAGCATTCAGGCCTCTCAGAATCAGGAAAAATTGTGAACACTGGAAAGCCAGCAAACTCTGCAGTGAAGAGAACAGAGGAGTAGCCAGCTAGAAAACCCTGGAAGGCTGGCTTGGGTTCCCCAATGGGCCAGGTTTGGGTCACAGCCCTGAGGCTCAGTACTTCTGCTCCGAGCCCTTTTGCACGGGGACAACAGTTGTCCAAGTAAGCAAGCAAAAAATCAAGCAGACGCTGACCATCGTGATTCAAGCTAGCACCAGGTGTCAACTCACCGGTACAGGATTTCGGCCCGCAGGTAGTTGCCGATGCCGTTGAAGAACTTCTGATTTAGCAAAGCCTCGCAGATCGGCTTGTCGAAAGCCTTGTCGGATAGATTCCTCAGCACATGCTCCCTGGAATGGATCAGATCCAAGCTTGTTAGAAGGGTGTGCACCAGGCAGGAGGAAAGGTGGAAGACAGAATTACTTAGCTGCTTCTCCAAGGATTTAGTTAGTGGTAGCAAGCACTTAAAGAAAAAGTGTGCTGAGAGTTTGGTTGGTTCTTCGTCCTCTTTTGGCCCAGTCCATCCCTGGACTGAGGCCCCCGTGCGGATTCTCTGAGTGCAGATTCTCACGGAGCCAAAATCGCACCATCGACCCGAGGGAGAAGTGGAAGTGGGATGCAAGGACCGGCCCAACCCCGGGCAGCTAGAAGGCACTCAAAGCTCCTCACCTGAACTTCTCATACTCCAGCATCACACACGGCCCTCGGTCGGCCTGCCAGGTGCCGTTCACCTCCCACCGGCCGAAGCGCCGGACGTCCACGTAGCAGAGGGCCTGAGGCGGCCGCTCCTTGGTGTAGAAGCGCAAGTGCGCATGCTTGGGCAGCTCAGCCACAGGGACCAGCCTGAAGCCGCCGGACATGCCAAAGCGGAAGACGAGATCCATGGACTCCCGCGCGCCCTTCTGCCCCTGGGCCGGACAGACCGGCCTGGGGGGAGGAGGAGGAGGGAGGGAGGAAGTCTTCCGCTGGACCGGCACTAGCGTGAGCTTCAGCTCCTTGCCCCGCGACACGGCCGAGATGGTGTACCCGTCGCTTTCAAAGGGCACTTCTGGATTCTTGCTCACCTCCGACTTCTCCACCTTTCCTGAGAAAAGGAGTTCTCCACACTTGGCATTGATGTACCGGCTGGCTAGAAACAGCTCTGGGCCTTCCGGCATCCTAGAAATGGAGAGGAACCAGGCTGGGAGGAGCGGGAGAGCTGTAACACGTCTCACAGGAGCACAAAGAAACTCTCTTCTCATCCAGATGAGTGCCTTTACTTTTCATTCACCCGTCAGGCAGCTCACAACATGAACTGAAATTAAAGTCAGGAAACAATAACAAGTAAACAAACACTCCCCCCCTCCAAAAAAAAAAAAACATGGTGGCTACAAATTCACAGAAGGGGAAAATAGGTTTTGGCCTTTAAAGGTGATCTAAAATATTTATAATTGTGCATAGTGATCCATAGCGAACATTAAAAAAAGAAGAAACCATAAACTAGTGCAATGGAAGGAGGAAGTTGTATTAGTATGAATCATGTTCAACCAATGGAAAGATTTCATTCAGTGAATCAGCCTGTGTCACCCTTCATGCCTTCTAGCCTGTAACTCCGAATTCCTTTCCATTCGTTATGCTGGCTGGGGGTGATGGGAAAGGAAGTCCAAACCATCCACAGGACACCATGTTGGAAAAGACTGCAGTAGATGACAAGAGTGACAGGAGAAAAGGAAGAACAGTTTCCTGGAAGGGGGAGGGAGGCACTCGGCATGTCCTCAGAGTTTCTCTTAACTAGGTGCAAAGGCAGGAGGGGGCCGGAGCCAGTTTGGGGCTCGAATCAGGCCCCGGTGCATTCGCGTCCCTGTGCACACGCGCAGCTCCGGCCAACCCACCTGAGCCCGCGCCTTCGGCGGGACAAGCAGCAGCGGAGCAGCCGCGGCGCCGGCTTCCCTCGCCTCGCAGACCCCGCGCTCTCGCAGCGAACGGAGGCTCACGGGACGCTTCCCGCGCTGCTCGCATTGGAGGCGGCGCGTCGCGGGGCACGCCGGGAGCCGTAGTTCCCGCGGCGCGAGGTCGGAGGGCCTCCCAGGCTGCCGTGCCCTCCCCTTTAAGACCGCGCGCAGGTACCGCCCGCAGCGCGCACCTGCACGTCTTCGCAGCGCCGTCGGGCACCGGGGTGGCATCGCGCATTCGCGCGTCTGCGCGCACAGGCTTCCGTGAGCGGCTGCGTCCCGTGGCATTTTGACAGAGCGCCGCCGCATCCCCAGAGGCGCTCCAGTTCCCCGCTCCCAGAGGCACGCCACCTGAGCACACGAAGGGAGCAGAGGAAACCCTGCAAGCCCAGCCCAGTTTGGGTGGCAACAGGCGCAGTCGTCCTCCGCAGGAGCAGCTTGCACGGAGTGCTCGGAGGACAAAAACTAGGCGGCAGTTTCTCAGTCCGCTGAGTGGGAGCAGTCCTCACAGTGCCAACTCTCGTCCTGCTCCTCCGCCGACCCACGGCAAACTCACATGGCAGGCTGTTGAGAAGCAGCTTATATACGGAAAACAGATCTAGCCCTGTACGAGAGGCGAAAAGTGTCAAGGCTGGAGGCTTGGGAACTCCGAGGTTTACAGAAGCCCCCTTCAAAAACCCTTCCGGAAAAACCGCACAATGAAGACTGAGAATGTTCGCTGGGGCTGAACGGCAGCGGAGTGAGGAACAGGACGGAATGGAGCCCCCTGCAAGCGGGGCTGGCTGGCTGGCTGAGCAAGGGCACCCTCGTAACAGAACCCCGAAGCAACATTCATGCAACCTTCCCTGGGGATCTTTGCAAAAGGAAGAACAGTGGCTGGACACAAATGCACAACAGTCACACTCACTGGCAGCTCAACATCGCTTAGTACTGTGGAGTTTAATTTTCTCCCACCCCACAAAGGACAGAGATCATACAAAGAGCCATCGAAGTGTTTCAGTAGCTGAGCTGCAAAAGAGAAGATTCCAAGGCATACAACCTGGCCAGCCAATCTCTCAGGCCCCGAGCCTGCAAAAAAGGCACGGATCAGAGATCTGAAAGGTGGAGGAAGGGCAAGCTGGTCTGCTCTGCTTTTCATGACTTTCACATAGCTCTTTCCCTGGTGAATGGAAAGGACAAGCCAGCCTCCTTTGATTAGTGAAAGACGACGAGCAGCCACGACACTGCATGGCAAGATTTCTCCTGGGTTTTTCCTAATTCTGCAAAAGGGGACGGGGGAGACAGATGCAGCCGAGACCATGAGGGCAAGAGAAGGTAGATTCCCCTCCTAGCACTGTAGAACCCGAACATCTTAGCGTCACTGTAATCTGGGAGTGGCTTCTCCGAGGTGTCAACACCGTGCCCCCAAGAAGAGGGAGAAAGCGAGGGAGGGGGCTCGCCTTCAGGGCAGCCTGGCCTTCTATGGAGGAGGGACAGCTGGTCTGGGCGCTGTTGGGGAAGGTTTTCGTCAGGGCGGGTAAATCGCACAGGAACCGAACTAGGCATGGTCTGGATTTTCAGCACAGGCCATGTGAGCATAACCCAGCTGGGAAAACGCTCCATGCGCCTTGCTGTGCCGGTTTTCAGAGCGTTTTAATGCAAAAAAGCTGTTTCCCACCATTGCGCTCTGCAGTGGAGTCCGTCCGCAGTTCAGGTTTGAGAAAGGTCAGGTGGAAGAGAGGGACAGATTTGGGTCTTGGCCTTCTAGCCTATTTGCTGGTGAGAAATGCCGGCTGCATTCATACAAGGGCTCTCGCTCACTTCATGAAATCACTGTCCAGAAGAGACTTCTTCACCTTCGGGCAAAATTGAGTTCATTCCAGCCTTGGCACCTTCCTCCCAGCGACTCCTTAGTCAAGTGTTTTCATGATGGCCTGGGCCTGCTTCAGCTCTGAGAGGAAGAGACGTGAAAGCACGTAAGACTGACTTAAGGTTCAGATTAAGCACAGAAACGCCTTGTTCCCCCATGCCTGGCCTCTCTTATTGAACACAGAAGTTTGCTAGAGACAGCGTCTTCTTGGTGGTCTCCCTTGGAACTCACGCCAAGGAAAGTGTTTAATAACCCCAACTGTGAGCAACAGTAAGAAAAATAAAAGTCAAGGTTTTTTAAATCTATCACAGTATCTATGCTGATTGTGGAGGATCAGACTGTGCATTGCAATGGTCAGAAAAACTTGTTTGGTTGGAGTCCAGAACTGCACAGTTTAAAAAGGTATTTGAATATTTTGTGGCTTTTCATCCCAACCTTTGCAAGCCGTTTCCTTCCCCAATTGGCATGCAACTTTTCTCCGATCCTATTCCCTGACCATTTTGGTCAAAAGCTGGTGCTACAGCAGAGAGAGAGAGAGAGAAATCCCCGGTGTTAAGTTTCTCACCTGCAAGCAAGACTCGGAACTTCTCTGCCGACAGCGTCAGGGCAACTGGCTCCAGGACTCCCCTGTCGACATCCTTTACCTTGAGCTTGAGGTGAACCACCGGTTCATTGACCTGTCGAAGTTCGCTGGAGCTGAGAGTATAATCTACTCTCCAGGACACCGAATCCAAGCAGTTCACTGCAGGCAGGCAAGAAGAGCCAAGAGGTAAGGGACACCGACTGGACCAAATTCTGCCTGCCTCACCTGTATGGCACATTTCAAATCCATTCCTCAAACCCCGGATTGCAGTCATTCCTGAACTGCAACAGTTCACTCTTCGATTTTTCTAATGTCCTCTTTTTACTAGCACAAATTAAACAGAAATAGCCCTCCGTGTGGACTGGGAACCCGCATGGGCCACGGCCAAGCTCCCCGGCTGGAGGATGCCCTCCCGCAATTTAAAGGACTGTTTTCTTTCATGCAGACTCTAGCGGCCAATGTAGTTTAGCCTTGCTGACCTTTCACACGACGGTTTGAAAAGGAGCCTGCGAACATCTCACAGTCTCCCCAGAGTTAGGACAGCATCGACCCGAACTTCCACGTGCGCCTTTTTGAGCGGTCTGGATGCAAAACGCAACGGCTGACTTACATCTCAAGCTGCACCTCCGAAGACTGTCCTGAAGGGGCGCCTGCTTCTCCTCATAGGACCGGCACAATCCCGCAACATGTTCTGCGACACAAGGAGGGGTGGGGGACCAAGATACTGCAGAGGGAGCACGTCTCCGCCCTCACCCGGCCAGCCCCCATCTCCAAATGGCTCCGTTTATCACAGGTAAGCGGCGCAAAGGACTGAACTCCCATCATGCAGATGCTCAATGCCCCTGCGGACACCCAACTTGTTCTGCCAAGGCCTGGAAGGCTCTCTCGGCCGCCGCCTTTGCTCACCTTTGGGCAGCCCCAGCTGCTGCAGCTCGCTGGAGAGGGAGTCCGAGTCCACCTGGTGCTTGGCAGCGCTGGAGAAGATGAAACTGAGAACAGCGACGGCAGCCTTTACGTCCCCGGACTCTGGCAAAGTGGGAGGAAGCAACAGGAGAACGGTCGGTCTAGCGAGGGATGGCGCCTCAAAGAGAGGCAGCTGAGCGGCTCGAGGGCAGGCCCGTGGCGACCCCAGCGCCTACAGAATAAAAATGCATCCCCGCCGGTCCGTTTGGAAGCACCCGGCCAAGCTGCGCAAACCGATGCCACGCCACAGGTCGATTTCGGGCCAGGCCTTGGAATCCAGATGTGAAGTTCTCCTAAAACACGGGGAGATGCCTTCAAGCCAGCTTCCTCTCGCCTAGCGTTTTGGGGATGGGGCACACCACGAGCTGCAATCGGCACAGCAAGATTTGACCCACTCCCATATTCCATCTTAGAACGGCAGAGGAGACCCTACGGCCACCTGGATGTCCCTGAACAACAACTCCCATCATCCCAGGCCCTGTTGGCTGAGGCCAATGGGAGTTGCAGTCCAGTGTCCGGCAGAGTGTCCCCCTGCTGAAACTTGACTCCGTGACTTTCATGTAAGGAATTTCTCCTCCTTCCACCTGAGAGGGCTTTGGCTGTGGGACAGTACAGAAATGAAATTAATAACAGCAGCAATTTGCCCTTTGCTCTGCTCAATAGTGACCTGCATGAAGAGCCCTGGAGAATTTGAAAACTAGTTCACTATTTTCTCACATTTTGGTCAGACCAACAAAGCTACTGCCCTCATCTGAATGCTTTCCTGCTCTTCCTTTTGCTTTTCCTAGAAGCACCTGCCATGGTTTCCAAAAAGAAAGACACTCACCGAACTTGGCATCTGAGGTGAGCTTTAAAATCTTCTCATACTGCAAGAAAAACACACAATTCAAGTATATTTAAATTGCTCGTGCCAAGTTCACCTTCTGGAACCCCAAGAGGGTCTTTCTATCCATCACAGAAACACATGCCATCCAGACACACGCGTTTCACTGCAACTGCCCTTATTAGCTATGCTGGCTGAGAATGATGGGGATTGCAGTCCAAAAGAAGAGATCAAAGCTTTGACGGAGCCCATTTTGAGAATACCTGGCAGTTCATATGAAAACAATTCCTACTGTTCACAATGTGTTGTTGGACTGTTCTGAGGCTTTTATGTCTAGGACAGGATACAAAAGTTTTAAACAAATAAATAATAAAGACATATCCTCCAATTTACAGGGCTGCCATCTGTATAACTTTTAAAATTTTTTTTATTGTTTTGCAAAAGACTGAAGGGGACTGTCGGCCTACCCAGATGAATCAGGCCCGTTTGTTTCAGCCTCTTCTGATCCCCTTAAATTAGGACAAAGTTAGTTTTGCACATCTGAAAATACAAGCATACAAATGAGAAAAAGAGAATCTCAGACTTACATCAATTCCTTCACCAAGCAGGTCTTTCAGCACCTGGGCACAGATGAGCTTAAGCTTCACAGAGGACTAGAATGATAACATAAAATACATCTGATAACATTTTGCCTGGAACATGAGCTTCTCCATCAATTTCATAGAAGAATTCTGTATATTTTTGTATATTGTTATTTATTTGTTGGAAGCCGCCCTGAGGCTTATGCGAATGAGGCGGCATACAAGTACTCCAAATAAATAAATAAAACAAATAAGAAGTCCTGATAAGCAAGCTATCTCATGCCACCCTCATTTTAAGGAATAAAAAGGGGTTTTTTTGATAAGGTTGGACCATCCAACTATTTCTAACCAGGAGGATAGAAACATGTATCCACAAACATCACTACTATCAACTGATGATTTGGTTGGGTTTGTTAAACTTAGAATCACAGATGAACCAACAAATAAGTCATTGATCTTTGGGCTCTGGCTCTGACTTGCAGCAGAAATATTTCCACAGAACGTTGTAACAACTGCATCTGATGGTTACTCAAGAGTCGCAGAAGGTAGATTCAGGTCTGCTGGAAGATCCTTGGAAGATCAGCAGGTCAGCCAAACGGCCTTCCAAGCGTTTAATATGAACAGTAATTAGCAGTAAATTGTTTTGCTTCAGAGCTTACTCAGAGACTTTACTTTCTTCAGTTTTAAGTGTCCATCTTTTTTTATTTATTTTATTTATTTATTAAAACATTTTTATGCCGCCCCATTCGCCGAAGCCTTACAACTTTTTACTTGGTGTGGCTGGTGGGCCTGCAGCTTTGAATAAGGCAAAGCGAACCCCACAATCTAGTCTGCCCCCCCCCGTCCCCGTCCTACAGCGATTAGGCCAAATCCAGCAAAAAAACTCAAGCTCAAGGTCCAAGTGCAATGTAACAGAATTAAAATGCACATCTAGTATCAAAAGGAGTTTCACTTACTATTTTGGCCAAGGTGCTAATTTCTGCCAAGACCCAATCTGGACAGTCCAAGTCGCCACAGAACCGGAACCTCTGATGGGAGGAATTAAATTGGCGTCCATGATGAAATACCATTAGCGCCAACAACCCAGAATTTAGTCTGCCGCAAAACCAAGAGTTCAGCCTAGCTTTTGAAATGCATTTGAATCAGACCTCCCAAATACTTCACACAAAAGCAAGAAAGGGAACTGAAGAGCTAAGTTTTGGGAAAGCCCCTGAAACTATCCCCCGTCAGCACCTTGCCCACATGGATAGACTGGGCAAACATTTCCCCAGTTGAGTTCGGACCTGATCCCAGCTTTGGGGAGGGCATGACATTTAAACTGTGAAGCCCAGAGTGTCGGATTCAAAGCCTGAATTTCAGAATTAGCAAGGCACTGTTGCATGTTACAACTGCCTCCCCTACCCCAGAGCCAACAATCCTCTGTTCTCCATGGCCATCCGTGAATACCTGCCCCTTAGACAAACAGCAGCCACATTCCACTGCCTGTTCGGTTCATTTCATCATCATTCTAGTCCTCAGTGAACATCATGCCTGCTCCAAGAGCCCCACACTCTGAAAGCAGATTTCTAACGAGCTCTGTTCTTAATCGTCTCTCGTATGCATAAAAAAAGGGGGAACGACTGCAAATTCTGGGAAGTGAATTTCGCAATGCATTCTTCTCCGGCTTCCTGCAAGAACAACGGTGGCAAGAGGGAAGCCCGTGCATAGGCCTGCGGGGGCCCTGCAGCACCCGCCCCCCCCCCGGCTGCCTTCTCGGGGTGCAAATCGGCCTTCGGGGGCCCTGCCCAGCTCCCCCCCCCAGGGGGGCAGGCCAGCCACCCTCCCACCCAGCGCGCCGCGCGTACCATCTCGCCCCGCTCCCCCGGCGGCTCCGCACAGCTGGGTCAGCTGACCGCGCTCCGCCGACCAATCAGCGAGCAGCTCCGGGCGCGTCAGCTGTTGGCACCGCGCCCTCCCCGCTTTCGTTTTCCGTCCCGCGCGAGCGCGGGATAAGTCAGCGCGCCGGCGCGAGCGGTTTACAAATGCTCACGGGAAGAAACGCGCGCCAGGGAGCAGCCGCTCGGGGGCGCGCGTGCACGTTAATCCCGTTGCTGAGAGCAAAGCAAAGCTCAGAGCGGGGCAAAGCGAAGCGAAGCTGGCGAGGGCGCGCGTGCCGATGCCACGGTGGCCCACGCGGGACTTCCGCGTGGAAGGCAGGCCCACGTCGGACTTCATTTTTCATTCTTTCCAAAGTTAGAAGCCGCTTCGTCCACAGAGATCTCAAGACGATGCAAATAACCCTACAAAAGGCAAATATAATAGCGTGGAGTGGAGAGACACGTGTCTGCACCCGCCCCACCCCATGCAGGCAGGGCTGTGCGCGTTGCTGTAGCCCCATTCCCGACGTAAGGGGGTGCTGCCCCACAGGGCGAGACAGATGAGGTACGTAAGCCGTCCCGAGGCGTTAAGCGATGGGACGGCGTCTAAAAACTCCAAATAAAGTTTGCCGAGAGACTGTTGATCACCCCGGTGCAGGATGCAAAGACTGCAGAACTCTGTGCTGAAGCTGTAACTCATGGCAAGGACAATTAAAACCGGTGTTAGAGAATAAGCCAAGCATGAGGTCGGTCAGTAGGCATCCTAAAATCCAGCTCTTTCATGTTCTTAGTGCAACCAAACCCACAACCTCTATTGATGCACAGGCACGCACAAGCTACCCCCTCCCCAAGGGAGGATCAAAGTCTGAACTTTTGGATGAAGTCCTTTCAAGGCCAGGAAAGTATGTACTCTTTATTTTAAAAGGTGTGCTTCTGCAGGCTGAATATTGCCTGTTTTGAGCCAAATCCTTCAGCCAGGTTGGCTGCTGCCGCACCCCCTTTAAAGAAAATACACTGAACACATAAGTAACTTAGCCATAATTTTACCAAGCATCTACCAATACCCTATAGGATCTCACCCCCACTACAAAGCAGACAAACAACTTCCAGAAACAAATTGCTCAAAAACTCTGTGCTAAACAAAGTACATCTTAGCCTGTAGTCCAGTGGCGAAGGCCGAATTCAGCGGCAGAGCAGCTCTCTAGTTGCAGGGCTTGTGAGTCCAAAGACAGAAGGCAGGGCTAAAAATTGAAAGATCCCAGCACATTTCAACTGACAGCTCCTAAAGCCAGTAACTGAACCTTAGGAAAGGTGTTGCAACACTTTAGTAAACCTGCCCAAAAGGCCAGGAATCACCCAACGATTGGGAACAAAAGGAGGGTTTGCAACCAACTAAGAAACTTAGAGGACACAATTGTTATTTCAGCACCTCGTGGAAAATTACTCCCGCATGGACACCCTTCCTTCTCTCTACCCTGGTTATGTAGACAAAGCCAAGTGAGTTGCTTTATTTTTTCCTTTTTTTATACACATATGGTACAGCTTAATACGAGCCAGAACGTCTTTTCCTATAATAGAGAATTCCTAGAGTGATGAGAGCCAGGATCACAGCGATGGCTATCAGGATGAGTCCCACCAGTGTCCCAGGAGCTTGAAGGAAGCCTGCGGAGGAGAACAAGGTTAGGTTTGCAGATCAACCCCTCCCTGGAGCTGGACTTCTTGCTCTGCAGTGGAAATGCTCTGTGATGGGTGCGATTGATTTACTTTGGTTATGTTTGAATGATGTTACACATTTGGTGCTTTACCATCTTGATCTGGGTCACATTAATGAAAGCCCATGAGTTCCTGGGGCCACAGATGCAGAAGTGGGGTTCTTTCATTGCCTCTGGTTTAACAATGCAGGAACACTGAAACTTGCATTGACATTACGTATGAACTGAGCCTTGAGTTCTACCTTTACTGGAAAGGTAGGTTAGATCCAAATTAGGTCTACGGTGGTGGGCAAATTGAAACCTAACTTCTCCCATCCAGAAATCTGCACTGAGGTTATTCTGACGTAGCAGCCCAATTTCTAAACTTATTTAAACGTTGCAAGGAGTAGAAATATTAGGATTCCAAATTACCGTAACTAGTTGAGGATTCCATCATTCCGCTTCGGTGGCCTGCGAGTCTTCTGGAGGTCAGGTACGCATCAAGGATGAATATGGGACCTAACATCACATCGGTCTCCACGTCTTTCGTTTTATCTGCATTTGAACATAGAGAGCTCACTGTTAGGTCAGGACACGGATGCAGCTGGAACATGTTCGGCTTCGTGTCCGTCCAGTTTGCTGAACACACCTTGCTTAGCGGCAGCGTCTCGGCCAAGCCTCCTTCCTGTCAGCCATCTGTCCCAGGTGTTGACACTCCTTGACTGGTCGGGAAGGTCGCAGTTGCCAGTTTCACAGCAGGCGCAGATGTCCTGGGTGCCTTCTACCGGGGTCCACCTGGAGCAGGTTGGGTGGGAAGTAAAGAGAGAAGAATGAAATCAACTATTCGTGGACCTTTATAAGGAGGCCTCAGGGAGTAGCTCAGTGCCGGTCTTGTGAGGGGCAGGTACCACCACCTGCCTATCCCCCAAATGTCTTTTTATCACCTAATTACACCTAGTCGGTTCACAAAAGGTCCATTCAGTTGTACGCCAGCTCACTGTGAAGCAGGACCACCATTCCCTGGTTCTTTTCAGAGAAGAATCCTCCACCTGAAGGGCTGCCACAGGGCTGGGCTGTGTTCTGAAGGCCTGTCCCATCCAAGATGACTCAAGGCTGGTTCTGCTACTATTGGATTTACAAGCCTGCTTTTCTCTCATGAACTCAAAGCAGCTCGCATCATCCCCCCTCCTCCCAAGTCTTATCTCCACAACAACCACCCTGCGAGGGAGCGGTTGAGCTGAGGCTGACTGGCCCAATGCACCCAGCGGGCTCCATGGCTGAGCGGGGACTCGAACCCGGATTGCCCGAGTCCCAGTCCCAGGCTCTTCACCACGACACCACAGTACGTTGTGGCTATGAATTCCCCTAGTTCATGATGCACCATATTGGCTCAAATAGCCAACGGTTGAAAAGTGGAGTAGAAACAGGACTGAGCAAGAATGCTGTTTGAGCAGCTGCCTCCTCTCGTTTCGCCTTCCCCGCTCTGGTGCCTTCCAAATGGGCTGAAGCTGCCTCTCCCGCCACGCTGCCGGGGAGGTCCTGAGAGCCGTCATGCGAAATGCCCGGAGAGCAATAGCTTGGGAACACTTTTTTTTTTCCCTAGCATGGATGTAATGCCAGGTCACCCACCTGTTGGTTGCTTTACTGAAGGAACAAGCCTTGTTTTCTGGATCGGGAGTCTGGCCAGCTGCAGAAACTTTCAAGTGGCAGGTGATGTAGATCTACGAGCCAGACACAAAAGAAGTGGCAGCAGCCAACCCTTCGGTAGCTCAAGGCACAGACACACCTGTGAGGGGCGAGTCTGCTGGAGCTGGGCACAAAGCCACTTACCAGGTCTCCGGGGTCTTCCGCGAACCTGAAGGTGTCTACTGTGAACTGGAGCACGTCGTCCTTGGGCCTCGGCGATACAAAGGTGGAGTTGGAATCCGATTTCCCATCAACAAGGCAGCTAAGGAGCAGCAAAGGCTGGGTTCAGACAACACCCAAGGGTTGAGTATGGATTGCCAGGTTGCTGAACTGCGGGTTGTGTTGGCTGAACCCAGCTGTCTTAAAAAGCCACCAGTTGTTAACCTCAGACAATCCATGAAGAGAACCCATGGTTTGGGGGACGAAATATCCCTGGGACAAAAATCAACTTATTGCGGTGGCTGAGAAATTATTTCTGGCCTATCAGAACCTCTCAGCACTACCCTCTCTCACGGAGAACTTAGCCAAGACTGAATGTGGCCCTTCGACCAACACCAATGCGGTAGTGACGGTTACTCCCGAGATCGCGTACCCTTTGTAGTCGATGATTGGGTACAGCGGTGTGGACTGCCTGCCTGGGCTCAGCGTGGCCACGCATCGGTCGACAAAGAGCCTCAGGGGCATGTGGTTGTTGGTGTCCACAGCTGCCTGGATGTACATCGCATCCCCCAGCTGGTACCCGTTGGTCGTTCTCTCAGCACTCCAGTCATCTGGAAAGCAAAAGTGGTACAGAATCTTATCCAGAAGGCTCCCAGTGCTTCCGCAGAGCTGGCATCAGCCACGAAGCGCCCAGTGGCAGGGACGCTGGGTGGGAATTCAGTTGAGGCAACAGAAGAGTCAAAATACGCCCAGGTTTTCGAAAGTCAGGGCCTGCAGCTGACTTTTCAAAAGCCATCGCAGCCTTCGCTAGTGGCAGCTGCAGTTTCGCTCTAACAGGCAGCTAGTGTGAGAACTATATTCAGAAATGCCACATCCTGTGACGTACCTGTCATTAAACGCAAGGAGAAGCTCAGTTTCTCCTCTGCAGAGAGAGTCGAGCTGAAGGGCACCCAGGTTGGCCTGATGGCTTTGCTGCTCACATTGTTCCTTCTGGAGAGAGGGAGAGAGAATGAACGAACATGGGAGTAGAAAAATCCTACAGAACCTGCACACCAGCCTCGTTTCCCCACCTTACCTTGGGTAATGACATTCAATAGGGACTTCTGCGGGACTAGTCCTTAAGATGATTGCATTTGGGGCTGGAGTGGGGCGGTAGTAAAGGGTTATGCTGTAGACCAGGGAATCCGGCATCATCTAGGAGTAATGCAGGATACACACACCGGTTACCCACAAAGCAGGGTGCCGCACCTGTTCCAGTCCAAGAACCGATTCCCATGTCAAGGACCTGAGGCCAAAAGGCTTGCCAGTAACCAAGCCCTAAGAAGATCACCTCAACCCTTTAGCACAGGGAGGAAGCCATGGTTGGCACCTGCCACAAAGGGGAAGGCTGGATTTGCCCCCAGCCCCAAGATCGTTCACTGCTGCCTGGACCTCTTGGCTTGCTTTATCCCTTGGGCTAATGTAGCTGCTTCCTCCATTTGCTCTGTATGCCCCACAGCACAGCTGGACAGAACATTGCTTTCCAAGTCCTCTCGACTCCAGTTCCCTGCATTTCCAGTCATTGGCCATGTTGGTGAGGCTCCTGGGAGGTGAAGTCCAAAAGATGTAGAAAGCAACCTTCTGCCCACCTCTGCCTCGCATCCTAAAGCAGCATGAATGAAGCAGAAGCAAGCACTGCTTAGTCCTTTCAGATCTATGTGATTCTGCAGTGATCCTTTCAAGGTGGAGGGCAGCGGGGGGGGGGGGGCTTGAGTCCTCTTTTTCAGCCCTTCATTTAAAGTCATCCTCCGTCTGAGGCACTAATCCCTCATAGAGCCATGCTCCTTCAGCAGTGACCAAAACAGGCAGGCAAGTCACAACTTTCCAGGCTATTTGTGTACTTGTTATATTTCTATCCCACCTTTCTCCCCTTCTGCAACTCAGGGTCCCCTGGCAGTCCCCCCCTCCAAGGCCAGGCCAGCTCCAAACCCACTGAGCTTCAACAGGATGGATGTCTGATGTACCTTCACACCCTTATTTCTGTTTAAATCACTTCTAAACTCACACCTGCACCTGTAAGTTATGCTATTTTAATGCAAACTGCTTCTTGGGCCAATGCCTTTTCTCTTTGGGGCAATTCAAAGAGAATTTGAATTTGACCCACCCGACTTCCAGGGCTTCAAGTTTACTTACTCACTGAGCAAAAGGCCACCTTTAACCGAGCACAGCAGCACCGAGAGACAGAAACGGAAGGTATGAAGCTCACCTGCAAGGCACTGCCACATTCATGGAGCCCAACATCAAAGATCACCACCTCCTCTGCAGCATCCAGTGACGTGGGTTGGCAGCCAGGGGAGCCCAGCATAAGGTCAGAGGCTTGGATGAGCCTGCCAGTCCCAAAAAAGTCCCTTTTCACAGTCACTACAACCTGGGCTTCCCCACACTTCGCGGTCACAGGTGTCAAGGCGGACAAGCCCCTGGTCTGAGAAGCATCCACCCAAGCCCAGGAGTAGGACTGGGACCAGCTGGGGTCATAAAGCTGGTCCTCAGGGGATGGGGTCTGGGCAGCAGGCCCCCAAACAATGGGTCCCCTTGCAGCAAAGTTCCAGGAGTCCAAAGAGACCATTTCTGCAGGAGTCCAAAGAGCCCCACAAAAGAAAACTACCACCAAAGTCTCTGCAAGCCCCATCTTGGCTGTTAAAAAGAAAAATACATATACATGTACCTAGCATGAAAGCCAAAGCATGCTCTGGAACCCTTTTATATGGAACACCTAACAGCCACCCTCAGCTCACCTGAGTCAGGTAATCATGTGCCCCTCCCCTCATCAGGTCCCTGACTCAAGCGCAAACTGCAAGGAAAAAGGGGAAGGGGGGGGGGAGGCGGGGATTAACGTTAGTCCCGCCTGTACTTCGCTTTGGTACAGGCAGGTGCTCTGAAGAAGTCCTGAAAGTACTTTTGAATTTACATAGTCCCAGTGACGTGACCCAGTGTTAGCCACGTTGGCTGATGTGACCCAGCTGAGCTAGCTTGTTTTCAAGCTGAAGGGGCTTGCAAATGTGTTGATCTTAAATTCTGCTGTTATAAGCCACTCTGGGGAGAGGAGGATCTTGACTGGTGGCAAATAAATCTATTAAGGGTGCATGTGCCATTTTGGCAGGGAGAAGTCCAACCAAAACTCTCGGCATCCCTTATGCTGGCTTGGGAAAATGCTGGGGATTCTAGACTTTTCTGCTCTCAACGTGCCTAGAAATTCTTCCTACATAACAATAATGCAACAGCGAGACCACTCTGGCGGCTCAGTTCCGAAAGGCCTGATGGGGAAACGTTTCCTCTTTGCAGAAGGGCAAGCCGCACATCCAGCCCTTTGGGATGCAGAAACCGGTGCCCTTCGTTGTCCACAACCCAAGCAGGCACAAGAGGTCCTTTCCATACTGTTGTTGCCGTGTGCATTTACCTGGGAGTAGGGTCACTGAACTCAGTGCTTACGTCTGAGTAGAAATGCTTAGCTTGCACCGTCAGACTCTTTGGCACAGCTGAAGGCTCAAGGCACCCAGTGTTAAAGATGTAGGACAGTTTCTTTCACCCCTTTTTTGCCTCCAAGCAAAAACCTGGAGTAGATCACTATACATAGGCCAGGTTTAAACGTTCCCATGCAGCCACTTTCCCCCCTAAATTTGTCCACAAAGAAAAGGGGGGGGGGGTCAAAGTCCTGACCACCCACTTTTAAGGTCCTACATGGATAGGGAAAAATTTAAGGGGCAGAGTGGCTGGATTTGGAAGTTTAAAGCCTTCTCTGAATGAAGCTTTTAACCATCCACTTTACTGAGGTTTCTGCTTCTGGATTTTTTTGCAGGATTAAAATTGGTTCCTTTACACACGTTTTTCTTCTCTTTCCCTGCCTTCCTACGTGTTTCCTCTGCAGTCTTCTGTGCTTGGTAGCAATGTTTATTTATTTATTTAGCGGACTTATATGCTAAATATGTTGCAGTGATAATCTTCACAGGGGGGCTTCTAAGTATGATTACTTATAGGTAAGTCTTAGATGCTTTGGTGAGACTGTTCCTAGAAGGCACACAATTTTTTGCTGCCTCCAACATGTTTGAACCGCTTTAAGGGGGCTTTGGGCATTCTTAGCTACCGGTTTCTTGTCTACCAGAGAGACATTTACTTAGAAGTAAGCCCGTTGAACTCAGCGGGACTTGCTTCTGAGTGTGTGTGATTGCAACATGTTGTAAGCCGCCCTGAGGCTTCGGCGAATGGGGTGGCATAAAAATGTTTTAATAAATAAATATTAAATAAACATAGGCCAAATATTTAGGCTCGGATCACAAGTTCCTGTGATCAATTGCAAGCTACCTTTAATGCTGGGAACTGCATAGTAATATAATCATTATTAGATTTATTTATATCCTATCTATTCCCAGAGTTGGGACTCTAGGTGGCTGGAAGATTGAACTCTTATAATGCTCATTATTGTGCCTTTCCAATACAGATGGGTTTCCTTTTTAATTTCACAGTTTAACCCTGGGATTCCTCTAGCTCCCTTCCCAAATCATTTCCGGGGTCCCGAGTATAGCTATGGGGAATTAAAATTACTGCAACTCTACAAGGGCAGGGCTTGATTTCAGGTTCTTTAAAAGTGTTTTTCTTCTTGATCCAGAAGTTCCCTCGGCCTTTTAGCAGCTGACAAGGCCTGCTCCATGCAGATGCGCTAAGCACAAACCCTGAAACCGTCAAAACACACCGAGGCGCCTTTATGAGGAACTGGCACCCTTCAACCCGACCGTGCTAATGTGCCATGCCTCACTCAGAGCAGTCCCTGGTGAAACTAGAAACCAGGGTTTCCCTACCCTGGCACCCTCTAGGGTTACAAAGACCATCATCCCCAGCCACTGATGTTTTATAGTTGAAGGTGCATGAGAAGAACCATGCTGGATCCGACCAAGTTCATCTAGTCTGGTGTGTTTTTCATACAGGGTCTGAATGTGTCCCCCAGCACCTGGGGGGCAAGATGCTCCCCATGCCTGAATGTGTCCCCCATCACCTGGGGGGCAAGACGCTCCCCACACCTGAATATGTCCCCCAACACCTGGGGGGCAAGCTGGTCCCCATGCCTGAATGTGTCCCCCATCACCTGGGGGGCAAGACGCTCCCCACGCCTGAATGTGTCCCCCAACACCTGGGGGGCAAGATGCTCCCCATGCCTGAATGTGTCCCCATCACCTGGAGGGCAAGATGCTCCCCATGCCTGAATATGTCCCCCAACACCTGGAGGGCAAGCTGCTCCCCGCGCCTGAATGTCCCCCAACACCTGGAGGGCAAGCTGCTCCCTGCGCCTGAATGTCCCCCAACACCTGGAGGCAAGACGCTTTCCGTGCCTGGGAGTGGCTGGCGAGGCACGAAGGGTACCAGCAGGGCTGCAGAAGAACATGAGACCCCCAGGTTTCCTGGCTGGATCTGGGATTTGCCTTTGGCAACAGGGAGGGCTGTGTCAGGATTGGGGCTCTTCTGGGGCCAGAACCCCCCCCCCGCCCCTGTATTTGCAGGATCCGTCCCAAGGCCAGCTGGGGCTCTCTTTCCACCGATGAGCAGCAGCTGGGAGTCTTGAGGGAAGAGCTGTAGATCTCAGTTGCTCTCCGCTCAGGCCTCCCACGCCCTGGTCCCTGACACCCCCATTGCAAAGGTCCCTCCTGATTTTGGGGATCCCCCCCAGGCCGCCTCATTTGGCAGGGGCTCCTGGCTCTGGGCAGGACTTTCAGGGGACCAAAAGGTTGCCACGGGAGGCAGGGGCAGCAAAATCCGCTTCTGCAGTGCGCCGGATCCCCGTCGAATCTGGATTGAATGCCCAGAAAGGAGGGGCAGGAAACTGAGGGCGGGCAGCAGATGGAACCGGGAGAGAAGACCAGAACCAAGAGCGCAGATATTTATTTTAAAGCCATTTTTTAAAGTTGTAAGTCACTTTGGGATTCCTGTTTGGACTGAAAGGCAACACATCGGTGAAAAAGCGGAAGTGAGGGATGACTTGGGTGGGGTGCAAAGAAAGGAAGCCACGAAATAGGAGGGGGCGCACGTCCAGTGGCAGAGCTCAGGCAGCGCTGACCCTCTGGCGTGGCAGTGAGCGGGTGCCAGCACAGGCCTCGGACTCTTGCCCGGGACCCTCTCGCGGGGGTCCTGCACCCTCAACCCCCCACAAATGTGGAAGGAAGGCTGCCTGCCTATACATGATCCCACCTGCATGCACATTTCGCCTAAAGACGAATTTCTGGTTTCTTGGGAGTGGAACTCTTTTGCGACCCGGGGACAGCCGGAACGTGCCCCTTCCCTCCAGGGCCACCGAAAGCGGGCTCATAACACGACGACACAAAGCATTTAATAATGCGGCCCATAAAGTGCGAGGGAACTGCCTCCGAGTACCGCCAGCCCTGTGGATCCCCTTCCACAAAAGGCTTGTGGAACGGAGACTTGGTACTTCCAGGGGCAACTCAAAATGAACAGCCTCGTTTTCAGAGCTGGGAAGCGCGCTCAGGAGGGAATGGGGCCCAGCCCTCTCTTCTCCAGATGTGCTTAGGAAACGCATGGAGCTGCCAGATGTGCTGCCCACGCCTGTGAACCTCGCACTCCAAAGCCCCGCCGTGCACCAGAGGGGATGCCAACGGGACCGTGGGGCCTGCCTCGCAGGGGCATCGTTCAAGCGCTTTCTGACTGGCAGGGCTGTGAGCATCGCCTGCCCGCCCCCTCTGCCCCTGCAGATTGCCCCCTGCTGTAGCACGAGGTCCTCTGGTGTGGGTTTGTGGTGCATGGGCCAGTAAGACCCGGTCGTTTGCAAAAACTCTGCTCCAGGTGGAGAAGAGCACAGCTCAAATGCCTTTGAGGATACGGTTCAACTCAGTGGCTGGAAGTTTCGGGCTCTGCCTGGGGTTGCTACTCCTGGGCCAGGCACGCCCCGACATGGCGGCCGCACCACCGGCGTGTCCGCCACTCAGGGCGCCCGGACTGCTCGCTCAGGGAATCATGACGCTCTGCGCTGCTGCAGAAGCGGTGTGCCAAGCCCCAGCGGGGAGTGCCTGGAAAAAGAAGCCAATCTTCTGCAGCCTCCTGATCTTTTTCTCGCCCTTTCTCCGCCGGGCGTTCAGGTGCCTGGACAACTTCTCCAGCCCCTTCGCTGGGTCGTTCTGGTGCACGGACTGGAGCACGGAGAGGCTGCAGTTGTGCAGGGCCAGGGTCTGGACAGAGCTTCTGCTGAGGAGCTTCTCACCGAGCAGGGGCTGCAGCGAGCAGTAACACTGCACACTGGAGTAGGAGACCACGGGCCCCCACGCCATCATCGTCGGGTTAATATCCAGGACCGTGCACAGGTCCTTCAGGGTCTTGGCGCACTCGAAAGCTTGGCTCTCATCCAGCTGTCCCCAGAGGTAGATGCTGTCCAGGTACTTGAGTGTGTAGTTGGTGAGGTCTGGGATGGCCTCCTGGAGGAGGGGCAAGGCGTCGAGGAAGCCCAGGATGGCGGCTTTGAATCTCTCCTCCTTGTCGATGTTCCGCAGGGTCTCCACCAGGACCGGCAGCTTCATGGACCAGATTTTGTAGCCCACCAGAATGGGCCTGTGGAGGGTCTCGAGGTAACTGAGGAGCGAGTCCAGCCCAATCTCGCAGAGGCTGCTTTTCATGTGGTTGGCGGGAGAAGCCAGCAGCGGCTGGATCATGACGGAGAAGCTGTGTGTTTCGTCCGCGGCAACGACCAGGTGAAGGACGTCCCTGGCTGCAAAAGAAGCAAGAGGGTTGCAAAAGGACCCATCAGCCACAGTGCGGGGTCAGTCTAAACGCCAACGGGGCCCACCACCGGCTTTCCCCTCGCGGCCACCCGGGTGCCGCTGGGAACGCTCGAGCAGCAAAGCATCGAGGCCGTAAGCCTGCCTGTGGCATGTCCCAGGCACAGGATATTCTAAGACAGACTGCTCCTGACGGTGGAGGTTCTGCACGTTATCCTGGCGGCACACCAGGGGTAGCTCACTCCTCCTCCATCCCGTCATCTCTTCCCCTTTGCATGCCACTGGAGTGGATCCCAGAGCGACCCCCGGTCCTTACGCAGCAACTTCAGGTCAAAGAATATCACGGTCCCTTGGGCTGCATTGACCTCTGCCTCTTTGCCGAAGGGCTGCCCCACAAATTCTTCACAGCTGCTGTGGGTTCCGCTGCCAACGTCCTCGGGCAGATTGATGTCCTGGAGGGAAGACGAACAAGGGGTGTGACACCCGAGAGGTCTGGGGCGATCCGTTAATGCAAACCGGCTCTGGGCGCCGAGCCGCTTTCTTGCAGAGGAGGGCCCGAGAGGGCCCGTGTGAAAACGTGAAGGCCGGCGGGCTGCGTGCCAGCGATCGGCACACGGTGCGTGCTGGCACCAAGGCCATTTCCCTTCCTTTCATCGGCGGAGTAATTAGGGCCTTCTCTGCGGTGGCGCCCAACCTATGGAATTCACTCCCCAAAGAGGTCTGCCTGGCGCCGTCGTTACTGGTTTTTCGGCGCCAGGTAAAGACCTTTTTCTTTAAACATCATTTTAATTGTTAAAACATATGATCTGGCCAGGGCAACTTCTTCTTCCTTCTCTTTTCTCCTCCTATATTCTTTATCTACTTGTTTTATACTGATAATTTTAATTTTAGATTATTATGTTTGTAACTCAGTGTATTTTTTGTATTTTTGTATTTAATGGTAATTTATTATGTCCTATTGTATTTCAATGTATTGTATTGTGTTGTAAGCCGCCCCGAGGCTTTGGCAAGGGGCGGCATAGAAATGTTATTATAATAATAATAATATAATAATACTACTACTATGCGGGAGCACTGGTTCCACTCTGACGGCTTGTCCATCAGGTGGGCCTGACCTGACGAGCAACAGGGATGCGACTGTCCTTTTGTGGGCCGGGGGTGCCTTGCGGGCTCCGGGCTGTCGGGGCAGGGGAACGGGGTCCTTGGTGGGTCCCAAACTCACCGCAAATTCATCATCACTGATTTCCTCATCTGAGAAAAAGTCTCCCGAAGACACAGCTTCTACAAGAGAAAAAGCCAGGGCGTCAGCGCAGCCGTGCGATTAACGCCGCAAGGGCATGTGGCTGAAGTTGGGGGTGGGGGGGGGGCAGTCTAGTGGTTAGAGTGCTGGACTGGGACTCAGGAGATCGCTGCATTCAGCTGCATTCCAGCCTGTCAGAGCCGAGACGACCTCTTTTGTGACACCCTGTTCAAGCGCCTTGTATCACGAAAAATGCAAGCAAGTATGCAATAAAATTTTGTGTGAAAATGGGGAAAAGTGCATCAGAAACTTTGGAAATGGTGAGGAAAGCTTACGGAGAAGCTGCGCTATCATCTGCACAGGATGGCAACTGTTGAGATCGGCTCAGCTCGGATCCTTCATCACAACAACACACCCAGTCAGTGCTTTGGCTGGCAGAGTCTGTGGCTGAAAAACACATCCCGGGGCTTCCCCATTCACCCCACAGCCCCGACTTGGCTCCTTGCGGCCTTTTCATCTTCCCAAAGATGAAGAATGGTTCAAAAGGACACCACTTTGGTCGTGTGGATAACGTCCAAAGAGCCCCTACACAGGCTGTGAACGCATCCCACTGGAAAACTTCCAGGGATGCGCTGAAGAACGGAAAAATCGCTGGGAGACAAGGTTTGACTGCAAAATTTTCCAAAAAAAGAATTTGTAAAATATCATTCTCATTATTTTCTGGACACACCTCGTAGCGACAGAAACCTGCTGAGCACAGCATCCTGACACTGGGATCCAGGTGCTTACAGAGGAGGTGGGCCTGCTGTAGCTATAGGTCTCAAGGGGACTACAAAGGCATCTGCCAGAGATGCCGAGTGGATTCCTGCAGCGAGCAGGTTGCTGGACTCATTGGCCAAAATAGCCTCTTCCAACTCCACGATTTGCACAAGTTTTTATTTAACAACTTGTCTGGTCACCACCGGTGAGCAGAGATTCCGTGCAGGCAAACACAAGGAATCTGCTATACGTGAACAAGCTGACTGGCGGAGGGATGGATTGCGCTGTGCCTTTTCTGCAGGCCCATTTGGTTTTTCACGGGGAGGCAAGAAATGCCTTCATCAGCATTCAGCACAGAAATACCACCGAATGGCTGTGGAGGATGGGCTGCCAACCCCCTTTGCAGGCTAGTAAATAAATGTGGCCAAGTGGCTAGTAGTCAGCATTCCTAGGAGGCTTCTAGGCTAGTAAAAAAATCTGCATTTGTTGTAACCTTGGTGGGTTAATTTATAAGGCAGGGTGAGATGTAAAGGCAAGAAACATTTGGATACCAGTGCACCCCCAATTAATCAGGAAACAGATTCTTGTTCATTTTGACTACAGAGATCTCCCCTCTCCCAGGATAGGGCTCCTCTTTCCCCTCACTGAAAATTCCCCTTCTCAGAAAAGACCAGCTATCTGCAGTATTCACAAGCCCTTGTATTAAAAATCACTAACATCGATTCCTTTGTTCTCAAACCTGCTACCTGGCTTAACGGTGCTTTTTTTTTTTTAAGGCAATCGAAAGTTTTTCAATCAATTCAGCCCGATCACTGTTCAAACACTGCAGTCCTACTGCTAGCTATTTTTGGGGTCTTTCACAGAAGATTAGCTTAGCCTGGCGTTACCGGCAGCCCCAATGATTACGAAAGATTATTTCAACAACGCGAGAACTGGACTGGTCCCAATACTTCCACACCTAGTAAGCAGGGTTTTTCTTCCAATTGTCTCAGACAAAGGGACGCGATTGCTGTTGGCCTCGTTTTCACCTAGGCTGTCTCCATTTCTCACAGCGCTGTTACCTCTGAGAGATTCAGAACTGGTGCCCGGCTGTTCAGGCAAACCGAGGTTGCCTGCGTCTCCCCATTCTCTGTCCTCAGGCTCCGCTTTAATCACCTTTAGAGGGGTCTGAACAGCTCTTTCCTCTTGAATGTGTTTCCTCTTTGCTGGCGATTTCAAAATGGGGCCCTAAAGGATATAGGCAATTGTTGAGCAGAGATCTGAGGTTCCTGCGTGGGTCACAAAAGCAATCCCAGCGTGTTATCGTCTCAGCGGCCGCCCCCACCCCGAGCGAAATTCTTTCCCCGCAGAAAGATCACGTCACTTGTCAGGTTTGTCTGCAATCGCCTCCTCCACACCTGCCTACAACTCCCAGGGTGCTTTGAGGGAAGTCACGCCAGGTAAACTAGCAGAGAGCCAATAGCAAGCTTTGTGCAAACGGTTAGGTGGCCTCAACAGCGCCGCTGAAAAGAATATGCAAGTTCTTGCTCGTGTCTTTCTCTCGCCAAGAGCTAGAAAGGAGCTAAATTCAGCCCCCCCACCCGACAAGTGCCATTAAATGCCAGGAAGTAGAGCAAACTCTCAGCCCAACGCGGACAACGCTGGCACCAGACGCAACCCACCGGGGCCACCACTCTTTCTCAACGTCTGTGCGCTGGCCTTGTTTTCTTTGGTTGGTTTCCAGGGCAGGCTGGAGGTGCAGGAGGAGAGGGACATACTTACGGAGGCATGCGAAGTGTTCGGGACGTCGGCTGAGCTGCAGCTCGGGGTGTCACGGCCGCTGCCGCTGCAGTTGTTCGGCGGTCCATCAGCCTGAGGAAATAAAAGCACTCACAGCAGGGGGAAACGAAAGCGAAAGCTCACATCATGCCCGGCTCTCCTCTTCTTGCACTGTGCCGATGAATTTCCCCTGAATTCATGGGAAAAGCTGTTGCACTGAGATGAAGTCTACGCAACCTTGTTCAAGAGTTTCCTCCACACTAGTAACTTGCAAAAAGAACGACAGGCTAGACCAGATTGCTAGCAGCTTCTGATGCAGTTAATTTTACACTTCCCCCTGTCTGTCTGTCTGTCTGTCTGTCTGTCTGTCTGTCTGTCTGTCTGTCTGTCTGTCTTCCTTCCTTCCTTCCTTCCTTCCTTCCTTCCTTCCTTCCTTCCTTCCTTCCTTCCTTCCTTCCTTCCTTCCTCACAGAATACACAGTTGGAAAGGGTCAGGCAGTCCATCCACCTGCTCAATGTAGGACTCAAGTCACCCATCAAGATTTCAACCCAGCCTGACCCTGCTTAGCTTCCAAAATTAGGCAGGATCCGGCACTTCAGGCTACGCAAAAGAACTGCAGAAGGGGGCACGTACCATCCTTTTCTGAAGCCAAGAGAGAGATTAATTATACCTTTACTGCCAGTTCAAAAGTATCTTTGAGCATTAGGACAAGGGGGAACCGTCCTTGCACAAGTTCCAAGGAGCAAACGGGAAAGACACACAGTGATCGACACACCCCGTTGCCCAAAGAGCGATGCCTATTTGTGAGGGCTGCTTTTAATTTTTCCAGGCCGTACATCGAACTGCTACAAAAATGTGGGCAATGATTTTGTCCAGACACCATCCCAAAACAAACAGTGTGACAGACGTCGAAAGCAGTAGGTTTTCAAGCCCGTTTCCACTGATCCCTCTAGTCCGTTCCCAGGGAACAGCAAAACATACGGTAAGACACCCTCTCTCAATCTGGTGCTTGCTGACTGAGGATGATGGGAGTTGTGGCCCAACATGCCTGGAAGGCACCGAGTTGCGCACACACGAATGGGCCAGCTCTCACCTGCTCGGGTTGCGTTTCGGGTGTCACTGGAGCAGCTTCTAAAAACAGTGAAAAGCACCGAGTTAGAAAACAGGTCATGTGAGTAAAGAACTTTGCGCTTATTTCGATGCTTCCTGTTGCTGCAGCAGAGCTTTACTTTGCTGCCGCCATCTTACAGGTGTGTCCATGCCTTTGTGAGCTTTGCATTGCGCCAGGAATGCTTTTTGCCCGGGCCACGGAACCAGTGGGTCTGCAATTCAGCTTCCTACTGGTGCCCCCTGGCGTCTTGGACTACAACTCCCATAATTCCAAGCTCGGGTGATGGAAGCCATAGCCCAACGCCTTTGGGGGGCTGTGGGTGGTCCAGAGCAGTTCCACTCCCACCACCCCAGCCGGTCCAAGGGAGGAGACCCACACGGCTGGGACAGTATGAAGGTTCCCTGACCCCCAGGAGGAAGAGGAGGGTGACCCTGTGAAGTCAGAGCAGCCGGACATGCAAAAAAGAAATGCTAACACAGAGCTCCTTGCCTTGATGACTGATTGAAGTGCAAAAATAAGAGATGAGAACGGTTTTGTTAGCCTTTGAGAGGACTAAGGCTCCTTGACTCAGTTCGGAGCTGCAATCGGGTAACCTCGTCCTGCCGTCTCAACGCAACTGTGAGCCAAGTGTGATTTTAATGTGGGGATTTTATTGCATGGTAATTAATCTGGCTGCTGCGCTGCGCCGTGTATTGCAAGACCGTCCTGAGACCTCGGCAGCGGACGGGATATCAAAGTTTTAAATCGACACAAATAAATAAGGTCTTGGATCTGAATCACTGCTCGCTCCTAGAATCCGATGCGGCACCCCTCGTGCCGACGGGAGAGCAACCCAACGCCTGTCTTCTCCAGCCCACTCTTACCGTCGTCCTTCACCGCTTGCTCAAGCTGAGCCTGGAGCTGGGCGTGGATCTCCGTAAACTTCCCCACTTGGGTCTGGAAGCGCACCGCCGGCACTGGCTTCGTCCCGAGCTCCTCCAGGGACCGCTTGATGAAGGGGTGCATCTCCAGCAGCTCCTGGTCGGTGGAGTACAGCTGCATCTTCTCCACCAGCTGCTCGCTGGCCTCCATCCTCTTCACCACCCCCTCTATGTCCCGCAGCTGCGCCGTCACCTCCTGGACCTGTTGCTGGTGGTGGTCTTCCACCACGGCGAGACACCGCTCCTCCTTTTCGCGCAGCACCCGCATCGTTTCCTCGATCTGCCGCTGGATCCGCTCCCGCGCCTCGTTGCGTGCCCTCTCCATGTCCCCCAGCTGCTCCAGCAGGCCGTTGTACGCCGCATCGTACAGGCCCTTCTTGCTCCGCAGCTCCACGCTCATGTTCTGCAGCTCCTCCTGCCGGCGCTGGATTTCCGCGCGGATGTCGCAGTGCCGCCCCGTGTGTCTGCTGTCCAGCAGCGCACAAATGCAGCACATGGACTGCTGGCACTCGTTGCAGTAGATGCTGTGGAGTCACAGGAGACGGACGGGTGAAACTCGCAGGCGCAACCTTGGCCAAGAAACTTGGGGTTCAGCGCAGCAAGCGCGGAGCCAGAGCTCCAGCGGCCCAACCGCCCATTTCCCCCACAGCGTACAAGGAAATGAGAGCTTGCATGGAAGGAAAACTGGCGATGCTCAGAGAAACAGGCTCCAGCGGGAAAAGCGCATCCTGCAGCAAAAAACCCACCGTCGACTCTCTCTCGCTGGCAGTCTCTCTCTCTCTCTCGCTCACGCACACACAGAGAACTCCCTCACATGACGCTTTACAAAGAAACCTGGGAAAACCGCATGCATGCACACAACCCCCTACACCAATCAACCAGCCAGCCAACCCACTCACCCCTTTACTAGCGCAATCATATGCCTGCTAGACTAAGTCTTAGAAGCTCACAGGATTTTTAGAGACCCAGCGACCAGATTGGGAAAGGATGCTGGCCTCATAGCCGCGAGCTCAGAACTGGAGCCAATGCGAGAAGCCCCTTGGAGGTGGGGCGGAGCGGATGCTTTGGGGCACGGGGAGGTCCGAAGGATCCTGGCAGCACCTCATCTGCTTTCGCTGGGTCGAGGCATGGCATTTAAATGGCTGATTTCAGCCGTCTGCGGGGTGGGAGGCAGGCCTAGGAACCTCCTTTCTCTGAGCTTCGCCTTTCCTACACAGGATGCCTATAATTTTCCAGGTCAGAGGGTTACGGGCCCTTTGCTCTTAAAAAGAGGCAACCCCTCCCTAGAGCAGACAACACCCTCCACACACTTCCCAGAAGTATTACTGGAAACAGAAACAGTCCTGCGCTGGTGCTTTATACTACATGCTGACTCTCCAGTTCAGTTTTTTAATTCAAAATATTTTGAAGTTTAGAGACCAAATCAGGAAAGGCAGGGAGCCCGGAAGATGCAAAGCAAGACCCATGGTGAGGATCCGGGGTTGGAAAGACACAGGATGGGGAAGGAAAAAGACAAGCGTGAGAAAACTAGGATTAAGTCTGCAGGGCCACACTATGCAAAAATCTTGACTCGATTAATTGAATGCAATTCCATTCATCTCCAGCTGCATTTTCCTTTCTGTTTTCCTGGGGGGGGGGGGCAGCTCCTAGGCAAGAACTGCCTCTCCGCCTGGGAATGGCACATGGATGGAGGCCTTACCTCAGACTGTGGGTTCTGTGGTCCTTCCTGGAGCACAACATGGTGCTCTGCTTCCGGATGCTTGCGAGGAAGTCCCTGCTGGACTCCATCTGCAGGTCCTTCAGCGATTTGGCTTCATGGTTCTCCCGCTTCAGGTACCTCTGATGGGACTCAAAGCACGTGCGGCAAATGAACTCCTCGCACTCCGAGCACCAGAACTCCCCGTCTTTCTTGCAGTTGTCGCAAATGATGCGCTTCCCGCCAACCACCTTCCGGTATATATTGAGCTTGGCCTGAAGATTCGCAAAGAGCAGATTCTTCTGGATCTGGGGAGCGTCTGCGTTCTGAGTGTGAGCCGTCCCACATATGGGGCACAGGCCAATGGGTTTGTTCTCTTCCAGGCAGGTGGTGCAGAGACTGTGAAGGCATGGGAGCAGCTTCGGGCTGTGGATGTCCTCCCGGCATCGCTCACACAGGAGAAATTGGAATTCTTCATCCAATACCTGTTGGCAAAGCACAGAGCCAGGGCAGGAGTTTCAACAGCGCTCGACTGCAGGTCAAGAGCTTCTGCCTGCTAAGATTACACTAGACCCTGAAGCTCGACCGAGGCTCCTGGGCTTTGCTGCTCGTGGGAGTAATTTCCACACTGTTCAATGTGACGTATGCAATCAAGACCTGCACCATTTTGTCAGCTGTTTGCAAAACAGCCTGCTTTTGACAGCTGTCAACTGCAGGGGACTCAGGCTTTCCAGGAAGGGCGATTTTTATGCCTTTCCACTCCTAAGTGAAAGGAGACACGCTGTCCTCCAGGTTTTCACCAGCCGTGATTGGGCGTCAGGCAGAATGCTTAAAAGGGTTGCTGGCTGGGCCCTGTCGGGAGAAACCGAGCGACAGTCGTGCCATGATAGGGCTGCTGAAAGGCCGAGAGTGTAAGAACAGCTCTGGGCTGATGGCGGGATTCCTGAGCCGGCCAGGAACCCGGGTCCGAGGGCAGCCTGGAGATGCTGCTGTCCGAGAGGCCGGTCCCTTGGGGCACGACGTGGACCTGTGAACGCCTGCCCTCCCAGAAGGAGCTTCCCCTCTGGGTTGTGTCCCTCCCCTGTTGTGTCGCCATATCCTTCCTCACCCACATCTGGGTCGTCCCTCCAGAGGAGGCCAACATGCTGCAGGTACTTCCTGTAAGCCTGAATACACTGCAAATGTGCCTTTGATTGGAGACCCCCAGCGGGCTCTCTTTGGGTGTTTTCCCCCCACTCTTGGCACCCTGAAGCCGCAGCAACAGGAAATCGTAAATATCAAATACAGTCCTGGAACTATGCGGACATAAGAACAGGGATGATTAGGTAACCGGCATGCAATCGCTGCAGCAAATGTGTCCTTGATTTTAAAAAAAAAAGACACTACCACTTTTCCTTACGGGGGGGGCAGCTGATCACCCCTCAATTACTGCTAACCCAAAACCCTTCGGTTCTTTTAAAAAGGTCTACCCAAAGCTGGGGGCACAAATAAACCGCCGGGCAACGCTTTTATCGGGGCCAAGTAAAATACCACGGAAGAGCCCCCAGGAGTCAGCAGCGCGCAGTTCTCCGGGGTCCCGCCGGGGGGGCGCCCGAAGGGAAGCGCGAAGGGAAGCGAAACGCGGCGGCTGGGGAACGAAACTAGGAAAGTCGTGAGACTTCGGCCGCTCGCCCTGCAATTCAGGATCGGGCCGTGCATGCCAGGGATGATGGGAGGGGGGGCTCCCAGTTTGGAGGGCCCGCTGCTCAGAGGTGGCGTCTGCAGCCCGCACGGGCCGCTGTCCCACTGCAGCCAGCCTTCCGGGACGGTGCCCGGGACTTGCACGGGCACCTCCGCGCTTCCTGCTCCTCTCGGGAAGACGAGGCCCGGAAATATGGCGGGCGGGCGGGCAGTTCCCCACTCCTCCCTCCTGGTCGTGGGGACGCCGTTACGTGCAGCCTCCGCCGAAACAGACCTGCGTGCGTGCGTGCGTGCGTGCAGTGCGTGCGGGCGAGCCCTCCCCTCCGCCGTAGCAGCAGGGATACAACGGGGCGCAACCCCGCAGCCTTGCCCTGCCCTCCCTTCCCGGGATTTTTACTCTCTGCAAGGCACCCCTCGGGGCTCTCCGGGGCGCGCGCACGCCTCTCCCCGGCGAACTTCACCTCCCGCGGGGGGCCGGAGCGCGCGGCCGCCTGTCCCCGCCGGGCCCGCCTCGGCCTGCCTCAGTTTCCCCTTCCACCGCCCCCCCCCCCGCCGCCCGTTCTGCCCAGAGGCGCCCGCACCCCGCGCGCGTCCCGGCACCGGGGCGCACCGGGCCCGCGGCGCCCCCCTGCCCCGCGGGGCCTCACCGCGCGCTCCGCCGAGCCCTCCTGGGACATCCTCCGCTCCGGGTCTGCGGCGGCGCCGGCCCGCGTGCTCCGCTCCGCGCGCTCGGTTTCGTTTTCCGCGAACTGGAGCAGCGCCGCCCCGCCCCGCCTGCCCCCGCACGGGCCCGGCCCGGCCCCTTCGCAAGAGGAAGCGGCGCCTGCCGCGCCGCCGGAGGAGCGCGCCCGAGCCGCCTGCAATGGGCACAGCGGCGCGGGCCGCGCAGACGGACGGGCTCTCGCGGGCTGCGGCGACGCCCGTCCGGGAGGGGCGCGGGAGGTCATCCGTCCCAGCCCGCCCTGCACGGGACGGAACGCCGCCCTCCGGAAGCGGCTCGGGGTCCCCGGGGAAGGAGAGCCTCGCTTTTGTAACCGCACCTTGCCTCTGCTCCAAGGGAGCCAAGCGGTTTCCGCCCTTCTCCTTCCCGCTTGGTGCCACAACGGCCCTGCGAGGTAGGCCGGGCAGAATGCTGGCAGCTGGCCCAACTTGCCCAGGGAGCTCCGGCACAGAGCGGCGGCGAGGACCCAGCATGAGCCCGGCAGTTCATGCTGTGCCCACGCTGAAGAGTTCACTGTGTCACGGTGCCCTGCAGCCAGGCTTCCGACGAGGCCAGGATCCTATGAAACAGCACCTCCCCACCCATGTTCCTCAGCAACTGGCACGGAGAGGCATGTAGGCTGCGACACAGAAGCCAGCACAGAATTTATCCAGTCCTGCTTTTGAAACCGTGGGCATCACAGCTCGTGGAAGTGAGGCCTATAGTAACTGAGATGTGCACATACGTCTTACGTGTCCCGACTCTCCCACCAATCAGCTTCCCGAGATGCCTTGGGGTTCCAGGATTAGGAAAGATGGGGGGGGGGGAAGCCTCCCTTTTCGCTTTCTCCATACTGTGTATCATGGCATGCCACTCTTAGGCTTCCCCAAAACTTTCCTTTCCCTAAGCTAAACCCCACACTCTGTGCTCATCTGGGGTTGCTTCCTGCACAACCTATAAAGCCACTTTCCCCCAGCCTGGCCCTTTCTGGATGTGTCGGACTACCCCTCCCACCATCCTAGCCATCTGGATGGATGTGGGTGACGGGACCTGTAGTCTGATGCCTCCAGAAGGCACCAAATGCAGGTCATCTTCAGTGAAAGTTGTGGCTGGATTGTCCCCAGTCCTTCCTTCACGGCCACGTCCGGATTACGTTGCCGCACGGAGTTATTTTCCAGCCGTGTGGGTCTCTGCAGCAGAAGCGATCAAGTTTTGTGGCAGATGAAACTATCTGGGCATAAGCCTTTGTGGACTGAAGCTGACTTGGGTGAATCTACAGCACATCCGGGAAGGCACGAGAACGGTAAGGAGGGAGGCCCAAAATGCACAGCGCTGTAATGGTGACCATCACTCAACAGCAAAGATTCCCCTTGGTAGGCAATGCTGAAAACGTCAGCTTTCCTCCGTGGGAGAGGATCTGCTGCAGAGGAAAATAAGGTCGTGAAAAAACGACAGACACGGAGCAACTTGGAACACCCCTTAATTTCTTGGAGGACGGTGGTTGCGACTTGGCTGCTTATTACTGAGTATGAACAAAGGGATGAAGAAACGAGTGAAATGAAAACAACCGAGGAGCTCATCCTTCTTGGCTTCTCTTGGGCTGACGATGCCAGCGAACCCGTACTGAGCCATCTTAAGGATCGAGCAGTGCATCTCTCTCACTGCAGGAAATGTTTTTTTCTGAGTCACCAGCAAAAACGCTGAATTGGAAGGCCTCGCCCTTGAGATCGGTTGGCTTTCTGTGTATGCAATGCATTGTTTTCCTGTTGCCCTCGCAGAATGGATAAGCCGCCTCACATCGAGGGATCATAGCAACATACCCTACCAACCACAAGAGTAAGTTACGGTACAAGCACAAACATGTCGAGTGTGGAAGCTACTTGCTGATCAAAGATGCTGAAAACAAGCTGGAAGAAAGTCCTGCGGTCTTCAGGTGGGCTGGACAGACTCCCTGGGATCCCGGAGGGATGTGACTTGTTTCCAGCCCGGGCAAATATATACTCCACCTCACAAATCACAGCAGCCCTTTGGCTACAAGAACGGGCTTTCGCCGCTTTTGGGGGGCACCTCCTGCTCCTCCTCCCTCAGGCTGGGGCACTGGCCTGGTGCTCAAGAGCAACCCGTCCCCTTTTTAAAGGCATCAACTCGACAGGCCAGAAGCAGCCGAATTTGTTTTTAAAAGCCTTCATCTCTCCAGGAAAGGAGTGTCACTGGCCTGTGGGGGCCGTCACTGATTAGGTTTTTCCTTGTGTCCTGATAGAAGGACCTCTGAAAGATCTCAAGGTGCGGGCAGGCCCGTGCAGGTTGGCTCCCCTCGTTGTTTGCCCAGGGTCTTTCAGAGGTGCCAAGGACACCGAGGGGGAGCCGGTGTGGTTGCCGCAAGCTGGGTGTCGCAGGTTCTCCGCAACTGGCCCTCCAACCACCTGGTTGTGGCATTCCGAACCGGCTGACATTTCCATACGGAATCCGTTCATCTTCCTTGCTTCATGGCCTTCAGGAGCTCTTCCAGCTTCAGGGCGACATTCAGATCTCCTTGCACCCGCATCCACCCACAGACGTAGGCACTCAGAGGATGGAGTTTGCCCAGGACAAAGGCCTCCAGGTCGCTCTCGGCCATCTCCAACACCACGTCAGGACGGCGGTCTGGGGGTCCGGGACCTGCTCTCCCGCAGCCTGGGGAAAGGGCGAGGGGAACAAAGCGAGTGAATCACTCTGAAACGGGGGTCAGCACACGTACCTGGTCCTTTGGATCCTGGGGCAGAGGATGGGCAGAGCCCCTGCCCATTTCGGGTGGAATACTAGCATCTTACCAACAGCTCGGTTCAGGAAAGACACTCACCTGCAGAGAGATCGATGAAGTAAGGGCTCTTGGTGCCGCCGGGCAGCAGCACGTCGATCTGGTAGCAAGCTCTGACCTGGTTCACTAAGGATTCAGACAAGAACGGCTGCACAATTCGTAGGACCTCCGTGGCATCGAGCTTCCTCCGCTCCCCACTGTTGCTGGGCGAGGTGCCCAAGGGGAGGGCCGTCTGCGCCACCTCGTTCTCGATCTCCATCTGTGCGCCTGGTGGAAAAGTAAATAAGAGCTGCAGGGTGGCCAAAGTTGCAGACGGGTGACTCGGCTGTGGGGTGGAAGCCATTTTCCCCATGGAGATCTAATAGGCCAAATTGTTCCGCGGTTTAAGACGTCTCTACTGGGCTTCTGCCCGGTACGATGGCTGAAGGCGCTTACAACATTGAAAAGCACTGTCCCTTGTGTGGGGAGACAGTCTGGAACTTCTGGGGTTCACCAAAGGGAAGCGGTGTCCACCCTGGCCACAGATCATTTGGTGGGTCCCAGGCTGCGTGTCTTTTTTTCTCCATTCCAAGAGGAGGAAATGCTCTTCCAAGGCGTAGTGACTGAGAATCGGCGCTTTAATATGCTAAAATATGCCGGCACACTGGCCCTGCCTCTGCATTCTTCTGCGTTGTACACACATTTTTCTTACCAGTGCTGCTAGCTGTAGGGGCAAACAATCAGGGAGCCTCGATCAGGCCCAAACTATTGGCGTGGGCTTACCGGTCTCTGAACCTCCTTTTGGATGGGTGGCTCCCAGCGCTGCAGTGCTGCTGAAGAAATGAAGAGCCAGCTGCTGAAAGGTGCTATCCAGTCCAGGGATCAGGGGCGCTGAGCTGAGTGGTCGTGTTGCATTCTCCTGGGATGTCTGGAATACACCCTCCAGGATCAGTTCTACCCTGTCCACCTCGAGGCCCCAAGATCTGGTTGTGTCATTGATTTCCAGCTAGAAATTAAAAAGAGCAGGATGCCTAACTCGGGGAGTGCACAAGCCCAGACCTGCAGGACAACTGCCTGGGGACCTGATCCAGGCCTTCCCAAATGGCCCCACCTCCAATCTCCTCCTCCTCCTCCTCCACTTCTGTACTGCACCCATAGCTCACCCATAGCTCACTAGGCCTTTGCTAGGGAGGGGAAGTGCGGTTCCTTCCGAACACCCGTGTAATATGAGGGAGGGGTCACATCTCGCCTCCCCACCCCAAAGTTTAAAAAGCCTAAATGCAACGAATTTCTGAAATTAAGGCTGCCACTGCAACTGTCAGCAGCGCTGGATTCCAGCTGCTGGGCAGAGGGGCCAAGACCGTTCCTCCCCTAACCCCCGAGAAGGCTCACAGGCCTTACCAGGAGCTGCTCTGCGATCCGCAGCTTCTCGGTCTGAATCTCCCGCAGGTACTTCTTCAGCAAGACCTTCGTCATGATGTTCTGTGCAGTCATCCGTGTGGCCACGTTGAGATCTTTCACCATCATGACCGAAAGCGCCGGATCCCAAATTCGGAACTGGACGTCTGCTCCGACAGACACCAGTGCTCCGTCGCGGGACGTTAGCTGCGGGGGATGACACGGGACTCTGTGGCTGATTCCCCCCCATAAGTGAATCTCCCCGAGTAATTTTCAAGCACGGAGATGTACCACCACTACGCACAAGCGACAAGTAATTCTTTCAAGCGGCGAGATGCACAGACATTAGCAGGCAGTTGCATATGGATGCAAGACATCTGTTGAGCTGAGCTCCGTCTCTTCCATACGGAACTGCAGGAATTCGGGAGGGGCTCCCCACTAGCCCTCCTTGGAGTTTTCAGGAATTGGACGTTCAGCACACACGGTAGAAGGTTCTACCACTAAGTGATGGATCTTCCAATGGCCAAGATCCTTTTGCTACAAGAGGAGCTGACCCAAGAATGCTGTTTTCGTTCCCTTTCATACCTCAGCAGCAGGGTGTCTCCCTTGCACACCAAAGGCCCTGGGTTCAAGCCCGGCATGCCCCTCTCACACTCTTTGAGAATGTTTACATGCCCTTGTCAAGGGAAAGGTATTGCTTCACATATGGCAAGCATCTGGACTCAGGAGGATTGATCCCAACAGCTTTCACGACAGGTGGCTAAGTGCAACACCTCCCCAGGGGCTCTCTAGAGGTAAATACTCCCCTTTTTCAGGCATCCCTGAAAGAAAACGGAAGCAAAAACCTTGGCCGGCGGCTTAAGTTGACAGTCCAGGGCAAGCCTAGGCGTAAGAAGAGCAACTGAGGCTCGCCACCAAACTGTCCAAATAACAAGAGACTTCCACATTTTATTATTATTATTATTATTATTATTATTATTATTATTATTATTATTATAACATTTCTATGCCGCCCCTTGCCGAAACCTCGGGGCGGCTTACAACATGATAAAATACATTGAAATACAATAGTACATAATAAATTACCATTAAATATAACAATACAACAATACATTTCCACTTCAAAAGCCACTGCCCACCCTTGCTCCAAAAGGAAACTTGGGAGATCATTCTCGTTTTGCTTTTGCCTGTTGTTCTCCCGTCCCCGGCCCAAGCATTTGGGAAGAGGAGGAAAGAGCTCTGGCTCTGGGAGAGGGCTTCAGCTCGGTCGGAAAGCACACACCTGCATGAGGAGAGAGTGCAGGAACACTCAAGGACCCGAAAGGCCACGATCTCTTCTTGGACCTCCCAGCGCGCAGGACATGGAATAATGCGCTCAGGCCACAGGAAGCCAGATTCGGGCTGGACATCAGGAAAAATGTCCTGACCATTACAGCAATACAGCTTTGGAGCCCTGCACTGGACACGGGGCTGGACCTGATGGTCTTGCTGGTCCCTTCCAATGCTACTGTTCCATAATTCTCTGATTCCATGTACTTGCCATCTCCAGTTGGATCTCGCGCCTGAAGCTCTAGAAAGCGGTCACCTGTTTGTGGCCATCTTACTGGGCTGAGGTCTACCTGGGGCAAGGCAGCTTTCTATGCTCCTAAGCAGCCAGCCACATCAACGCATGGAAACTCGGAACAAATAAATGCACCCGAAAGATTTTTCAAGATCCGTATGACTTGCTGGGGAAAAGAACGACGAGGAGCTGGACGGGAAGGCCAGGGAGGAATTTCCTCAGGTGGAATTTTCCGCCCTGCAACATGCTGAGCCGAGTGGAGCCCAGTTCTGATCCAGCGCCTTGCTCAGGAGCAGGTGGCTCCTTGGCGGAGCTGAGGCCCGCTGGCCTCCTTGCGGGGAGGAAGGACTCACCTTACATGGCGGAACGCTGAAGGCCCGTGTCCGCAGGTCCACTGTCTGCCAGTGATCGATGAAAGGCAGGAGCAGAACCATCCCCGGTCCTTGCGGGGCTCGGATCCGACCCAAGCGGAACACAATCGCTCGCTCATATGCCGGAATGACCTGGACACAGGAAGACGACCGCAGAGGAAAGTCAGTGGGATCACACCTTGACAACGCGGCCTCTTGTTTATCCCTGTTTAAAAAAGGCTCTGGGTAAGGCAGAAGGGTGGGGGGGCATCCCCCCCCACGAGATTTGCTGGGTGGGGTCCCCAGTGATGACAGGCCAGGACGTTGGCATGGAGCCTTGGGGGCCCCAACGAGGGGCGGCTTGTACTGCAGTGAGTCATGCCTATTAAATACTCTCTAAGACCCGATAGCAAAGAATTGGGATCTCCAATTAATTGAATGGAATGAAGAAGTCTGGAATATAGCAGTTAAGGACAAGTTGGCATGCGCGATAAAGGGGAAAATCGGACTGGTAAAGAAGATTGATTTTAACACTATATGGGGTTTGTTTATTCAGTGTGTTTTAAGAAAAGGGGAAGGTACTCAAGCTCCAGTGGAGATGTTGCAATTTTGGAAGGAAGGGCGTGTTCCAGAAAGAGCAGAAAAATGAAGGAAAAAAACCATGACTAGGCAGTCGTCATTCCGGTGGAAGAGTGCACTCTGGGTGACATTTAAATTTTATTTTATGTATTGTGTGTTTTTGATTATATGATCTTTGTATTTGTAGCTTTTTAGAAAATAAAAAATTAAAAAATATTCTATAAGTCCAATTTAAGGCCAGAGTCTCAAATTACTGCAGGCCAACAGCATTTTCGTCTATTTTCACCCCCTTTTGCAGGGACACACGGAAGCCAAAGTACAAGCCAGTACAAACATGCCTACAAAGCATCAGTCTGCCGGGGAAACTTGGTCTTTACAGATTCATCACTTTGATGCGTCACCTGCTTAAGTGCATTCAACCTGCATGCAGGAGATCTCAAAACTACACTAAATAAAAAGCGGGAAATGGTTCTGTTGCTTGGCAGGGGCAACACAATATTCCCGGAAACAGAAACACTTCTCCAGGTGGTACAAATGGCACAGGTGCGAGGATGCTAAGCACACCACGGTCTCCCCCCTGTGATCTGTGGCAGGTGAGCGCACCTTCTCCAGTCTTACCTTCAGAACAAACCAGCCAGAGATGGGGAAAAAGAGGATCGTGAACAGGAACACGAGAGTTGTGACCAGCCCATGGCAAATACACGATAAGCATCCTTGGGGTGTGTCTGACGGAAAGGAGAGTAAAAAAGACAGACAGAAAGACCAGCCCTCTTGGCACAGACTGGCCCTTGCATGATTCTACACACCTTTAGAACATACACTAGCAATATCACTATAATTAATGCATCATGAACAGTGTATTATTTGTTCATTCGCATGTAATTAGGAACAAAACTACACGCTCACTGTGTTTGAATTAGTTTTTCCTAATGTGGTGCTTTCTGGATTTGTTGGACAAATGCCATCATCGCTTGCAGTGCTGGTTAAGGCTTCTGGGAAAGCAGGCCAAAACATCTGGAAGGCACCAGCCAGGAAAGGTTAGGAATAGGGAAAGTGACTTTTCAGCAGCTGTCTTTTGGGGTGAAACTTCCTTCTGAGAAGTTTGTGGCAGCTCAGCAATTTGCTCAGCAGAAACTTGGGAAGACCTCTCCGAGAAAACCATTTCATATCAAGGGTTTTAATCCTGCCATGTTAATCCATCCCAATGGGGCTTTTAAAAACATTTCCACTATTTGGACTGCTCCTGGAGTTTAATCCTCCACTGATTTGCCCTTTTTGTGGGGGATGTTAAGGTTTAGAGAGTTCTATTTTCAGTGGTAAAACTATTTCCAGTTTTCTGTTTATGATGTTTTGCTTTCACCTGCTCTGAGCATTTGGAGAAGGAAAGGTGGGGTATGAATGACAAACCAAGAGTAAAAGAGGGGTATTTTTTTCATGGCCTGCTTGTGGGCTTTTAGGGGCATTTGGTTTCTATTAAATGGGGTGGGAATAGTAAGTGCTTGGTCTCTTCTAGGAGGCCCCCTTCTCCGTTCTTAAATCCAGGACTTACCTGTTTCTTTCAGCACCTGCTTCAGTGAGTCCTGCGTGGCTCCCGATGAGAAGAAACTGGACCGAGAGGACTGACATCTTTCAACATCACTCAGCGGCAGGGCTTGGTATCCTGAGCGGCTGAACATGTTTGGACGAACTCTGAGCTAAGCCCTCTCCTCTCTAAAGAGTGGATCCATTTTTCTTCTTTCTTCGCAGTGCCAGACCCTTAATTCTGCAAAGAAAAACCATCAGGAAAGATCCAAATTTGCCAGCTAATGAGATACGCCGTGAGTTGATAACATTTAGGAGATGGTGTATCAGGAGACTCAGGAAGGAACCGTAGCTTTTATTATTACTTTCATACTGCTTGTACATCCTTTCTCCTCTTGCAATAAACCCACACCAGCTTTCCCCACGAGGAGAAAAAGGTGGGATAGATACGCAACATGTAATAATATAATTATAGCTTGTCCCAAAGGGTGTAAGGGTACAACATACACTTATTTCTTTATATTGAGGTTTATATCCTGCCTTTTTCCTACAAAGGGCTCAAGGCAGCTTACATCTTCTCTCCTCCTCCATCTTATCCCCACAACAACAACCCTGTGAGGTGGGTTGGGCTGAGAGGCTGTGACTGGCCCAAAGTCACCCAGGTGGCTCCATGGCCAAGTGGGGACTCGAACCCAGATCCTCTGAGTCCCAGTCCCGTGCTCTTAACCACTACGCACACTGGCTAACACTTTCCTAAATAAAAAAAGGCCCTGCAGTCTTCCGAATTGCCAAGCACTAAGAAAATGGCTCTCTCGGGCTTTGCCATTGCTTGGTCCTTTGGATTGCAACATTTGGGTCCTAGATCAAAACAAGCAGAGCTTTCCCGAGAAGGGAAAATGCCAAATGGAGGCTGAAATCCTTTGAGCACAAGCTGGGAAGGCGGGACTCCCTGGGGAAAGTGAGTCATGCCAGGAAAAGCCGAAGGCAGAAGGAGAAAAGGAAGGCCAAGGGCGAGCGGTGCGAACTGGAGATTTTGGGGGGCTTTGATCCAGGCGCTGCCCCAAAGTGGGGAGGGCTTGACCGGGCACGACAACAAACCAACCTGCTTTCAGACCTCTTGATCTGTTCCGCCCCTTCTTTATTCCTGCTTTCTACATCACTGTGGCTGCTAAACCGCAGAGAGATTCAAAAAGCGGCTCAGGCAGAAGCACGCAAACGTCCCGGAACTCACGACCTCCTGACCCGCGTTGGTTCCTTCCCGGTTGCATATTTCCTTCCCGCCCGCGGAGGAAGCAGGAAGGGCCTCGATGCTGCTTTTCCGAGCATGTTGCTCCCTCTGGCCCCAGGAGGACTTCAGTACACAGCCTGGTGCCATTCGGAATGTGCTGGCCTACAAGTCCCACCATCCCCAGCCAGCATGGGGATTGTTGTACACACCTGGAAGCCGCCACGGCGGGGAAGGCCGCCCTTCATGCTGGTTAGAGCTTCTGAGATCTCAGGTTTGGGTCGCTCGCTTTTCCAGAGCAGCTGCGGCCCATAGGAATTGCGCTTTGGAGTGGAAGCGCACCATACACACAACGCGCGCGCAGACACGTGTGTGCAAAGGAAATGCAGGCAGCCCCCCCGGGACAAAACACAGTTCAAACAGCAACGACATCATCCTTGTGACCTACGAGAAGAATCACAACATGGTCAGCAAGTTTCAGAATGTAAGGGGAAATTCTTCATCAGCCGCGGACAAACGTGGCCATCTTCCAGAAAAAGGAGAAATGGGCACCGATCCGATCTTGGGAATGCCCATAGGTACAGGCCACTGGGGCGGAGGGGCGGGGGGGACTCGGCATCCTACCCAGGACACCGGCTTTGTCCTAAAAAACATTATTGAGGGAAGGAACTTGGGAGGGAAGGACAAGCAAAAAAACTCCCGAGTTGCAAAGTTACACGTGTTAAGCCTGCCACTGCGGATGTTTGTTTTCTCAGCAGCCACTGCTTGGTTACAGCTCTATGTTATGGTCACAGTTTGTTCTTTTGGCATTTGCTTTCCCTCTGACTTTTCATTGCCCTCACCCCGTTTGCAGGAAGCGCTGAGCAAGCTTCCAGTCCACAGAAAATTGCGACACGTTTGTTAGTCTGGGTGCCAGAAGAGTTTTCGTGGCCACTGACTAATAGGGCGAGGGGGAAAGATTTGCAGGACGGGATGTTCCAAGAGCCCTTTAGCGCACTTCTCTTCACGTCGCCTTCCCCCTCTCTAACATTCAGCTATCGGTCAAGCCAAAAGCTAAGCAGGATCTTACTTGCGAATTCCTAGCATATTAATCAGATTTGATCTTGGATTTACATGTGCAGAAACTAAAGGGGGCTTGTGTCCAGTGTTTCTAGAGATCAGATATCACTTGCTCAAATACCATTTTCACGCAGAAGTAAGGCCCAGTGCAACGGAACTTCTCATGCCAAGCCAACAAATGCTCAATAGGGAGCAAGACCCATTAAATTCAATAGGCTTACTCTAATTTATTTATTTATTTTATTTATTTAGGAGGCTTCTATGCCGCCCCATTCACCGAGGCCTCGGGGCGGCTCACAACAATAAATAATCACAATTGCGCACTCATTCCATCCAATTGGAATTGAAACACTTTGAAACACAATTGCTTTGAAACACGAGCAGCTCATTCCATCCAATCTGATGCATGTCTACTCGGAAGCAAGTCCCATGAAATGCAGTGGCGCTTTCACATTCGCATTTCTGCATTGCAGCTTTTACTTCCTTGCTAAGTGCACGGGATTGTGGCCTCAGCTACATCCTTTTCCTATTTATGCATTCAGTCTATTAAGCTGTTTTTTCTGTAGAGAATCCTGATCTATATCGGGCCTTTTCCACCTATTTCACTGTAAATTTAAGAAAGAGGCATCTGTTAGACAGAGATGTTACAACAACAACAACAACAACAATAATTTAAATTAATGCTTCTGTTGGCCATACGCCCCATTCAATCCAGGGGTCTTCTGGGGGGCTTCCCTCGGCGAGCGTGTCTCTTTGCCCCCCTCCAAGCTTTGCAAGCCCTTTCACACGCCGGGTTTCTCAGCGCAGGAAAGCGATTTCCCGGCTCGGGTTTTTGGGGCGGGGGCGAGGCAAGACAACCCCTGAGCATGTGCAGTGTGGCAGCTTCGTCTGGACTCCGCCCTGCCTGCAGGAACAAAGGGGGGCGCTTGCATCGGCTGCCTCCTCACGTGCTCCTCTCTGGGGGGCTTGTGGGGGGGCTGGGGCCCCCGGCCGCCCCCCAAGCGTCACGCAGGGGGCCGGGCAAAGATGGGCGGAGGGGCGCGGGGAAGGGGCATCTCGCCCGCGGCCGCCTCTCTTCCGTTCCCTCCCTCTTTTCGAAATCTGCCTTTCCCGACAGCCCTCCGTCCTCCTCCTCCTCCTCCTCCTCCGGCTCGTCATCGCCAGGAAAACGAAAGTGAACTCCGCGGCTGCCCGCTGCGCCCTCGATCCGGATTGGAACGGAACTCCGGCTCGCCGCCGCGGGATCCAAGCAGGTCGGACCTTCCCAGGTATCCTTTCCTCCCTCCCGCCAAGGTCGGAGGGACTGCTTTCTCACGTGGCGGTGTAGCAGCTCGCCCCCGCCGCGCAGAACACGCGCAGACGTCTCGTGTGAACGGCGGGACCCGGGGCCTGCTCTGGCGTTCCGCGGCAGGGAGGGAACGCGCGGGTCGGGCTCTGCGCGCTCGCTCTTAGTGGGGCTTGAATGGGGCTCGTGGGGGCGGTGGGGAAGCGGAGCACACCTGTCCGTGGCGAAATCCAGGTGGCCGCCCACCCGCCCGCGTCTCCGTCCTGCTCGGGGCGAGTCCGCTCTGACCCGAAGCAAAGGAACAAAGGCGTATTTGCGCCAGCGAGGGAAGCCCGTGTTCCCACGGCGGCGGAACACGCGGCGGAGAGCGATTGAAACATTGAAACATAGAAACAGAGCCAGTCAGAAGGGGTCTCCCAGGCCATCTAGTCTGACCCCCGGCTCCAGCCGGCTCCGCTCACGACATGCCCGCCATGTGCATGTCCAGCCTGTCCTTGAACACCCGCACCGATGGGGCCTCAGCCACCGCCCGGGGAAGCCCATTCCATGCCCTCAGAGTCCTAACTGTCAGGAAGTGCTTCCTGGCATCCAAATTGAACCTTGGCTCCCTGAGCTTTGCTCCGTTGGAGCGAGTCCTGCCTTCCTCTGCAGGGGAGAACAGGTCTCTACCCACCTCCGTGTGACACGCCCTCACATACCTGCATGTCGCCAACAGACCCCCTTGGAGTCTCCTCTTCTCCAGGCTGAAGAGACCCAGTTCCCTCAGTCTCGCCTCATACGGCTTCCCCTGCAAACCGGCCACCAACCTCGTGGCCCTTCACTGCACTGACTCCAACCTGGCCCAATCCTTCCTGTAACGAGGGACCCAAAACTGAGCCCAAGACTCAAGTTCCGGGCGCACCAGAGTCGTATAGAGTGGTAGTAACACCTCTCTTGATCTAGAAGCCACGCTTCTGGCTATGCAACCAAGGGTGGCGCTCGCCCTCTTGGCCACCGCATCACCCTGCTGGCTCATGTTCAGCCTGCAGCCGACCAGCACCCCGAGGTCCCTTTCACAAGTGCTGCTCTCCAGCCACTTGCCCCTAACCTGTACTTATGACACCCATTCCTATGCTCCAAGTGCAAGACCTTGCACTTCTCCACATTGAATGCCACCCTGTTGTCTCCTGCCCACTTCCGTAGTCCGTCCAGATCCTTTTGGATCCGGAGTACCTGCTCCTCAGTCGTGGCCACTGCTCCAGTTTTAGTGTCGTCTGCGAATTTGACCAGCGGACGGTTCTCCCTCCTTCCACGTCCTTGATGAAAACTAGTTGCTGGTTTTGCCCTGCCTTTTGAACTTCTTGGAAGCAGCTTCGCGGCTTGCTCCTCCTAGAAACACCGCTTTGCACTCGCGCTTTTGGCCTCGCAGTTCCTGCTTTCTCAGGTTCAATTAAAGCACCCTTCTCCTGGCTGTGGACAAGGGGTTTCGTAGTCAACACTCAGAGTCCCTACCAATGGTGAGAATGAATTACCAGGACCCGCAAGGGAAGAGAATGGCCTTGACTCCCGGCGTTTTCAGTGGGAGATCACCCAGGGCCCCTGCAGTGACTTGCTACCAGGTGGTGGTCTCCACTGCCAACTACGAGCTTTTAGAACATACGCAGAGTGTTTTTTAGATTCTGAGTCCCCAAGCAGTGCTGATTTATTTATTTATTTGGGTATTTTTATTCCGTCCAATTAAGTTGTGCGTCTCTGGACGGCTTATGAACTAATCAGAGGTAATCCCCATTGAGTTCAATGGTACTTACTTTCCAGGTAAGCAGGTATTGGAGAGAAGCCATCGTTCCTTATGTCTACAATGGGGCTAATGCCTCCACCCTCTCTTGCTCATTGCTGCGAGAATTCAAATAAATCCTAACATCTGTCTGTGCTTGCGCAGCTCCGTCTTGAATGGGGCTCATACCTGTGTACTTTACACAGGAAATTAGTCACAGTCTTAGTCATAGATTCGTGGAATTAAGTCCAGTGTTGAATTCAGACGGCTTCCTGAATAGGTAAGTGAAGAATTGCACTGTCTTGGCATAGCTTTTGGTTTGTTGGGGAGCTGAGGGGCATAATTAGGTTGGCCAAGTCCAAAAGAGAGCAAGGTTTCTGTGCTTTTAATCTCTGGGTAGCCCATGATGCTAGCTATGATTGGCTTGCTTCTCTTCTCTCTACATTTGCACAGAAACAATCCCCCCTCCTTTTGCATCTGGGCACCTTAACTGAACCCTGCACACATTTACAACAGCGATAAATAAAATAATAAAATAGAAGCTCTAATTCTAATAGTGCAGTGTTAACCAGCATGAGAGAGCAAACGAGCAGAGACGTTGTGGCTTTTTGGATCGAACAGCAGCGTGTGGCAGCTGGTTTAATTTCATGGTTTAATTAACCCACAAATGGCAGGGATGCATTCTGTGCAAATGTCACTAAGGTTTCCCAGCCACCAAAAGTGCTGCATGTGTGGGTTAAGCAACCCGAGGTTAACCCAGGAACAAACCATGGGTTAATCTGGGGGGGGTTTTAACCCACAAACAATGCCAAGTGCCCTGGTTTGGATGTCAGAGTAACCGCTTGTGAATACAGTCTTTGTAGATTTGCAAACCATCCTGAGATTTTTAAGTATGGGATGGTATAGAAAAGTTTAAAAATAAAATAAATAGGTTATTGCTGGAAAATAGATGTGGCTTGTCTCACGTCTGGATGAGGTCAATAAAATCCAGTCATTTTACCAAAGGCTCATGTAAACCCAGCCTAGTTCCTTGTTTCAAGCTCCCTGACAGTTGGCCCGCCATCATCATGTCCTGAACCCATTTTCCTCCACTCCTTTTCCTAGGAAATGGAGGAAGAATTCCAGTTCTTGTTGTGCCAGCGCTGTAGGAAAGAAGCCAAGAACCCCAAGCTGCTGTTCTGCCTTCACAACCTCTGCACAGAATGCCTGGAGGAGAGCAAGCCCATCGGCCAGTGCCCCATCTGCCTCATCTCCATCCGGCGGGTCGGCGGAGAGGCCTTGCTGGACAACATGCTTTTTGCTAGCCTTCAGGAAAAGCTGAGCACGTACCAGAAGATCACCACCAACCGGGATCTGGCGTGCAACCGCTGCAAAGAGGGGGCAGAGTTTTGGTGCAACGAGTGCAACGAGTTTCTTTGCTCGCGGTGCCACGACGCCCACCAGTGGTACCTGAAGCAGAAGAACCATGAGTCCCAGAAGCTCCTAGATCTGAAGAACAACACTGCTCAGGGCTTCCTGGAAGAAGCCAGGAAGTCCTGCATCCTCTTCTGTTCGGAGCCCTCCCACAACAACCAGGTCATAAGGTAAGGCGCCCGAGGTTTCACGAGGGGAAGTATTCGTGTGTCTTTCTCCGTGCACCTGTCTCCTCCTGTTTCCTCCGAGGAAGTGCCCCCCAATTTGTGGATAAAGTGGGCAGGTTTTTTTTTAAAGATGCGGTTTAAATAGATTTTAAAATGGCAGTGCAAGAAATGAAAGCAGAACCCACCTGCATCCAAGGCCACCTTTGGAGGGGCGGGGGGGGGGGCATGCAAAAGACCCACAAGCTGCCAAGGGGCTGAGTATAAGACCGAGGCCGTGGTCTGAATCCCGCCTTGCTGAACAACTCCTTCAGAGCCACGGTTTTCAAGCAACTGAAAGCCGCTTTTCAGAAATTTCAGCTGCTGGCTACGAAACCAGGAAGCTACGGTACTTCCTTAAACAAATTAGCTAAACAGTCCGCCCGGTGTTGTACTTGACTTGTTCAGTAACTGACTAGAGTTTTTTTTAGTGGCCATTCTTGTTCTGCACATAGTGGCAGACCAGGAAATGGCCAAAATGAAAGGGAATCCTGGTTTATTTTCCTTTCAAGTTGGCGGGGGGGGGGGAGGGAGGAGAGAGGGAGAGTCATCAATCTAAGGTTTGGTTTAGACTCGTTTCTGTTGGTAAGCATAGCATCAAACTGGTGTAGCTAAAATAAAACCTCAGCTCACCCCAGCATGCTGTAGATCAACCTTCCCAAACCTGGTGGCACGCAGAGGCATTTGGACTGCAACACCCAGAATTCCCATCCAGCAGGGCCATTGACTGGGAATTGTGGGTGCTGCAGGCCAAGTGTGCCCAGAGAGCACAAGGTTTTGAAGGCTGCTGCAGTCTGAAGCTATTCCTGCCTATACCGAACCCTTAGGAGAGGCTTTCAGCCTTTAAAAATGGGAAGAAAACCCTCCGTAGCAGGGAAACCATGCAAGGGGTGGAGCGAAGGGAAGGGGGGGCGTGGCCACCTGGAAATCCCCAGGGGCCAGATCGGGACCTCCCAAGACCTGGATCTGAGGTTCCTCGCCTCCGGTTAGCGATGCACATGTGAACCATGCGGTAACCTCTCTTCTGTATTGTTCGTGAAAGAGAATTAAGTATAAGGTTGAATATTAACCTGTCCCAGAAGGTTGCAATCCAAGTCCACAGTTCAATAAATTGATCTATTAACCATTTACTGATGTTTGCTAGCAACTTAATTCTGGTAAGACTACCATCTTTCATAATAATGAGAATAATTTACCAAAGCATTCCGATATTTCCAGAGGAGGCCTTTTCCATGTTGCAGCTTTCTACATTTTTTATACTGCGATTGCGATTTAATTATTGCGATTTATATCCTGCCTTTTTCCTACAAAGGGCTCAAGGCAGCTTACATCTCCTCCTCCATCTTCTCACAACAACAACCCTGTGAGGTAGGTTGGGCTGAGAGTCTGTGACTGGTCCAAAGTCACCCAGTTGGCTCCATGGCCGAGCGGGGACTCGAACCCAGATCGCCTGAGTCCCAGTCCCGTGCTCTTAACCACCACACCACCCTGGCTCTCACACACCACCCTGGCTCTCACACACCACCCTGGCTCTCACACATTTTTGCTTCTTTGTTTGTACTGTGCTTCCAACACGAACTCCGTGGTTGTACGAGATTCTTTTTTGAACAACATCACCTTGAGAACAGCCACGAAATAATTGCCACTAAAGAAAGCTTTGTGTTCACAGCATCTATTGTCGTGGGTGCCGCAAACCTTTGTGTTGTTCTTGCGCCCTGCTTGATGGGGAGCACTACAACGCCAAACTGTACTGTGACATCCGGGCGGAAATCGAAAGCCGCAAGGAGGACCTCCAGAGGATCAGCAGAGAGCTGGAGGAGAAGAGACAGGCCCATGACGGAGCACACAACTGCATCCACAATCACATGCAGCATCTGCAAAAACTGCGCCAAGAGACCCAAACCTTGATCCAGGAGAAGGTGGAAGAGATGGTGCAGTGGCTGCGCCAGAAGGGAGACGAGCTCCTGGAGAAGGTGGACCACCAGCTGCACCAGGAGTGCGAGGACGTCAAGAAGAAGCTGAAAGTCTCCGAGCATTTTGTCAGCAGGATGGAGTCCGGCAAGCAGCTGGTGGAGAAAATGAACCTCTTCGCTTCCGACCAGGAGGTGCTGGACATGCACCCGTTCATCCGGGAGTCCCTGGATGAGCTCCGGAGGGAGAAGCTGCCCGTGGTGAACGTCCAGGGCCAGATGGAGGACTTTGCCGAGGTCCGAAGCGAGCTCCACTCTCTGTTTCAGAGAGTGAAAGGAGAGAGAGGTGAGAAGGAAGGAGAGCTCTCCAGCATCCGGTTGTTCCTTCAGAGGATGGCGTCCGGTTTTAGTCTTTCTTCTAAGATCTGTTGGTCATCCTGTGGCTGATAGGGAAGGGGGGGGGGTGACCAGGCTTCTCCTGCCCAAGAGCCAAATTACTTTCAGAGGTGCTCTCAGGTGAGGCTGAAAGCCAAAGGGGAGGATAAAGAGATGGACATATTGCAGCTTAAAGCTCTTTGTAGCGGTAACTAAGTCCTAGAAGAGGCATTTCAGCCTTGTAGGATTTGGGGGGGGGGGGGGGAGCAGGGCTATGGGGAACTGGACAAAGCCTGGAAGCCACCAAAGGGTTGTGAGGAGGGGGTCTTTTCAGGATTTCCAGGGTCCCTGTTTTAGGATAGTGCACAGTCTAATTTTTTAGCCCCTACATGGTGCTTTTATGGTTGGTTTCCTTCCTAGGAGAAGTGAAATTAGTCATCACCGTGACTATTTTTAACTTATGATTTTTGGGGGGGGGGGTTTAATTTGCACTGGTTTTACCCCAAACCAGCCCAGAGGGTCTGGGTTTGGATGATATGCATGGGGTGATCGTAGCTTGTCTATTGAAATCGGACTTGAGAAGTCTGCCAGGGACAATTGGCTTGCTGCCACTCGCCCTTGCCAGTTTATGGGTTAAATAAGCCACGGATTGGCCATCATGTGTGAACTGGATTGTCAGATCCATCTCCAGTCTCCTGATGTTTCTCCGTGCTTCGTTTCTCCTCTGGCACATCCTGCAACAAGAAGGGGGCGTGCGCCTTTTGGGAATGCAGTGCAGGGAAAGAAATGTACCATTGCATTTTCTGGTTGTTTTGTAGGCATGGCCCACACGACCTGCATTGCTCAGCCTGCTGTGTCGGCGGCGAACTCGGTAAGCTCTGTGTGCATGTGGAAAAGTCTTTCTCCTAATCAGAGGTGACTGGATAGCGCTTCTGCTAGCTGGATCCAAAGCTGGTTCTGGAATCATACCCCAAGTGTGTACAGAAACGATTCCTCCTCATACTGGAGGGAGGTGTCCTGACTTGGAGGGAATGCTTATCAGATTTGCAAGTGACTGAAAAATCAGGAGGAATAGCTAATAGCTTAGAAGACAGAAACGATATTCGTGATGATATTTGGGTGGGATAGCTAATAGCTTAGAAGACAGAAACGATATTCGTGATGATATTTGGGTGGGATAGCTAATAGCTTAGAAGACAGAAACGATACTCGTGATGCTATTTGGGTGGGATAGCTAATAGCTTAGAAGACAGAAACGATACTCGTGATGCTATTTGGGTGGGATAGCTAACAGCCTCGAAGACAGAAACAATATTCGTGATGAATCTTGATAGCATAGAAAATCGGGACATAAAGAAACCCAGCATGCTTGTTATTGCATTACATTTATAACCCACCTTTCTTCCTTTTGCAAAGAGCCCAAGGCAGTTTGCAAAGTCTTCTCTCTCTCTATTGTATCCTCACTGCAAGAACCCTGCAAGGTAGGCTAGGCTGAGAGTAAGTGACTGGCTCAGAGTCACCCTGCATGTTTCATGGTCGAGAGGCAACTAGAACCCGGAACTGCCAGGTTCCAGTCTGATGCTTTCGCTTCTGCTTTTGCTACTTTTGTGTACAGGAAGTTCTGCAGGATGGCAAAAAGCAGCCGAGGCCTCTGGGGACGAGTGTGCCCACACAACGAAACTTGCTAAACCTTGAAAAGACATTTCGAGGAAGTGTAAGTCCTCCATAGCAGCTTAATTTCTACTGTTTGTCGGTCTTCCCTCCCTCCTGCAATTTCTTCTGTTCCCACCGTTCTTTATAGAAAGAAAAATAATATTTTTGCTCTGCCTCTGCCAGCAAAGATCTTTTCAATCAAGCTGGCCTTTGCTTTATAGGCTGGTCTTTTGGGCTGGATGCTGTTTTTCCTTTGGTTTAATTCTGTTTTGAATTCTGTTTTAATGCATTTATTGTATACATGTTTTACTCCAATATCTGTTTTTAAAATAGTTTTTAAAAATGTGCGCACACAGAAACATCTCTTTCTATCCATCTTATATCAATCTTCAAATACAGTATTTTAAAGAATTTAAAAGTTTTAATCTATGGTTTTTAATGAATTTTTGAAATGTTACTTCTGTGTACAAAGTTATATTGGTGGTTGCTTTGCTTGTTTGCTTGGGGCAAAGATCATGTGCATTGTATCACCTGCATGGTGGTTGATTCGGGGAAAGGTAAGGTAGAAATCAAAGAAATAACACAAGGTGACCGTTAAATGTGGAGGCCCAAGATGTTAATAACCAAGAACCCTGGCTGTGTGGAGAAAGTGGAGTAATTTTACTTCCTCTGGTGTAATAAAGCCAGTGAGAGCCAGTGTGGTGCAGTGGTTAGAGCACGGGACTGGCACTCGGAGGATCCGGGTTCGAGTCCCCGCTCAGCCATGGAGCCAGCTGGGTGGCTTTGGGCCAGTCACAGACCCTCAGCCCAACCTACCTCACAGGGTTGTTGTGGTGGGGAGAAGCTGGAGGAGGAGAAGGATGTCAGCTGCCTTGAGCCCCTTGTAGGAAAAAGGCAGGATATAAACCGGAAAATAAATGAATAATAAAACCCAGTGGGGTCATCCCATGAAGTTGCTTGGTGGGAGATGAAAGGGAAGACTTTTTCCTCACGGTGCATCCTTAAACCTTTGGCGTTCACTTGCCCTCGGAGGTCTTGGTGGCACCAATCTGGGTGGCTTTAAAAGGAGGCTGGAGAAATTTACGGAGGAGCAGGCTGCCATCGGCGACCTGCTGGCTGTGTGCGCCCTCCGTTATGGGAAGCTGCGTCCTGCGGACACGCCGTCGCGAAGGAGCTTCGGCAGGCGGAGTTCGTGGGCCCATCCCGCCGGAGCGATGCTGGGAACGGCTGATTTGCTCTTACGTGAATGGAGCGCTGGGCGAGATGAAGCATTGTTTCGGTCCAGCCGGGCTGCTTTCATGTCCTTATGACCTATTTTTAATTATAGATCTCTGAGAGGGCTGCCTGCCACCTGAGTTTTGCGCCGGCCTCCCGCCTCACCTATGGCAGGCGTACCTGCGAGGAGCCTCTGAGCTTTTGTCTTTGCTTTGCAGGCCACGCCGATCGCCCACCCAGCTAAGCGAGCCTTCGGCCAGAGCGAAAAGGCTGTCCAGGCCTCTGCCAAGGTGCTGAAGATTGAAAACCACGTCTGCCAAATCGGGGAGCCCTCCAGCAGATACATGCAGGAGCTTGCGGCGAGCGCCAGGCCCAGTCCGACCTGCGCAGCGATCCCTGAGCAAGAGCCAGAACGGTCCACTGGTGTGGTGGAGGTGAACTCCTCACCTGAGACGCACGAATCAGGTAGGGCGAGAGGAGGGGTGGCCCCAAAGCAGGCGGAGGCTTTGTCCTGGGTGCCCCCGACATCGACGGCCTGCGCTCTGTTTGCTTGCAGAGGCCACCAGCATCGTGATCGGCAGTTCCGACGATAACGACGATGACCAGGTGGTGAGTGCCGGATGCGGGCCCTTGCCGTTCGCAGCTGCGTCTACACCAGACTCGGGGCACAGAGCCAGGTCAACACGCTTCGTTTTGCAGCAGACAGGATACCCACGGGCGGGATCCGAGCGGCTCAGTGCCTCGTGGAAGGACGGGAGTGGGACTCGGCGGGAGGGGAAGGACTTGTGGCCGAGGCAAAACAGAGCAAGGTGGCGTCTTTTTCGCGGGCCGTGCCCCTTTTCCAGGGTACTCCATTCCCTTCCCCTTGTTGGTTTCGGAAAAGCAAAAGATGTTCAGCAGCGATTAAGCGGACTGAGGCCTCCTCGGGCTCTTTTGCTCTTCCCCACAGCCCACATTTTTCGCCTGTTTTTTTTTTACACTTCTGCAGACCTTGTGACCCCCTTAAGCTGTTTCGCCACGAGCGCTATATGAACTCCCGCCTCCGTCCTTCACTGCACAAGTGCGGCGTTGGGCGACATCTTGCCCCAATTCCCAGATGTGTTGGACTACAACCCCTACATGCCTGGGCTGGCTGGGAGTGATGGGCCTTGCAGTCCACCCCATCCAGAGGGCACCCACTACAGGGACCCACAGGCCATGGGGCCTGCCAGGTCACCCCCCAGATGCGATCCCCTGGAGGTAGCCCTCCCTTCCCACTGCACATTGGTGGCGGCGGGAAACTGGATGGGATTGCGGGCGGGGGTTAGGGGATTGCCCCCTGTGGCAAAGTGGACGGCACGGCCCCGGCCCCTGGATGGCACTGCCCTTCCCTGCACGGCACTCTAGCAGAGAAGCAAAAAGCCTCGCATGGGCACCCGAAGGACACAGGTCTCTGGCGAAGAGGCCGTGGAAGCTGACTTGGGCTGGGGACCAGGCTGAGCGGCACCCGAAGGCTGTTCTCGTCATCTTGGGCTCTGCAGAGCCCTGAGCTGGAAGAGAGCAGCCAAGGGGCGGGTGGGGCGTTTCCTTCATGCCCTGGTCCGGCTCTTCCCGAGGCATCTGGTTGGCCACTGTGGGGAAACCGAGGCAGGCTGTGGCGGCTCTTTGGCCCCAGCCATCAGGGATCTCCCATGAGATCTGTCCAGACACAACTCTCCGTGCAACCCGTTTTCTCTTTCCTTTCCAGTGACTGCCTCCCTGGCTTGAAAGGTGCCCCAGTGAGCTGAGCCCATCGGCCACAACAGGAGTGTGGTTGGCCCATGTGACTTCATGCCAGGACCCTTCTCATCGCAGACCTTGCTCTTCACGGTGGCCTCTGTCCTGCCGCCACCTCACTGACAGCTTCCAGCTCGCCCCATTTCTTGCCTGTCCAGAGTCGAGAGAGAATTCAGTAGATCTGTCTCCAAACCAGCTCCTCTCTTGCTACCGCTTCTCCGTCCCAAACTGTTTTAGGCAGCCCGGCTGCCCTGAGCATTTCCTGGGCTCAGCAGCTGATAATGCTCCTTGCAGGCTGCTGGATCCGGCCCTTCCGAACACAAACACACACACTCCCTGTTTGGCCTCCAGGTCTACCGCGATCCCGCATCAGTGGGAGTCGTGGTCCAAGACATCACCTGGTTTTCCTTCACTACTCCCCCAAAAGAAGATGCTCCTCCTCTTTCAACTTCCCTTTTAGTTGGGCAAACAGAAGAGTTGCAGACCCGCAGCTGCTTGGCCTGCCTCATTCTTTGTTGATCCCTCTCTTACTATTTCTCTGGGGACTCAGTAAGGAAAGATGCGCAAAGCATCTGTAACGGTGGCGCTCGCCTCCGTGCTACCTCTTCTCCGAGCTTCCGTCACACACAGGCCTTTCTGTCTGGATGATGGGGAAAGACAAACCAAACAGCCCTGTGTAGCTTTTCTTTTTATATGCCCTGTTTTTTCATACTAGAGGCTCCAGCTGAGATGATCCGACTGGCCCGTGTCAGTTGTGTGTATTCAGAAACCTGCTCTGCCCTGTTTCTGCGTCGATCTTCCACAAAAAGAAGCACATGAAAATGTGTTTTTTGAAACCACATGCATGTTTGTACGCATTTTTCCTAAAATATGTACCCTAAGATCATGCTTGATATCCATTCATGGATACATTCTGCTGTAAACTGGAAGTTGTAAGAAAGTGCAAAACCAAAAGATGTGTATTCGAACCCGGGACTGGCTCTGTTCCCCTAAAACGGATAAAGGCGTCCCTGGGCCAGCACTGCCGCAATAAGCCGAGCTCAGAGGCTGTGGTGCTGTTCAGGCTTGAGCGCTCAATTTTGAGGAGTCTGTGGCCACCCAGGTGTGCCCCCCCCCCAGCGGCCTGGGGAGCTTCAAAAGTGGAGTCACTTAGCCTGCGGCGATGGGCGAGTTTGCATGATGAGACAAGCCCCTGCTCCTCACCCTGGCGGGTTTTTGGAGTTGTCCAGACCTGATCTGGATTTCCTGCAAGGTAGGATTAGTTTTCTGAAACTACACGGAGAACCAGCAGTCTGTTCTAAGGCTTTCACGCCTCGCCATGGCTTCCCCAGCCGCCCAGACCTGGGATTGCTGTTTTACCAGCAGGTACCCTCAGTAGGGCGGCAGCGGAGGGGACACGACCCACCTCAGGACTGTAGTGGCCCAGTCAGGATGAGACTGCAGCTTTCTGGAAGCAGGAATATGGAGAAACTGCCGGGAAGCTGGACTCGAGGGACCGTTCGCCTGCTCAAGCAGAGCCCTTTCTGCATCTTGGTTTTCTGAGCCCGTTTGTGCTCATTGTCAAGCTAAGCACCCACTTCTACTTGATTTTGTTTTCTGCCTCTTTCCTAGTTGCTCCCGGCCGTTTGACATACTTGTCTATGATTTGTCAGCTGTTTGTCATACTTTCAGCTTGCCTTTCCAAAGTTGCTGAAAAGAAACAGCTGACGGAGGGAATCGATGCCGAATATTATCGCAATAATAAAGCTTTTTTTTAAATTACCGCATATCCTTCTTGTAACATGATTGTGAGAAGCAGGAAGAGCTTGCCAAAGGCAGATTCCTGTTTAGAGCATGTTTCTCAGTGTTAGACAGCAGAGGTCACTCTTGCTTGAGAATTTCAAGAGAGCAGCTGAATTTCGGAGGCTCTACAGAGGAAAAGTGAAGAGGTTATTCAGGGTGTCCAAAAGGTTAGTGTCCAAACGTGAGGATAGTAATTTACATTTCCTTAAGGCCTTCAGCTTGCAGGGAAGAGTACCTGAGATAATGATCTTGAAGCTGATTTCCCAGATCCTTCTGCAGAAATAAATGTGCCATCAAGTCATCTCCAACTTAAAGTGACCTTGAAAGCCCTCTGAAATATGCTGCCCATGACAGCTCCGTTCGTTCATTCATTCATTCATTCATTCATTCATTCATTCATTCATTTGATTTATATCCTGCCTTTTTCCTACCAAGGGCTCAAGGCAGCTTACATCTCCTCCTCCATCTTATCCCCACAACAAGAACCCTGTGAGGTAGGTTGGGCTGAGCGTCTGTGACTATCCCAAAGTCACCCAGTTGGCTCCATGGCCGAGCAGGGACTCGAACCCAGATCCTCTGAGTCCCAGTCCCATGCTCTTAACCACTACACCACACTGGCTCAGCTCTTCCAAGTTCAAGGCTGGGGCTTCCTTTATGGATTCAGTCTTTGGTGTAATAAAAATCCATAATCCCCATTCACTCTTCCCTGGATGAATTCCAGTTTAGTCATTTCTGCTTCTAACTCCTGTCTGATAGGCTTTTGTGCCACTGGCAGCTTTCAGCTCCATGACAGTGTCCCAGAGAGCTGGTGTGTGCTCCCAATGGTCTGAATGCAGCTATTTTCGATTTGTGTCTACTTATTTTTTCTAGTGAGGCTGCCTTTTGTAAAATGCAGGAAGCTCTTGCTGGCAGCTGGCGCACAGCGTGTTGGTGGGGGAAGAAGGGTTTAAAGTTTTGGGTCACCATGTTAGGTCTTCTAAAGGTCCTTTCTTCTTCGAAGGGGAGATGCGGTTACAGAACTGGCATCGGGGTTTGTTGGAAGACTTTCAGAAATTCTCCAACATTTTGGTGGAGGATGCGAATGCATTTCTCTGAAATTGTCATTTTGAGAAAGGCTGGGTGAATTGATACTAAATGAAACCATATGGTTTGTTTGTAGTGGCGGAGAGGTAGCGATGGACTTGGGAAGACAAACTGCATAGAGACTAACGCCATTTGACAGCATTAATAGGTTGTTAAATGTCATTAAATGGCCGAAGTTGTGGCCAGTAGTTGCAGTTGCGGTTGTGGCCAGAGCTGTGTGCTCTGTTTCTGCACAACATCACACTGGGCAGCTGGTGTGATTTGCTGAATCTTCTGCAGGATGCAAAATACCAGGCTGAAATGATAGGGAAGCACATTTTGACAGAACATTGGAGAGTGGAATCAGCTGCCTGGGGAAGCAGTGGGTTTCCCATCACTGGGGATATTCAAACACAGACTGGTCGGGCCATCTGTCAGGGATGCTTTGAACTGGATTCCTGCACTGGCGGGGGGGGGGGACCAGGTAAATGCAGGAAGGTGTCTTGTGAAGGGTCTCCGCTCTGGTCCATCACATCCAGGGGCTGAAGCCCGGCATGGTGGCAGCTGGATTCACTTGTGTGATCCTGTGAAACATCTCGGCAGACGGGCAAGATCGCACAGGGAGCTGAAGAGATCATTGCAGCTCTGAAGGTGGGAACGGTGCTTACGGGCACTTTGGTGAACATCTGGACCGCCAGTGGCCGTCCGAACTTCCTTTTGGTGGGTCGGTCCAGCCGATTCCAGTGGGAAATGTGGAAAGATTTTTAATTGCCTGTGGAATAACAGTTTCTCCTTCGGTGGGGTGGGGGCACTGTGTAGCTTTGCCGCTTAGCATTAATCTCCTGAAATGGCTCATAATAAGCACCATCCTGTTTCAGTGTTATTAATAATGTATTGCTTAATTTAAGCCATTCATAAAAAATAGCAAGAGCCTTTGGCAGAGTTTTGTTCAGAAAGCACAAATCCAGTGCATTTATGAAAATCAATTTCTCCCCTTCCTCAAAAATAATTAAAGCCAAAGGGGAAGAATTTTGCAGCGGTTTATGCCACGCGATTTCGCCAGAGTTGGGAATGAGGATGAATTGTGACTACTAAGTTAGCGCAGGGAGGTCAATAAAGTACTTAACTGGATTATGTTTCTCATCAAAATTCTTCTGCTAATGCCCAAGCAGGGTTCATTTCCCTGTGTAAGCCAAAGTATTTTGGTTACACTGGGGAAAACTGGAGAGAGGCGAAGGTTAGCAGATGTGGCGATCCCATATTTGAATATTGGTGGAGGTGGGAGACGACTCGGAAAATACATCCCAGGATAATACTTTCCTAACCAGCATGAAAAGGAGAATTGAAAACAAAGCAAAACATACTGGGATTGCTGCAAAATGTTGCAGCACACAATATTTCTGTGTATTATCCATTATATTTCTATCCTTTTTTCCTGCCAGGAAAAAAAAACCTCAGTGAAATTCATGGCTGAGTGTGGACTGTAGCCATTACACCGCACTGTCTCTGTCCCGGATTTTAGCCAGCCTGTCAGCCATGCGATCGCTCCTGCCCCATCTAGCCCTCACTGTGGCCAGTGAAGAGGACAGGGGACTAGGTCAAGAGTGGAGAACTTCAGGGCCAGACTCCCAGCATGTCACAACTTTTGACCCCACTCTCCCCAGCTACCGAGTTTGGCTGTTTTCTGGTTTTGGTGCAGATCCATTCAAAAAAGGTCACTTCTTAGCTACCGTCAACACGTCAGGTAGCCTAAGAGTCTGTTTATATTTCTCCCAGCCCTTTTGCCCTCCAGCCCCACGTCTCAGGTCTTTGTGCCATCCACCAGTGGGAGGGCGTCTCCGAGAACTTCTCCGAAATGCAATTCAGTTCACGAATGTGTTTTCAGAGCAGATGAGTAACCCGCTTGCTGGATCACATCATGTACCTTGGTGGATGGGGTCCGTGACCGGGGGTCCTTTGCTGTGCTTTTTTGTAAAAAAAAAAAAAAAAGAAGGTGGCGGAACTCACCTCTTGGGGTCACACTTTGACACGAAAAAAGACGTTCACCAACTTTTCACCAACTTTTTTTGAAATAAAGAACTTATTTACCTTTTGCACGTAGCCGGTCACTCAACACACACACAAACATAATGGTCGCCGCCGGCAGTAAGCACTCAGCACGCGACCACACGGCCGGTCCCAAGCCGAGCAGCGTCCCAAGCCAAGCAGCGCCCTCACAATCAGCGCCGACACACAAGCATCCCACAAGCACTATTTTAACGATTTTTGCTGCTGACCTGCTACGCCCAACAGGCGATTCACAATCACATGGGAAAATCTGTCAAAAAAAGGTGCCGGAACGCTGTCCCGGTGCGTTCTATGACAAAAAACAGCCCTGCGATTTTTTGCAAAAAAAGGGGAAAGGGAGAAGAAAGCGAAGAGCAGGTCCAGTGACCCCCCTGCCGCAGCACCTGTGGGCAGAAACAAGCTAGTGGTGTTCCATTTAGGGAACCCCTGAAGCGCACAGAATGCAATTTCAAGGAAGTTAGCATTTTCCACCAAAGTGCCAAACCGACAAACACACGACGTCCGAAAATGATCCAGCGGTCACTTATTTATGATGAATATCTGTTAAGGATATTCCAATCTGTAGGCAGTTAAGATTATTTTCGCTTGGCACAGCCGCTGATTGAATCCTTCTATTGTGGATCCAGGCAGAACGGCTCTGAACACTGTGACGTGGGCTTGAGGAGTTGGGAAAATGGAGGCTTCTCTGCTCTGGTTGGATGTTGCGCGATTGTCCTTATTCTGGTCTTCACTATGCTTGCTAAGGCTGCTGGGAATGATGGGAACTGTGGTCCAGCACACCCAGAGGATGTCAGGAAGCGGCACACTGTTTTATCTTAGCTTTCCATTCCAACAGACATCTACTGCAAAAGACGAGGAAGGCTTTCTTGGTGGTGAGCCCGTTAGGTATTAAAAACTTATTCATGGCATTATGAATGGCATTCCTATATGGCCCAGTAACAGAAGCTTTCTGTGGGCTTCCGGTAGCACATAAAATGCAAAATCCAGTAGAGATGCCAGTGAACACCTGTTGGAGTTCCAGCCATTGCGAGGTTCCTCCCGGAGGCTTCCTGGTCATGAGTTCCAGCGCATTCAGTAAGTGGAAATGTGGGATAGTTGGGTCATGCCAACAAGGGCAGAGAGCTTGTGAGCCACGCTTCCAGCTGTTGCAGTGAGCAAATTGTTCTTCATCATCATCATCATCATCATCATCATCATCATCATCATTATTATTATTATTATTATTATTATTATTATTATTATTATTACATTTCTATGCCGCCCCTTGCCGAAGCCTCATTGGTGTCAACGGACGACAATCTTGGCGTGTCATCAGTCACTGGCGGACTTTGATCTGCGGGTGACGTGAGGCCAGCTGCCCGATCCTGCCAGGCAGGGAGGGGGACAGGAGGACTTCTTCCTGCTGGGCTTGGCTTGAGCAGCAGGACATCCTACTGGTCTCTGGGATCCCTAGCTCAGCGGAGGGCCTCGCCAAGCGGCTCAGGCTCTGTCCGAGGTGCTGAACTGCGCCCCCGAGATAGGTCCCCACCACGGAGCACGGGTTCTGAGCTTCTCTGCTCGGGCCGGTCTTTCCCATGGTCTGCCCAGCATGTATACGTACACTTGGAAGAAAGCCCCATTGAGGTCAATGGGACTGGCTCCCAACGAAGTGGGTTTGCGATGGCATTCTGAGGTTTTCCACAGCAGGAGTGGGAGAGCTACACACTTTGGCCTGATTTCTAGGAAGAACTGCCTTCCTTCTGCAGCCCTTTTAATGGGGAGCAGGGAGTCAGAAGCACAGAATGGGGATAGAGAGGGAGAATATGACAAGCATCAATGAGAGAGAGAGAGCAAAAAGAGGGAGAGGACACTTCTGGCTTTGGTTCCACAGCAGGCGCCCTCCAGATAGTTTGATCTACAATGCCCATCCTCCACAGACTGCCTGATCAGTTACCAGTGGTTATGGGAGTTAACTTCCAAACTTTCCCAGACAGACCCATTCTTAAAGAAGGGTGTTGACCGTCATGTCCTGCACTCCTTGCAAATAAAAGCTTCAAGCTGGAATATTTTGCTCCCCCGTTTTGATCCAGCCCTGGCCATCACTGGAACGCAGCACTTGGAGAAGTTCTCCAAAATCTGATGCGGTCCTTTGGCTGAAGGCGTTGGTGTGAAGGGAGGCGCTGCTCCGTTGGAAAGCGGCTTCTCTGCTCCCTTCCCTAAAGAGCCACTCATTTCAGTCATTCTCCGAGAGGGGGAAAGAGGAGTATCAGCGCGCACCAAGCCGATGCTTCTCTTGGACTGAGTAGGCTAACACCTCTGCTTCCGACAAAGAGCCCCCTTCCAACACTCGCGCCTCTTTTAATTAGCAGAGACCATCTGTAATTAATGAAAACCTGAAAATCTGCCTGACAGTCGCTTGAAGAAGTTCCCAAGCTGGGATTGGGGGGGGGGGGGGGGGGCGGCGGCAAGGAGACTCTGCCCTGGTTTCCTCGCCAATCCCCCGCTTTGTGTTCCACCTTGCTTGAAGAAGAATTCTGCTGGACTCAAAAGCTTGCACACTTGGTTTCAAGCTGTCCCGTTGGCTGCTGGTGGATCCTGGATTTTTGTAGAAGCACAGGTATTTTTGTGTCCCTTTTCCCTTTTGTTTGCCCTTGTTGTAGAAGCTGAAATGCCTGTAGCCTTGATTTGGAAGGCGAGTTTGCTTTTCTCTCCCCTTCTTTCATTCCAAAGGGGCAAGAGAATGAGTAAATGGATGCGTGGTTTCCAGTTCTGACAATAAAGCAACGGATGCATTTTGCTGAGCTGCGTTTAGGGGGACACTGAGTATGAAGAAAGGGGGGTTTGGGGGAGAGAGGCGGAGAGGAGGGGGCAGGAACCCCGGATGGGCAGGAGACAGGTTTGGGCAAAGGGATTTCTCCGGATTCTTCCCAAGGCCCCTTTCTGGGCTAGGAATCGGTTTCCAAGCCACATGCTTTCAACTAACGCCTCACGCCCTCCTGTAACCAGTAAGACGATCAAATAGTAATATAATGCAATCAAAGGATAGCCTGGCCCACCATCCCAGGGCGGGGCGGCGGCGGGGCTGGGCTGGGCTGGGCGGAGGGGGGCGACGCTTGGAGACCTATCGACGCGCTAAATATTGCATGGTCTTCGCTGGGGAGGGGGCGCTGCTCGTCCACACCCACCGGAGCAACCGGCGGCGCGCGTGCCCGGGCGCCTCGGGCGCGCGCTCCGGCTCTCCCAGTAAATAGATGGCGATTTTGTTTGAAGGGGGCTGCAGCTGAGGCGGCTCGGGAGGCGAGGCGAGGCTCGGGCTGCGCGGGGCGGCTTCCGAGGGCGCGGGGGACCCTCCGGAGGCAGCGGGGCTGCCTGCCTCCTCGCCCCGGCGCCGCGGGCGTGGATGGCACCCCGGCGCGGCTCGCAGGCGCGCGGGGCTCGCCCAGGCGCGGGGTCCCTCCCGGCGACGCTGCCCCCCTGAGGAGACCGGCCGGACCCCGAGCCAGCGGTAAGAGCGGCGCGGCGCGGGGAGGACCGCGTGGGGAGGACCGCGGGCAGCGCGCACGTCGGGGCGCGCGTCCCGGGCCGGCGAGAGGCGCCGCCACCTGTAGGCGCGGAGGCGGCGCTGCTCGGCCAGGGACGGCTCCGCCGTCGGGCGGCGACGCGGCAGCGGCGGAGCGGCTGGGCGCGGGCGGGGGCGGCCCCTCGCCGGTTGGCGGAACCGCGGGCGCTCCGGGGGACGAGCGCGCGCCGCGGGGCTCCGACCGGGGCGCGCGCGCAGGCACGAACTTTCGGGGCGCGGCGGGACGGAGCGGTGGGGAGCCCTGCGACGACGGGGCTCCCGGGGCGGTGGGCGGCGGCGGCCGAGGGACGGAGGGCTCGGGGGCGGCCGCGAGAAGAAGCGGCCGCCGCCCCGCGCTGCCCGAGACGCCCCTCGGGGCTGCCGCGCAAGGTGGGCGCCGGCAGCGACGCGGCGCGGGGCAGGGTAGGGCTTGTGCGCCACGAAGTGGGGCTGCAGGGAGCGCATTGCAGGAAAGGGGAAGGGGAGCTCGGCGAAGGGCGTCCCAGGGCCGGGCGGGGCGAGGCTGCTCCTTTCCCCAGTGGGTGGGGGGCAGGCCCCGTCCTGAAGGGGGGCTCGGGGAAGGGGCGCGGGAGGGGCGGCAGCCGGCCGCTCTCCCTCCAGCCTAACGGGCGCCTGCTCTCCCCGCCCCGTCTCCCCCCCCGCAGGGCGAGGATGCCGTCGCCGGCGCTGCTGCACCTGTGGCTGGCGGCTGCGGCCTCCTGGTGGGCACCGGGCCGCGGCTGCCCGGAGCCGTGCGCCTGCGTGGACAAGTACGCCCAGCAGTTCGCTGACTGCGCCTACAAGGACCTGCAGACGGTGCCGGCGGGGCTGCCGTCCAACGTGACCACGCTGAGCCTGTCGGCCAACAAGATCGCGGCGCTGCCGCGCGGCTCCTTCGTGGAGGTGACGCAGGTGACCTCGCTGTGGCTGGCCCACAACAGGATCGGCGCCATCGAGGAGGGCACGCTGGCCATCCTGGTGCAGCTGAAGAACCTGGACGTCAGCCACAACCAGATCGTGGACTTCCCCTGGGGGGACCTGCGCAACCTCAGCGCGCTGCAGCTGCTCAAGATGAACAACAACCGCATGGCCCACCTGCCCGGGCAGGCGTTCCACACCCTGCGCGACCTGCGCTCGCTGCGCATCAACAGCAACCGCTTCGCCGACGTGGCTGAGGGCACCTTCGAGCCGCTCACCTCCCTGTCCCACCTGCAGATCTACAACAACCCCTTCAATTGCACCTGCCGGCTCATGTGGCTGAAGAACTGGACGGAGAACACCTTGATCTCCATCCCGGAGAGGGACTCCATCACGTGCGCTGCCCCGGAGCCCTGGAAGGGGCTGCCCCTGGCCAAGATTCCCTACCTGCACTGCACGCCCCCGAAGGTGCGGCTGCTCCAGCACCCCAACCTGGAGCACACCCCGCTCTACTACGGGTTCGCCCTTACCTTGCACTGCAGTGCGGAGGGGCTGCCCCCCCCCGGTGGTCCACTGGAGGGTGCAGGCATCAGGCCAGACGCTGGATATTCCCGGGGGGGAGGCGGGCGGCAATCACCTCCCCCCAGAGAGCTCCCCGGGGGGAGCCCAGGAGAGGTTCCGGGCCTTTAGCAATGGCACCCTGCTGATCCCCCACCTCAGCAAGAAAGAGGAGGGCACCTACACGTGCCTGGCCACCAACGAGATGGGCAGCAACCAGACCTCGGTCGACGTCGCTGTGGCCGACTCCCCGAAGGACACCGGTGGCCCCCTCGGTGGCCCCAAGCGCCAGCCGGGGGACCGCAAGCCCGACGGCAAGGCCTCCAAGAACAGCGTCATGAAGCCCGACGCGAGAGCCAAGGGCTTTCCGGGGAGGCCGACACCCCGGAACCACTATGCCGTGGCGCCCACGCCCAGGAACAGCAGCGGCACGGAGGGGGCGCCCTTCCAGCCGCCCCGCTTCGAGAAGAAGTGCGGCTCCAGCGAGCTCTCGCAGTACGTCTCCAACCACGCCTTCAACCAGAGTGCCGACCTCAAGCCCCACAGCTTCGACCTGGGCGTCATCGCCCTCGACGTCTCGGAGAGGGCGGCCAAGGTGCAGATCACGCCCTTCTACACCCAGCCGGAAATGGTGCACCTGCAGAGGCTCTACCTGTGCAAGCAGGGCCGGCAGGGCCACTCGCTGGTCCAGTGGTCGCAGATCGAGGAAGGGGTGAACTCGTACTGGTTCCAGGGCCTGAGCCCCGGCACCAACTACTCGGTCTGCATGACGTACGTGGGCGAGGAGTGCCAGGTGCAGGTGCTCTTCACCACCAAAAAGGAGGTCCCGTCGCTCATCATCATCGTGGTGGTGAGTGTCTTCCTGCTCGGGCTGGCCACCATCCCGCTGCTGGGCGCTGCCTGCTGCCACCTGCTCTCCAAGTACCAGGGCAAGACCTACAAGCTCATCATGAGAACCCAGAACCCTGACCAGATGGAGAAGCACATGGTGGCTGACTTTGACCCGCGGGCGTCCTACCTGGAGTCGGAGAAGAACTTCGATCCCAGTGAGGTGGAGGAAGGGGAGGTGGAGGAGGGGGGAGGGGAGGGCGAGGGGGAGGGGAGGGGCACGGCCCAGGGAGGAGCGCTGGAGAGGGACGAGGAGAGCATCGCGGCCAGCTCCATCCCCGAATCCCAGTCCAAAACCAACCCCGAGGAATTTGAAGTGGGCTCGGAGTACAGCGACCGGCTCCCTCTCGGGGCCGAGGCTGTGACAATCTCCCAGGAGATCAATGGCAATTACAAGAGCCCCCCTCGCTGAGCGCTCCTGGGCCGCCCCCGTCGCTCCGGGGGGTGCCCACCTGGCACAACCTGCCGACAACGTTCCCGGGCTCGGGCATCGCTGGCTGAGCAGCTGCAGATTTCCCGAAAGCGCACCTGCGAAAAAGCAAAGGGGCTGGGGGAGGGATGTCTCCGGCATGGAGAATGTGTGGATACCAGCACAGGCTGGCTTTGCTGGGGGTCGTTATTTTAGGGTTCTCTCCCCCTCCTAGGGATCCAAGCGCCCCAGGTGCATAACAAAAGAGCAGGTGTGTTTCTGAGCAGCGCTGCCTGGAGGCATCTATTTCCCCCCAGCTGTAAAACCCTCAATGTTATACTCTACACACCAAAGTTTGCACGGTCGCCAGCCAGTCCACGCGATCCCGAAACGCAACACGCCCTTCCTATCCCCCCGCGCGAGGCTTTTCGCTGAATTCCTCTCTGTTTTTAAAAAATCGGAACAGCCGAAATCGCGGAGAGGGACTTGGCGCGAGGATCAAGGCGGGCGGCTGTCCGAGGGGTGTGCCAGGGTCGCCTCAGGAGGTCCGTAAGCTGGACAGCTCCCGATGCCCGAGCCCGGTCTGGCGAGGCGAGGCGCGGCCCTGCCTGCCCAGCCCGAAGAGGGGCGAGCGGGGGGCTGGAGCCACGATCCGTGTTGTCAGACCACCTGTGCCGTATATACAGTGTTAAAAAATGGAATTGTGCTGTAGAAAGCAAGATGTGTATATGTTTGTGTGTGACCTGGACCTCTTGTGGATACGTTCAGCTGAGGGGGAGGCTGAGAGGGTCCAGCCTTCTGGTCTTTGTTGTCCCTTGCAGCGCTTGCCTGAGGCACGGCGCTCACGGAGATCAGTATTTCCTAAATGTTTATGCTGTAGAATAGCTTACTTAGAGAAACGTCATTTGCCCTTGATGTGATTCTGTGATGTTCAAAGGCAAATAAATAACTAGATAAAGGATTGGTGGGTTTTGCTGTTGACTTAAGCGGGCAACCAGTTTAAATATCTTTGCATCGGGTGCATCCGTGGTATCCCTTGAATTATTTTTATGATTTTGTTTCTGTTTAAGTAAAATAAGATGATGATGATGATGATGATGATGATGATGATGAAGCAACTAAACCTCCACTAGAAGTCAGCACAATTTTCTCCAGGGTGGAGGGAAATCATTCTGACACTAATAACAGTAATATATAATCATTTATAACTCTCAAAGGGAACCCTGAAAAAGGACAGGCTACACAGTAAAAAAAAACTGTTATCACACTATGTATGTGCAAAGACAATAAAAACAGATTTGAAAAGTTCATGTTTGGATCTTTGTTTGTAGTGCTGGAATATATGTACTTATGTCCTTAAGAGTTCAAAGTTTGGTAGTGGAAACAGAAAGGGAGTCGGAGTGGAACAAAAAGAACCCGAAGCAAATCTGGAGAAGTCCAAAGACTCCTTCTTTGAGTGTGTTGTGCTGCAGAAATTGTGCCTCTGTATGTATATTTGTTCAGCATTTCCCCCACAGTATTAAATCTATTCGGAGTCCTCCTCATCGTATTAATATATGATTCTTTTCTTCTTTAAATAAGACGTGACCCTATATGGCGAATCTATATGTTTTCTCTTCTCCCTCCAGTGCACGCTTGCGCACACACAAACAATTTTAGTTCGACTGGAAAGGAATTGCTCTCCCTTTTCTCGTCCAAAACAGACATGATTTTAAATGCAGGCTAGCTATCTCTCTCCCTTTAAAAACTCTGGAACAGACGCA